AATGAGTTGATCCGTATCATGACCACGCAAATGTACATTGATCATCGATTAATAACACCATATCATCCAAGGGGAAACGGAGTGGCAGAAAATCATGTCAAAACGGCATGCAATATGATTCGCAAAGAAGTCAAAGGAAATCATAAACAATGGGATCGACACATTCCATTCATCCAATTAGCTGCCAATACGCGAACTGTTAGTTTGCACAATTCATCTCCGTTCTCGTTATTCTTCGCGCGCAAAGTTAACGGTTTCTCTAACTATACCAACGAAGAAGGCAGAAATATGAATGAAGAAGAACTGCTTGAACGTCTAAAATATATGACCGAGATCGTCTTCCCCGCCATTAGAAAGAAATCTAAGGCGAAACAGCAAAAAATGATCGAACGATTTAATGCAACAGTGTTGCACAATGAATTCCCAGATGGAGCAAAAGTAATGACTCTTGATCCAATTAAAGGAGGCAAGCTTACTCCACGATATGAAGGACCATATACAGTGGTACGACGCACTTCACATGGCTCATATATCCTTAAAGATGGAACAGGAGCTATATTAGGACGTCATTATGCCCCATCTCAGCTCAAGCTTGTGCTGGATGATTTTGAAGACACTGACACCTATGAAGTGGAAAAAATCGTTAACCACAGGGCTAGTACAATCACGCCTAATACGAATGAATATTTGGTCAAATGGAAGGGTTATTCTTCCGATGAAAACACATGGGAACCTGAAGATCATTTTATTGAACGACGATGCATCAGTGATTACTGGGCTGAGCATCATGCCGCACAACAAAAATCAAATAAGCGAACATACGTTGACACGGCAACAGGCACCTCTGGCCGGCCATCTACGCGGCGCAAACGATCTCAAAGCACACGTTCATAACAAATACAAATATCTTACTGCACAAGAGATAACTAAACGCATGAAAAAAAAAAAAAAAAAAAAAAAAAAAAAGGGCACAAGACATATACAATGAGCATTACATTCCAATGGTTCTGCGACAAATAGAATGGCTAGAATCCTTTATTTGCATTCAGCTAACTAAAGTAATTAGTCTGCTTATCAAAATTGAGGACTATAATGTTAGTCCTGGCCTTTCTACGCCTCTTACGAGGACGTTGCTCTTTCCTGCTATCGTCCTCCGCTTCAACTTGAACCCCCTGCTCTGCTGTCTTTCGATCCACCTGAGTGCCTTCATCCTTGTAAATTATATCCCGCTCACGTTTCAGGGTACTGCGAAGTTCCTCGATTTCCAGATGAGCTGCGATGAGTTGAGCCTCATAATCCTCGTCCGTGCCACCCTGATCCTGTGGCGAATCATCATCTTCCTCGAGGGGCTGAGTCTCATAATCCTCGCCTGTGGCACCCTGACCCTGGGGCAAATCATCCTCCTCCTCGTCAGGTTGTGATGCTGGCACATATTCAGGCTTCGCCAATGCACGCTTGCCTAGTGCCACGTCCGAAGGAAAAGTCGGAGACCAATCTTCCTTCGGTACCTGTGTAAAAGGTACCGTCTCCTCCGACAACACCCCCACTGGCTTCGCCGTCGAAGCGGATTCCTCCTCCTGTTGTCTTTTCAGCGCAGCAAGGCGCTTAGCTTCACGCCTAGCTTCACGCAAGTCGATGATAGGACGAAGATGGGACATAATGAAAAATATTGTGAAAATTTGTAGGAAAGTGTTTGTGTTGGGCAGGTGAATGAGAAAGAAAGAATGAGGAATCAACCTCGTTCATCTCTCACCTTGGACATCCATCCATCACTCATTCCCATCCGCATCATCTCATTGGTCCATGGGACATCAGATGATCTCACAATTTTGATCAGATGATCTTGACTGTATGATGTCACGAAAAAAAAAAAAAAAAAAAATCCATGCACAATCAACCTAATTTACGCGATTCAAAATCTCTGCAGTACAACTCACTCTGCCTCATATGCCATACAAAATCCTGGAACTCGTGCCTCGTTCTCCAAGGGGAGGGGGAGCTGTCGCATATTTCACCAGAGTTCACTGTATATTTAGTTTAACAAGTGTACCTCCAGCTCACTATTATATTTAATACAAATAAATACCTAATCGGTGTGGTGTGTGGAGCCACATCTCTTTCTCACTTATTCTGAATCCCAAAAATATCTCACGATGTTTGAATTGTGGAGAGTTTTGTTCAAGCAGGGAGTCATTTTTGAAGTCGCACTTACTTTCGATGAAGTGTCCTTGGTGTAAGTATTTGCTTGAAAATTTTTATGGTAAGTGTTCTTGATGTCAGTGGCTAATGAACTGTTACCCTTTTTTAAGTTACCACTGAACAGGGCCTAATCGAGGTTGAACGCCTTTCAGAGGACGAGAATTGAAAGACCTTTCGAACCGCATTGAAAAATGCAGAACCTTCTGGGTCATGCGTTCTTTTCACTAAAGTTAGTTTGATCCTTTTAGATAGTGCTGCTGCATCTGCTCTTCTGAAGAGGTTATCTTTTGTCGTCGGTGATGTATCTTTCAGTTCCTCAGTTTCATCTAGTAAGTTTGCTGAGAGATATCAAGGAAATCATGAGACTTGAACTTGTTCGCGTTTTGTGGTATCGCTTTCTAAATTATTTTTCTTTGTCAATGATACCTAGTAGACGATGAAAAAGCACCCGTTAGTGAAGACTATCTTCCTCTGTCGCAAAGCGTCGCTCGATCTGGTCAGTTTTTCGGAGTGCTTTATCTTGGTCAGCAGGGATTAAAACAGTTAACACAGACGCTTGTTCGGTAACTTATATTCTCTTTTATCTTATGCTCATATCTCTTTTAACTTGCAGGCTCTTTGCCTGACTATGACAGTTCAAGTCCCCTAGACAAAAGTTCGTCTAAAGCATTTTTATATCGTTGTGTTAATTAATTTAGTTTAATGGACGTGTTGACTTACTTTTTCTTACTTTTTCAAATTGAAATAGGGCCAGCATCCCCCGGTTTGCTGTCAAATTTGTCGAAGCGCTTGAATACGAGTGCTGAGCTGTTGATTACTCGCTGTGAAAACGGAACTGTTAGCATCGGTATCAACTTGAATTTGTCAACTCGGGACCTTGGAATACGAGGTGTTCCCGAAATCGAGCCTCAGCAGGATCTGTCGTCGCTTGTGGCTGATTCGCCTTTCGAAAGAGTGCTATCTCGCTCAAAGTGGATTGAGTTTCCAAGATGTCAGCGTCTTCCAGAAGATTGGGACAACATAATTTCTGGCTGTTGGGTTGAAAAACCACTCCTAAATTATGCCACCGCTGTTTTGTTTGCTGGTTGTGTTCTATACAATCCGCAAAACAAGAAAGCAGTTCTCTGTTTGGTTGCAGAATCCTATGGTCGAGGTCGCGACGTTGACGTTCACGCTGAGAAACCCATTTGCATTGGTGAAGGTGTTTCTTCAATCTCCCAGCCTTCAACCTCCGGTTTATACCCCCATGCTACCGTGTGTCGTATTCAGCACGACAAGAAGGACCATCGCCTTGTTCTTGGTTGCAAGACCTTCAACGTCCTTTTCACTGAGGTTTGGCGATTGGACAAGGATTGTTCCTCCGAACGCGCGTTCACTGCTGGTTCTTGCTCCAGCGCGTTTCCTCTTGTGGGCAATGAGAAAGTCAGAATCTTCATTGATGAACGTTCTTTTAATCTGGCGTCAGATGTTGCCTCTGGCAAATACGTTCCGCGGTTCCAAATCGACTACCTTCGGCAGATCCGATCTCACCTCTGTTCGGCGCACTCTTATCGAATGGGTCGAGCCTCATGTCCGTTACTATGGAATATGGTGTCTGCCCAACCAGCAACCATTTTTTCGCTGTCTATGGTCCGTCCGGGGTCTGGAGATGGTCCTTTGGTGTCCTCGCTTCTAAGCCGTATGGCCAAGGACGTGAATTTAAATGGAAGAAATGCTGTTTTGCAGAAAGATGAACTGTTGGATGTTTTAGGTGGGGTTGTCGATGGTCAGGCCTTCCATGTGTATCTCTGCAAAATCTTGACTTTGTTCGGAGACAAGGATGAGATCAACATTCTTGCTAATGACTCTTCCGTTGGCCTTGAAAAGTTGTTGGGTTTGCTTGCAGGTTGCATGTCAAGCGCTTTGTACAGCTGCAACAGAGACGTGGTGGTCCCAATGGTGAGACAAGAGTTGTTCCGACTCTCGTGGTAGAATTTGATGCTGAGGATTGTTTTTAACTTCATGGTGTTTCAAACAAATAAAAAGCTACGATGCCTCTTGTTATTTTTTTTTATTGAAGCTCCTGTCATTTTTTTTTCCAATGCTGTGATTTTTTTTTCGTGACACGGTGAGGATCACCTTTTTTCATGTTATTTTTTTTTGGTAACGCTGTTACTTTTTTTTGGTAACGCTGTTACTTTTTTTTGGTAACGCTGTGATTTTTTTTCGTGGCGATGGAAAAGGGTGACATTAGGGGGTGATGTTAGGGGGTGACGTTTAGGGTTTGACAACTTTTCTTTCTTTTCGACAATCCTTTCCGAAAACCTTTTTCATTTCCTTCCTTCTTCCTTCACCAAACTGCTTTTTAACACAATGTCTAAGCAATTGAGCGCTGAAGAATTCCACCGAGACATTGCGCTGCCCCTGCTCTCGTGGCTGAAAACATTTAATCACACAGAACTCCCCAGCTCTTTCACCGACATGATTGAGAAGGACGAAAACTTGCGAAATAAAGTCTACAATCAAAACGGAATCAATATTTCAATACATTCTCTCGCCACTCTAGCGAACAACAATGCCTTGGACAGAGCAGTTGTGGACAACACCCTAAACCTATTTGAGAACGCATTTTCTTCAACAAACACCATTTTCGTCCCATCTGAGATCACATCTCATTGGCAAGAAGAAGACTCATTTAACGCTGTTTTCTTTGGTAACGCTGTTGCCGTTTTTGACTTAGATAGAGGGGACCAGTGGGAAACAGATGGGCGCAACGTACACCAGCCCACAAAGATGCATGGTGAAAGGATGAATAGCACGATAACAAGTGACCGTAGACAATATTTTATTTCGAGGAAAAGAATTATTCATGATTTTGATCCTCATTACCCTTTTTTTCCTTCTCTTTTCTATCAGACTCGCATCTTTCTTCCTCTTCTACACGTCGTTTTCTTTTCCTCGATACTTGTTCTAGTACTGCCGTGCTCCATGACCTAGACATAGTATGTGCAGGATTGTCCAATAAATCCTTACTATCCTGAATAGATTTTAACAACGCTTGACGTAAGTCGATCTCATTCTGGAGCTGAATGGAACGTCCTATTAAATGCGAGCGACGGGCTAATTCCTCCAAGTCTTCTGGGGGCTCCTTGCTTGTCAACATTGCATTCAATATCTCTGAATCACATTCCATTTTAAGATATGCCAGTTCCTTGATCTTGGATTCTCCGAGTGATATAATCATATCTGCACGCTGCAACACAGGATTGGCAGTAACTCCCCGATCCTGTCTGGAACTTGTTGTTACGCCGCTGATGCTTGCGCCGCTGGCACTTGTTTCCGGCTTGGTGTGTCCCTGAGGCAAAGCGATTCTTGTGGACTGTGCGGGAGGTGCGGTTTCTTGGTTCGTATCGACCTGATTCATCTAACGTTGTTACGAAAAATGATATTTTGTTTGAATATTTTTATGAAATGCCAAATTTTTGAGTCAAATATCACAATTCTTACGTCTAATTCAGTCTCAACGAGTTTTTTACTAAGGCTGTTGGTGTCCCTAATACCATTGCTGCTGCTGCTGCTGCTGCTACTATTGTCATAGTTTCTGTGGTTGTTGGAAGTCATGATAACAAATCGAGTTCAAGACAAGGTGAAGTGATACCGAAATTAAGAGGAAATAGAGAAGTTATTTGTACTTTGTGTGTGCTTAAAAATACACAGCGGTTCATGATTACAACCCTTTTTAGGAGTTCTCCGCTTTGAATTAGGTCTCTTGTTGATTCACACACTCATTCCCCATCCTCGCTACTTTCGACATCATCCCATCCCTCATTCGTTCCGCTTTCTCAGCTCAGCTCCTCAGCTCTCTTGCTTCTTGTTGCTTCCACGAACCTCTTTATTCCCACGCTCTACAACCCAAATCCCTTTCTTCTCACACTCAGGCGCTACCTCAGAGGTTAGGCTAGCATCGTCAACATGGTCATTTTCAACAAAGCGAGTCTTGACAAGCAGAGCGTAGAGCTGCATGGCACCCGCACACCTGGCGCAACAGGTATGTATGTCATCTGCACTTGAATTATCTGCTGCATGCAACTCACCTGTTTGTCATTGTAATGTTTTTAGGTCATTATCGCCACCCTGATTTTGTCAATGGGTTGGTGGACCACTTTCGAGCAGCACCTCATGTCAAGACCCTCTACGACCTCTTCCAGAACTGTGAGTGTATACATGGAGTGCCAATGGTGTCCTTTAGCATTGGGGACTAGGGCAATTGGAAATCATTGGGCTGATGGATAGTTTGTTCAACGACTCTTTTTTTTTTTTTAATGACTTCCAGCTGTATCCCTCTACGCTGAGCACGACTTTCTGGGCCATCGCCCTTACAACACTGTCACTCAGGCGTATGATGGATATTCCTGGCAGACTTTCAACCAAATCAACAAGCGCGTCAATGCCTTTGGCAGTGGAATCATGCACCTGAACAGCGCCATCCTAGGCAATCCACAGCTTAACCGTTGGTCGCTCGGTATCTGGTCGCTGAATAGACCAGAGTGGTTCATTTCGGAGATGAGCTGTAACTACTTCAACTTGGTCTCTGTTGCACTCTACGAAACATTGGGGCCCGATGCGGTCGAATACGTTATCAATCATGCAGAGATCCCGATTGTTGTTACTGCCGGTATGAACGTTTACCCTTCTTCGGCCTCTCTTGCCTTTATTACCTTTCATCATTGTTTCAGGTGCTAAACATCTCCATGCTTGACATAATTTTGGATATAGGGAATCATGTCGCTTCGTTGCTGGAGAATGCGCACAAGCTGCCGGGGTTGAAGGTCATCATCAGCATGGATCCTCTTCTTGACCCTGTGCCTGTGCCTGGAGCTACTAGCGCTGCTAAAATTCTTAAAGCATGGGCCGCAGAGAAAGGCATTCAGATCTTCGATTTTGAGCAGATTGAGGAACTCGGAGAAGAGTATCCGCATAAGCATTTGCCGCCAAGGGAAGATGAAGTTGCATCGTTTTGCTACACGAGTGGTACTACAGGACTGCCGGTATGTTATGAATGCTAAGGAAATTCTACGCGCATGTGTTAATATGGACTGTGCTGGTGTCTGATGTTTTTTCGTTGTTGTTCCTTACGCGGCTCTAGAAAGGAGCCATGTTGACACATAGAAATTTTATTGCGGCTGTTGCTACCAATACAGAAGGCATGGTCCTGACCCCTGAAGATACTATAATCAGGTATGAGCGTGTTCTGGATTCTCAGCGACCGTCTGTAACCTTTTATCATTGCTCCTTACCCCAAGTATAATTCTCTCTCTCCGCCCTCAGTTTCTTGCCGCTTGCACATATCATGGGCCGATACATCGATACGATCGCCACGTATTCCGGGGCAAGAATCGGATATTTCCACGGAGACATCCTTACTCTCCTGGACGACATCGTGGAGCTCAAGCCGACTTTCTTCCCTGCCGTGCCTCGTCTTCTCAATCGCATTTACGCCAAGTTGATTGCTGCCACGATTGAGGCCTCAGGACTTGTCGGTGCTTTGGCTCGTCGAGGCGTCGCCGCCAAGCTCGCGAATCTGGAAGCAGGAAAGGGAGTGCATCATCCACTCTGGGACCGCCTATTGTTCAATAAAGTGAAGATGGCGCTCGGTGGAAGGGTGCAGTGTATCGTGACAGGATCTGCTCCGATCGCCAAGGAGGTCCTGAACTTTTTGCGGATTGCCTTTGGATGCGTTGTCATCGAGGGATATGGCTCGACGGAGAGCATGGGAACCGCTTTGATCACTCGAGCAGAGTAAGTCTATGGAGATATGTTTTTATGTTTAGTAGGCGGATTTCTAAGAGATCAGTGTACTTAACGTGTACCCACCCAAACCGTTGTCTATAGTGAGCATATCCCAGGCCATGTTGGTGGCGTTCGGGCGGGTTGCGATGCGAAGCTGGTGGATGTTCCAGAGATGAACTATTTGTCCACGGACAAACCATATCCTCGCGGCGAGATCTGCCTTCGTGGAGCGCATATCATCAAAGGGTACTACAAGGACGAGAAGAGCTCGAGAGAAGCCATTGATTCTGAGAACTGGCTCCATACAGGCGACATTGGATATGTGGACGAACGTGGGTGCTTTACGATTATCGACCGCAAGAAGAACATCTTCAAGGTAACTATGGACAATCAAGCTCATTGATGCTATATAAATATATTTGACGTAAAGTTGTGGACTGAACAATTCTCTATACACTTTCATAGCTTGCGCAAGGGGAGTATGTAGCACCAGAGAAGATTGAAAACATCTTAATGGCGCGCTGCAACTTGATCATGCAAATCTTTGTCCACGGCAACTCGCTGGAGAGCACACTGGTGGCGGTCTCTGTACCCGAGCCAGAGACATTCCTCCAGTTCGCTCACAGTGTCACAGGCATAAAGGTCGCGTTGGGCGATCAGGAGGGCCTTGCCAAGCTGTGCCAAGATCCCCAGGTCAACGAGGCCTATCTGAAAGAGCTCGGGAAGGCTGGCAAGGCTGGTGGACTGCGTGGGTTCGAGTTTGTGAAGAAGGTCTATTTAACGACGGATGCGTTCTCGGTCGAAAACGACCTGCTGACGCCAACGTTGAAGGTGCGTCGCCCACAGGTCCAGGCACACTTTAAGGAGCAGCTTCGTGCGATGTATGGGGATATGAAGGCTTCGGCGGTATCTGCCAAGCTTTAAGGCAAAATAAAAATTTGTCGATATTTAAGTGTAACCAAACGACGGCATCTACATTTGCCGGCGTTCAGATACATCATTCACGGAGATGCCAAGATCGATGTGATGCTGGGCACCGGCTCTAGATGACAGGGATGTATCATATACAGGAGTTGCAGAAATACCGGCAATTCTATTTTCTCACATAGTCATTGCGGACATAGCGAGGCTCTATCTAATAGGACTCCCTGGCGAGTTTGTGTCCTAGACCATATACTAGTCTACTTTCGCGTCTACAGACAAATGTCGAGTGTAGACGGAGCCGTCCATAGGAGGTCGACATGACGGATCCGCATAAGGCCGAAAGTATATGTTTATGATGGTCTACAGCAGCAGCATCTGCACTGCCAAGGGAGAGGCAATTGAGCGCGCGGTTTGTTTGATGGATGCCGATGGTAAAATAATTTGCTATGGCGGGGGGCCAAAAAAGCATGGCATGCTGCTCTCTTTTTCGGTCTTTCCTTTTAGAACTCAAGATATGCAGACGATGTCATCTGTGTGTCCGGATTGAAGAATGCCATGTGGCAGGGAAGGGCCGATATTTTCTCGCGCAGTAGGCACTTTTTTTTCCCGGACGAATGCTCTTCACGGAAGCAAACCCCCTGTCGATGCCGACAACGCTCTCGACCCCCGTTTTGTGTACACCCTGTAAAATTGTCGGTTCCTCGGAATGCACAGGTGAACGATATAAATACTCACGCACGACCCTCACTTGCAGACCCTTTTAAAGCTACACAAACACACATACAGCACGGTCTTAAAGACATCCTCTCTGCTATCCTTCCCTCTCTCTCTCTTACCTGATTCTCATTTCAGAAACATATCGATACATCCATCCACAATACACTCAGCAAACATGCGTTCTCCCAAAAACGAACTCACAGCAAAAAAAAAGTCGCTCACCATCCACATCGATACTGAACACATCGGACCCCATGGCATGCCACTTGTCTACGGATCAACCCCCGAAAAGGTCGGTACCATCAAAGGCTCCGTCCGGTTCTCATCCAACTACGACTGTAAAGGACGCGACATCCAGGTCATCTACGAGGCATGGATCGAATCACACTGGACAGGTATGCCATATTACCTAAACCCTCCTAGTAAACATGTACTGATTATCGATGCACTGCAACTCAACTCACCTCGGCAGTGTTTCCTTTGTCGCTAATAGACGCTCACCACAAACGAGAGCATCACCACCGCATGAAAGAGGTCTTTGGGTACCAGACCCTATCCTTCCCTCTGATCCATACTAAACACAACGGCTCGACCGTCGTCGCGGGTGAATATGTCAAAGAGTTCACGATCCCGTTGGTCTGCCTGGCAGGTCAGGCACGAGAGTCCTTCGATAGCATAACTTCTGAACGCCCATCTCCATCCTCTACCGCCGCCGGCGGTATTGTCCCAACTTCATCATCATCATCACCATCACCGGCTTCATTATCAAGTGTCGAGTCGACTGTATCTGTACCGCCGTCGAGCAATTACGGACCCCACACAAAGACCCGGTACACAGTGCGTGCAGTCCTGCAGCGACCGTTTCCGAGCCTCTCGAACGTCGAAGCATCTCAAGAGATCTGGGTCGTGAACTCACCAGCACCCGACTCCATCCTGACCCCGCCTCAGATCGCGGTGTGGACTTGTGAGGAGACAGAGGCGTCGTTGTTGCGTGCCGAGGAGTCCACCTCGGTTTGGAGTGAGCGATCGTTATGCGACCCCAATGCGCGCGAGCCTGCTCGGTCTGGACCTTCATCATCAATAGCAATGTCGGTCACTCATCCGCACTCACTTGCGGCTATGCCCTCGACTCCCTACGGGAACAAACAGGTACGAATTTGAAAAATCTTGATTTTTTTTGCTTTTGATTGATTTAGCTTACTCTTTCTCAGAATCGGCCCCATCTAACATGCGACTTCTTCGCGCTCTCTTTTTTTTTTTTTTTTTTTGGGAAAATAGTTTACTATGTTCCTCTACTACTTTTGCACATTTGTTCTCGGCCTCGCATTCTGTAAACGATACTCGGATGCGAAGGAGAGACGGAAAACAACAGAACCCATTACACGTTACACCAGGGCGAGGGAATAATCTGACTACAAGCATTGGCTCCGTTTGGCGAATGCTGCAACGATGGATGCACTCTTTTTCCCTCTTTTCACACTTTCCCACTTTCCCACTTCCCTTCTTCTCAGATTCGCCCTCCCTCAATCCATCAGGAACTGTCTTTTATCTTTCTCATCTTTTCTCGCTCTTCTGTCTGTCTCTCATACGTCTCTACTCGATCTCAATAAGCACAGTCCAGTGGCGACTCATTGGTAATAAAGACACAGTTTATCTGCAGAAGCCCCATCCCTGAATATGCCTGAACAACCACAGTCGAGCCAAGAGTGCTAATGCTAGAATGGCCGAGATCAGGGGAACAGCCATTCATGTGCAATGGATAATAATCCCCTCTTTCATGATCACAGGAATCTCTGTTAGAAGTGACGAGGGAAGCGAATATCATTCCACTCGACCGCCCTATTCGTATGCAAACCAGGCCGCCTTAAACAAAGAGTTAGAGTAGAGAACATTGCGCAGGGACGGACTATCTCCTCGGCTGGTGAAAGAACTCGAGAGCCGGATTCCTGTTGAGGTGAGGCAGTGTTTCTTGTCAGTCGACAGTAGTTTATAGGCATGTTTCAGGGTTATTAATCCTGCATGCTTCACGATGGGCAGTTGGTATCGCTGCTAGGAGGCACGAAGAAGACAAATCTTCAGCAGTACCTCTGCATCCAATCAAAGGAAACAAGAGTCGAATAAACACTTCCAAGGTGGGGCGTCATCAGTTGGCCGAGTAGCCACATATGATACAGTTCATGCAGCTCCTATGGATATTAATGCTTTGATTTACGATAGCTCATTCTGCTACCACTGCGTCTGTAGTATACCAGTCCACTGCGACTGATTGGATCCCATTGCGTTACTGAGGTATCTGTCAAGTATAAGTACGTATACTGGCTACTCGCACAGGTATTTTAATCGACCACAAGGTCACTAATATCGCCGCCATCTGCTCTATGATAACAGGAGAGACCCCCTCAACGAAGCAACATGTTTGACAGAACTATTTTGTCACCGCGAAAGGCTCTCTTGCCACAAAAGGAACTGGAGCTTGTGAATGTTTACGTGGAGAATGCGCGCAAAATCAAGGATCAGGCAATTGCTTTAGTGTTATGCGACGATGCGGAGGCCGCGTTATCCCGGATGAAAAGAACTGCGAAAAAGACTCTGACAACTCCCCAGCCCATCGAGGATCAAGCCCTGCGCGATGGATTCGCTGGCGCCTGTCTCGAGCATGCTAACCTATTGGAGAGCTTAGGATATATCAAAATGGCGCAGGTCGGTTATAAGAGGGCAGAAAAATGTGGGTAAGTGACAGGTACCTGCTCTTTACTTGTTCGCATTAACCGGCTATATCGTACATCGTACCTAACGCATTTCTCAATTTGTTGACTGTCCTCTGACTTCAACAGCCATGTGCGTCCTTCAAAAGATCCAGGTCCTACAGTTTCCTCTGCCACCGACAGCGCCTGCCGCGACATAGCATGGGTCCCTGAGGATATCTTTCCCGATGACATGCGTCAACCCATCGTCAAGACCGTGTTACCAGAGGCAGATGAGCGATTAAGTGATACTTCTCAGCTCGCATACTGCCTTGGCCTTCTGCAAGTGACGCCGTCGCCCGAAGATGCCTTTGAGCCAACAACAGAAAATTGGGTGAAATCCACAGAAAAGAATGCAGAAGAGAAGGAGAGACTCAGGATGCTGGCGACAGATGTGGTCCGGACATTCACTCGCGATGAGCTCAAGGATGCCAAGGCCGTCGCAGAAGTCGTATGCCTGTGTCCGGTTCTCGAGAAGAATAATTTTCAACATTTGCTCAAGCTCTTTGTCAATGGCATCGAACAGTTCAGCCTGCTTGACGTCCATTCTCTCGAGGGAATGGCGCAACTGATGCGAGGCGCTTCTCCGGGTTACCTCGACGCTGATGACCTAGTCACGACCTTACGTATCCTCAACACTCGCCTACAGGATACTCACACTCAATCTTCAGATCACATCTGCCGTCTCACGCTCGCAGTGTCAAACGTCCTGGATCCCATGGCCGATACCAAGGTCTCAGGTTTAAAGCATGTAGAGCTGCACGAGCCGCTCTCTGCCTATTTGAATGGGCTTCAAGCCAGCAGCGACCCTTACTTGGTGTATCAGGCTGCCTATGCCTTCCAAGCGCTGCAGTGTGTCCCAGACAACGAATCATCCTGGCAAGCAACGATGCGGCGCACTGGAATTGTTTTGAAGGGCGTCTCGGGACTAGCTAGCGCCGTAAAAGGTCTGGACGTCAGCGGCTTCATCACAGGGCTCGGACATCTTCAAGAGGGACTGGGAGAGGTGATCCAGGTAGCGAAAATTGGTTATGAAGGTGTGAGCGCACTGGTGAGAATGGACAAGGACTCTTGGAATCTCTCAAGATCAGTCTCAGCTTCAGCCAGAAACGTGCCTGGTATACAGCACTGCGCGGGACAGACACGCTGCTTCGGGACGGTCAACTTGCCAAGTTCAAGACTCTGGTCTGTGAAGCGCCTTGTCGGCGTGACCTAGCCTTTCAATTAGGAGTATGCCAGCACCTGGGGGACCTTGCCGCCATTCCGCTGTGGGACACCAAGTCTCGCCAAGGCGCCGTTGCGTTTCTGGACGAGATGTACCGAAACGATGCGGTGTGGGGCTAGCAAGCCCTCGTCAAGCAATGGATCCTTCACGTCCTTATGCAGTTGGCTTCGACATTTGGTTCAGCTATGCCAGGTATGTATGATGAACGGATACGTGAGAGACTGTCGCCTTACTATGAAGTACGGAATTCACGGCCTGGCAGTTACTAATAGCTTTACTGTATTCTATTGTGATCTATGCGATACATGGTGTAGGTGTCGAATCATTGTTGCAAGGGCTAGAATCCAATGGCGATGAGACGAAAAGGATTCTTTATCAGGATTGCCGAAAGGATAATCGAAGCTTACATTCGATGCAGGTCGCCTTACCAACCGTCGCGTCTCCATCATTGCTTGATCTTGTCCAGAACAAGCCCGATGTTGAAGCCGATCTGAGACGACTGAGAAAGCAACGATTGAAGGAACGAGGCGAAGCCGTATACATCCCCCCTCAAGCCAAGGCTAACCTGCAAGCGTCCGATGACAACCTGTTCGACTTGACAAAAGAAGTTGAGGGATTCTTGAACAGTGACCGTGAGGTGATGCTCCTGTTAGGCGATTCGGGTGGCGGCAAATCGACCTTTAACCGGCAGCTCGAGTGCAGCTTGTGGGATGCGTACAAGAAAAAGGAAGGCAGGATTCCGCTCTTTATCAGCTTGCCCGCAATCGACAAGCCAGAACAGGATCTGATCGCCAAACACCTACGGAAGGCAGAGTTCACTGAGCCTCAGATCCGAGAGCTGAAAGACCACCGCAAATTCATCTTGATTTGTGACGGATATGATGAGAGCCAGCAGACACACAACCTGTACACGAGCAACGGACTGAATCAGGTGGGAGGATGGAGCGTTCAGATGGTCATTAGCTGCCGCAGCCAGTATCTTGGCCTCGATTATCGGGATCGGTTCCGGCCAGCAGATCGCAATCACCAAGCAGAGCCAGCACTTCAAGAGGCGGTCATTGCGCCATTCTCTATGAATCAAATTCAAGAATATATCAGGAAATATGTGTCCGCGACAAGACCGCTCTGGCAGGTGACGGACTACTTGAAGACTCTTAATCTGATTCCCAGCCTGCAAGACCTGGTCAAGAACCCCTTTATGTTAACGCTGTCCACGGAGGTATTGCCGCGCATGGTGGATCCAGGACAAAATCTCTCGGCCGTCCGGATCACGAGAGTCGCGTTGTATAACCAGTTTGTGGATCAATGGTTGAAGCGAGGCAAGAAACGGCTCGTTGAGAAGAAAGACTTGAGCTATCAAGAGAAGAAGGTGTTCGAGAGCTTGTCCGACGATGGATTTGCGCAGAACGGAGTTGCCTTTTTGAAAGCGTTAGTAGTAGCGATGTACGAAGAGCAAGCGGGCAGTCCGGTGGTCGAGTACTCGCCCTTTCGCGATCGATGGACATGGAAAGAAGATTTCTTTAGCCGGGATAACGAGAAGCAGCAGCTCTTGCGTGAGGCGTGCCCCCTGACGCGCAGCGGCAATCAACACCGGTTTATCCATAAATCACTATTGGAATACTGCTTGGCCCGAGCGGTGTTTGAGCCGCGAGACGGAGAGAGCACGAGTCGCGCGGCGTCAACTCAAGCCCTGCCGTGTCGAGGGAGCGTCCATTCCGTTATGAGCTTTGAAAAACAGGCTGCTGTAGAGGAATCCGTGGGAGTCATTGAACAAGCCGTGCTCGATTCGCCCTTGGCACGGGAAAGCTATGTGGACGAGCCGTCGATTCTGCAATTTTTAGCAGAGCGTGTCCAACAGGAACCTCTCTTCAAGCAGCAGCTGCTCGCAACGATCGAATGCTCCAAGATCGACAAAGAGGTACGCAAGGCGGCGGCGAATGCGATCACGATATTGGTCAGAGCCGGGATCTCGTTTAATGGGACAGACCTGAAAGGCATCCAGATTCCAGGAGCGGACCTGAGCGGCGGCCAATTCGATTCTGCTCAGCTGCAAGGGGCAGATTTGAGAAAAGTCAATCTTCGCAATATCTGGCTGCGTCAGGCCAATTTAAGCAACGCACAGATGGCGGGCGTGCAGTTTGGCGAATGGCCGTACCTCTTAGAAGACAGCAAGGTGAATTCCTGCGCATATTCGCCATATGGGAAGTTCTGTGCAGTAGGTCTCGACGACGGCACGATCAACGTGTATGACACTTCGACCTGGGCCAAAGCCCACACCTTGCGCGGTCATACTTCCTATGTTACGAGCGTGGTGTATTCGCCCAGCGGCCAGCAGATCGCCTCGGGCAGTCGGGATGAGACAGTGCGGCTGTGGGATGTGAATTCGGGTCAATATTTGGCAGTGGTTGAAGGTTTCCATGGACCAATTACAAGCATCACCTGGAATGCTACTCTAAATGGCACCTATTTCGCAACCGGCTGTTGGGATAAGTCTGTTCGCATGTGGCAGATTGTAGAAGAAGAGGACCGCTATCAGGTGCGCCTGCATTGGAGTTCGATGCATGACAGACTTACAGTATCAAATACCTCTATCCAAGACGTGCAAGGCTTAAGCAGGATAAATATGCGGCTATTAGAGCAACGTGGCGCTGTGGGCAAGCTGGTTCCACCTTTGGGTTTCCGCGAGGCAAGCAAAAAGATAATTAGTATGGCGTTCGTGGCGTATAAACTCAAGGTGCCGTCAAACCACAGTATGATGGATACCGGCGCCACGGTTGATTCTTCCGCTGTACAGTCAGCAAAGTCGGTCGACTCTGCAAATGTCTTTTCGCTTGCTTGAAAGGTGAAGATGATACAAATAGGAGATTAGCAACGGTGCTTTGACTTTTACTCATTGAGAATCTTTTAGCACTTTTTAAATACAATATACAGAATATACAGAGCAGTCTTCGTCCAGCAAGTTCACAAATTAAAAGTGGTAGTCAAGAGCACAAACTAAAGCACTCAATGGGTTAGAAAAACCAAAGAGCGGGAGAAAGCGATGAACAATGAAGAGATCAAACTAGGCTCACGGGGTATTGTGTGCCCGTAAATGTTGACCATGGCCATGGCAGCCCACTGTCTTAAGTAATATGCGCAAGAGAAACATAACTTTCTCGATTCTAAACAATCCCTTCGCGGAGAGTATCGTCCCAACTTCCCTCACCGACCCAGGCCAATATCGCCAGCATCACCGATGCGACCAATACCAGATCTGCAGCCAACAACGCACTCGCCACATTGAGGCAGAATTCAGTAAGCGTTGGATTGTTCAGACTGTTGTGAGACAGGCTAGTTTTACTCAACGGATGAAATGTTGTTGCAATAGTAATTGAACTTAGTACGAGAGTAACCGTTCATTCGGATAATTGGTATTTAGGGCTGCCTGAGCAGGCAATGGCTCGAAGCTATCATCCGTTGGATCATGACTGAACGCCTCCAAGTCAGAATGATGCTGAAGCGGCGAGGAAGGATGAGCAAGGAGCATTGCGGCGGCTAACTGCACAATTCTCAGTACTGTCCTCAATCAGTCCAAAGCTGAACCCCTTCAGTAAGCAAAAAAAAAAAAACGCTTTTATTCCAGCCTCTATACTCGAGTCAGAAAAGGACGTTACGGACCATGCCAATGGGTCATTGATTCTGCCGTCGCCGCCACCGCCACCATCGTACTCCCGGTTCTTCAATTCCCCCCTCCCGTCTCCCGTCTCCGCCCTCGCGTAGAAAAATTTCGTATACGGGGCTCTTTTTACTATGTAGTAGTGGTCCGATGTTCCCCTTCCGGGCGGCCGTGAATTTAACCGTTCTTGGCGGGCACACTAAATTGTAGGCGACCATGTCCACGTCTCGGTCCGAAGCACCTCCTCCTAGTCATTTAACGAGCATACCCTGACTACATATAATTCCTGGTAGACAAAAGGAGAAAAAAATCACAAAGCAACGCTGTTCATGGTTATGCCCATAATGTTTACTTTGCGTCCACAATAAAGTACAGCGCATTTATTTATTTTTTGTAACAATAACACCATTAAGTCCATATGAGTAAAATACAGAGTTGCAGCCGTACCTGAGAAATGGATGGCCGATTGAGAAACACTGAAAGGCAGAAAGACAAAGGCGGACTGACGACAAGCAGATGAGAAGAAAAAAACGAACAGTAAACCAGAACAAAAATGACTACAAAAACAACAACGACAGCAAAAACAAAAACAAAAACAGCAAATAACAAAAAGACAAACGACCCTTTCTCTTTCTTTCCTTCTCTCTGTCTCGTAATGCCCTCTCTCTCACACTATGGCATCGGCAGAGCCTCGTAATCGAGTCCGTTCCTAACCTGGTACTCGCGCACGGCCTCCTCCGCAAAGTCCGTCAGGTCGCCCAGATGCATATATGTCCCCAACGGCCACTGGATCTTCGACACCACCTTGCTCGTCCCATCCTCCTGCTTCAGTTCCACGACCGCTGAGAACGCCTTCCCACCGAACCTGCCAATGTCCTTCGGATGGATACACCACTTCTTGAACGTCTCTGGAAACTGCTCCCTCGCAATATCCGGTGTCAGGGCCACCTCGCATTCCGCCAATTTGGTCGTCAAGATCATCCAGTCTTCCGCATTCTGCAACAGCCTCGCAGCTAGTTCTGTGGTGATCATAACCGAAGATGATGATGACGATAGCGATGATAATGATGCATCCTGAGAAAGTGGTGGTCGTTTCCGGAACTGCTCAGCAGCCTGCATCTCCTGACGAAGTCGGTAGTTTGAATAGGCATGGCATTTGTAATAGACAAGGGCCTCGAGCAGGTAACTGAGTCCGTCCAGTCCCGAAAACTTGTCGTGGCACTGGACTGAGAGTGCGGTCGAGAACTGTTTCATGCTGTCCCAGCATTTCATCGACTCCCGAAGTATGACCTCTGGACGGTTCGAGTGCAGGTGCTCGCAGTGCATGTCGTTGAAATGGAAGGCCCGAAGGAAGGCGTTACCGCTGAGGAAGTAAACGATCGCGCCCAGGCGTGGGTTATTCTGGATTCGAGTGATCTCGTCAGCTTTACGCTTGAGACTGACAGCCAGCGCATGGTATCTAAACAAATGGCCACAACAATAGTTAGCAACTGATGCTGTCAATGTTCAGAGGACACAGCATCCAGCAGAGAAGCTTCAATTAACTTACCTGCGGTAATCCTGGTAGTATTTAGTATACCCTGCTGAGTTAGCATCTGCTGGTACGATCGACATCCTTCGTGCTGCAGTTGGAGACCTCTCGGTTTCCTTCCTGGCAAGCGTAGAGTTACTCAATCCCAAAGCCGGAGAGCTCATCGCGCCCTTGGGCGTATCTACATTCGACCCTTTGTGCTCCAGTGACAACTTTTTGATAGGATTCGATGTGCTGCTCGAATTGTCCATAACATCATCTGAGGTTCGCTTGGAGATCGACTCGTGCTGGGATCGTGAGTCCGAAGCAGAATGACGATGTCCCTCCGATTTTTTGCGGTCGGACGGAACTTTCGATGCCTGCGTTTGCTGAAGGCGATCGCCGTTTTTACTATCCTCTACGCCTTTGGTATTAGCGGTAATGACCAAGGAAGCTGAACCGCGGCTCCGCTTCTCTTTGTCCCGCTTCCTGTCCAATCCCTCTCTGGATTTGGACGGGGAGCGGGATCTCGATCGTGAATGCCGTCGTTTCCGATCTCTGCTTCTCTCACGACTGTTGTCACGGTCCTTATTCCTGCTCTCGCTTCTGTGTCGCCGGCCTTTCGTCGACTTGTCGTTGCGCTCCCGACTCGTCTCCTGTTTCCGTTTTGCTTTCAATGGAACTTGGTCCATGTCATAATCGCGTCGATCTTTGCCAGATTTGCCATCGCGACCGTCACCTTTATCATTGCGTCTCTTTGGCGATCTCGAACGTGATCTGGAGCGCGAGTGTGAGCGGGTTTTCGAATACTCGCGAGGGTTGTATTTCGCAGACTTATCTCGAACATCTCGATGTCCATCATTTCCAGATCGGCCCTCAGTCGTCTTCGGAAGCCGTCGATTCCTTGCCGTGTCATCATACGAGTCCTCCTTAAGATCCTTCTTCTGCCGTTTCTGAGGCGGGTCATCTGGCGATAAACTGCCCGATACTAATGTCCTCCTAGCCAGAGTCGGATCTACATGTGTATTCTTAGACCGCTTGTTCGTACTCTCCTTTGGCTCGTCCTTAAGCCTAAGCTCCTTATGCTTGCTTGCCATCAATGTCCGCCCATTCTTCTCGCTCTTACGCTCCATCACTGGTGACATGGATTTTTTCGTTCGCCTCACTGGAACGTCCGATTTGTCCGAATTTGAATCTGAGCTCGAGTCCGAGACGTCCGAGTGTGTACGCATGTACTTTGTTTTTTTTGTCATGCTTGGTTTCTCGCGTATATAGCCTCGCTCGTCCTCCGAAACGTCCTTCTTCGGGGTAGACTTGCTTTTGGATACAGATGAAGCTTCGGTCGATAATTGCAATCCGCCAACAGCAGAATTTGTAGTAGCCGATTTCCCGATCTTCTTCGAGTTCCTGAGAGCCCCAAGTCGGGCTTCGAGGGTGGGTAAGAGAAATGATGGGATTCGGATTCTGACGACTGCGGGCGACTTTGATAGGATTCCATCGCCAAATCGGCGGGGTAATCCCTTTGTCTGCTCGGACGAAAGCAAACAGCAACATTCTGTCGACAATCCAGCTGAACTCTTTGCGTTTTCTGAATTCGGTCCTGCTAGTCGCTTGTCTCCTACGGCACCAGCCTTTGAGTTCCGGCGCTGTGCAGTCTTTCGTCTAATAGGCATTGTTAATAATAATAATAATTAAAATTAAAATTAGCCCAGATTCCTTCTCTCATTCTTATTGCGCTCTGTTTCCACTAATGAACATTAAACAGAGTCCCTGGTGATTACCCAATGCTCCTGTATCTAGACTTGGTATCATTCTCGCTTGGCACCATGCTCTCTGATTCAGGTGCTGAATGCTCTCTATCAGATTCTATATCCGATTCCGAGGAGCTGTCATCGCTACTCGCTCCGAGATCTGGGGGGACAGCGGGCACTTTCCCTGGTTGCTTGCCTCCTGTTACTGGTCGTGGTGGCAATGTCCATGCTGGAATGGTTGGGCTCATCACCGGAGGCAGCTCTGTGATCATCTAATGACGTATGGACGCAGCGTCAATTAAACATTCTCGGCAGTGTTTATTCAGGAGAGAGGAACTAACTTTAAAAATAATTCTCCTTACCTCAATGCTCGCGCGAAGCATCTCTGGAGGTGAGGCGGGAAGGCACTATCCCATGGGCAAAGAGTTGAATTTTTTTTAAGGACATGAATACTCCGGCATACAACAGCGAATGGAGGTATTGATCAGCATCGCTCCACCTTACCTGGCGATCGTTGTTTTTACGTGAAGGCACGCTTGGACTAAAAAAACAGTTATTGCGGACGCAAAATACGGTAAGAAGGCAGTTGGAAAGAAAGGTTGAGTGAGCAGCTGTTATAACGGAGGGATCTTCGCAAAGGATGGTCGCAAATCCACCTTCATGATATGCAACATGCACATGGGGAGATGCATCTTTATTTGTCTCACGGGCATGCATTGGGGTCTTTCCCTCCCTTCGCCTTGTCGTATAGTGGAGACCCAACTGCCTGTCTACACCAGAATGTTGCCCTCTCGCACCTCTCAGGCGTAACACATCGTTGCCCTGCCCTCGCTTGGTTCACTTACCCAAGCAATGGTCCAAATCCTGCGGCATAACCTGACACCGTACGAGGTGGAGATGGAGGTACCGTCCAGTCATTACCTGACCCCAGAGACGGGCTTTTGTCGTAGGATCGATCCTTGAGGCCAAAGGGACGAGGCAGGAAAGTAGCGTATTCACACACATTGAATATCAGATCTGGTCCGGCACATGCGCTTTTCGATGTCAGGTATTGCCTGAACTCTGTCACTTTTTGATCCAGATCACCCGATCCGTTCATCAGAGCGAGCGGGGGCGTGGGGACAGCGGCGGACGAAAGAGGGGGGATGTCAATCGAGTTCACATAATGAGTTGGGTTCGAGGTGGACGATGCAGGGATCGATGGACTTGGGCTGGAGATCGAGGGGCTGGGCCAGGCCGCTCGAGCTGAAGCAGTAGTTGTCATCCGACAAAGCGGCGTGCTCTAACAACGCGTCTGTCTATCTGGTTATTTCTGAGCGGACGATCCTCACACGACAAGTCTGCTTCTTCTTGCAGCGCCGGCCAATTGATCGAATTGGATCCGTCGGTCGAGTTCCGAGAGGATGCAGAGGCAACTTGGCTGGTGGATTGGACCCCGTTCAGGCCAAGAGAAAGGGAACGAGGGATAGGATGAGAATTGAAGGGGGAAGGGATGAACCGACGTAATAGCCAGACTGAAGGACCAACCGGTCTTGTGTCTTGTGTGCTCTCGAAGTAGCTTCGTTTTGGGTGTACCGCGAGAGGGTCCAGGGTGAGATCAGATCGGGGTACGTGAAGAAGGTTGGGGGTTGCAATGAGCGGGAAGCACTGTTTGATTGGGTAGTGTGTTTTGTCCGACCCTTGTCAGACGATGGAGACGGTGTGCGAATTCGGGTGATGGGATGTGATTGTGTATGCAGAGGGTGGATCTCGCAGGCAGGAACGGCAGTGGTGGCGGTGGTGGGGGGTACGGTGCGGGGGTGCGCAGGATGGGGATCACGATGCAGAGGGCGAAGACGGAGGATGGAGACGAATGGAGCTGGAGAGGAGAAGGGCGCAATCAACACCGAATCGGCACACTGCAAAAAAGGATGTGGACCGTGTCCACCGGACCTTGATCAACTTCGTCCTACTCTATTTCCATGGGTGGGACTCACATGAAGAATCCACCTCTATTCCTGCAAACCATAATACTTTACACGGTACCACCCTCGTCCATGGTCCTCACCAGGCTCTCTCGTTATGGTCACTGAAGGCCACCTGTGTGAAATGAAGCAAACTAAGCAATTAAGCAAACCAAGCAATTGGGCCATTGGGCCATTGGGCAGCGACCCCCATCTGGGACTATTTAATGCGGAAGAAAAGGGATGATTGAAACAACCAGCAAGAGTGCTGACTGGGCGAGGCATGTTGGTGAAGAGACCATACGAGAGGGCATTGCATTGAACTTAAAAGCATCCCCAGCCGTAGTATTTGGCAACGAACACTGCGGGCCAACCACGGATACAGCCGCTTAATTCTTCGCCCTGGAGATTAGCAGTGCTGCAGTTGAGGTGCAAGTCGTCCCGCTCTCTCACATGTTTTTCAACAGCGAGCTGCATGGCCTTGGCTGGTAGAGCACACTGCAACGAAAGAGAATGACGCTGTGCAGTCAGCATTGTCCCCAAATATGGGATTTTAGGGCTTGGGACATGTAGGTAGTAGCAATTGAGGGGCCCTGAGTTCTCAGTGCATGCCTAAGAACCATCGTCATTCAGGATTGCGAGTACTAAAAAAAAGGGGGAATTCACAGATACCAGGAACGACAGATAGCATGAATCACTCTCGGACTCGTTTTCTTTCACCCCTCCCAACCCGATCTAAGCATGTCTGGAGTTCTGCCCTCCGCCCCTTTGTCTCGTTCATGTCTCGCAACTGTCCCTCCGATGTTCCTTGGTTTGTACGCTTTTTCTTTTTCTTTTTTCGGTCGTGGATGGGTCCTCTGCTCCTCCAGGAGAGCTGTCTTATCTCAAAAATAGGACAGACAGCATCGAGATGGCGGCAAAACGCTAGGGCTGTGTCGATACGCGTCTAACCCTGGCTGGCCTGTGCTCCCAGGTCACACAGCCAACCCAAAATCGCGTTGCGACTACGAGTAGCTATTTTGACCTGCAAATCAGATACAGAGGCACTGGTTCAAGCCCGCGTGGGCTATACCCCATATATTGTCGCGTCAGTCGCATCGGCCACGCCAGGCAAGAGGCCAAAGGGTCACTCGACAGACTGATGGGGACAACATCGACTATTAAGAACCATAAACTTATCATTCCAACAGCAACGAGTCCTTGCTTCTTCCTCCTCCTCCTGAGGTCAAATCGATATTAGAATCAGTCCCTCCTTCCCACTCCTGCCCTCATTTTTGCCCTCTTATTGCCTTTACCGTAATTATTTGGCCAATAGCTCGTTATTTCATTCCGCATCCCGTAACTGAAAACAATAAGCGAATATATATCAACAGGGCCCACATCCTCAAAGACTGCACCCTTTTTCTTTCTTGTTTTTGTTACTGTAAACTGTCTGCCCTCGTAGCCTTTGCAGTCCACATTCTCGAGCACAGCAGACTCACTTGTTGTCCCGGCACCCTAGCCTGCCCTGCCTCCCTTCAGTTCGCATTCCAGCAAGCGTACACAGCTGATCTGGTTGTGCCTCAATCGACGACGCAAAGATAAAATATTCGACCGTTTTTGTTCCTCAGCTACCCAGCGTGATCATGAATGGAGCAGAGTTGGAGATCGTACGTCTTTTTCTCGCCTATCCTCGTTCAATATTGCTCGTTCTTACATTTCAATCCCTTGAAATATACAAACCTTCATCGCCACTACCACTACGCCAGATCCTATTAGAAAGCACAGATTCCTCCCCTTGCCTTCGCTCCTCAGGGTTGGTCTTTGTATCTCCCAGCTTCTCCGCCGCTCCTTCCCATTATTAGATTTTTTTTCTGGGCACACCCGCTTTCGGCTGGTACACCTGGGTCTGTGACCAATACAACTACCATTGCTCATAGTATCTCTCTCTGACAGTTTACGGCTTTGCCTTCCTTCCTGTATTTAGCCCTCATCCCTTCGCCGGGTTTGCCATCCCTGCCACATCCCCACTGCACCAACTACCTACAGACCGTCCTGCCTACGCTCCTCCACCTTTCGGTTGCCCCCCAATTGCACGTCTTCCTCTTGACCCTCTTGGTCACCCTTTTAGTATACAAACATACGCACTCTTTCTGTCTCTCCTCGCTGGACAGCTCTTCGTCTAGCGGCAATTATTCTATCGCACCGTGGAATCGTCCATCCGCTTGCCCTCTTGTACTCCTAGAGCCTAAAGAGGCGCTTCTTCTACTCCTCATACATAATCTCAGGCTTTCATGTTCTTTTAGTCTCCTCCTCTGCCTCATCCACATCTCACATAAGCACCATTACACCAGCCACTCCGAAAGCTGCCCCAGTACTTTACGACACCTAAACTTGATTATTAGCAAACGACCTAACTTTTCAGCGCCATCCTCTCCACACCCGCGCTCAGTTTATCCGGACACTGCGCCCCTATCCCAAGCCTATCGACGCTTTAAAAAGGTCCACAGTGCCTGACGACTAAGTATGAATACAACTAATCACTCCGACACAGAGCCCAACCGTTCAGGATCCAACAAAGAGAAAAGCAACCAGCCGATAAGACCGTTTTCAAAAGAAGGGTCGAGCTCACAGTCCAGTGGTTCTCATCTTTATCTTTCGGCACTCGCGATTTCTCGCGACAGATTTTTTGTTAGTGCCACTGGCTCCTCCTCGCTCATCTCTCCATACAATCACTCCAGTTTTAAAGTCTACGAGGAGCAGCAGGACAAAAGCACTTCACAACAATCCCCAAGAACAAGTCAAGAGTCGACTTTATTGGCGGGATCCCATTACGCTTCGGCACCACGCTTTCATCAGCAAGCACAGCACCGATGCCAGCAACACCACCAGCAGTGTCAGCAGCTAGGGCTTCACCCTCAGGGTCAGCAACATCAACAGCGGTTCCGACGTCATCCGTCCGAGTATGAGCAAAGCCATGAGGAGGACGATAAGCTAGTCTTGATCGAGAATATGGAACAAGAACCTTTGGAAGACGAGCAGACGGCATCTCGTACACTCCGGCGACCGTCTCGTCCCCTGAGCGCACAAGAAACCCTCTCTAGAAATTTCATCTCCGAGGAAGAGTTTTCCATGCTGGCAGAGGAATACCTGCTATCGCTTTCGCCGAAAAAGAGAGAGAAAGCACTGCTCACGAACAGCATGTACCAACAAATCCTGATGGTCTTGCTCCAGCCAAAGAATACCCAGGTCTCAACAGCTCAGTTTCGCTTTTGGGCCAAGAAAATGTTCACTCTGTCAACAGTGGAGACGCACCACATCGTTTGTCATGGAGGAAAGCCGGTAGCAACCAAAGAATGTCTATACGATGTTCTTATCTATTGCCATCGCAAAAGCTCCCATGGAGGCCGAGACAAAACATCTGCTGAGGTATCGTATCTTAAGTCTTTTTGTTCAATAGCCTTTGTACTTTCTGGTATCACTGATATCAACAACTCTTTCGCTTTGCTTCATAGATACGACAGCACTACTCTTGGGTTCCGAAAGAACTTATCGCTCGCTTTGTCAGACAATGTCCGCTCTGCTCAAGTCGGCGCCACAGTCTACAAAGAGCTCCATCGGCTTTGGAAAATAGTTCTAGTTATGACACGTCTAGCCAGTTATCTACAACTGATTCTCGATCGGAATTGCACTCCCGAAATGCCGCGGATAGCAGCTCAGAGCACCATTGGCAACAACAGCAACAACAGCAGCAGCAGCAGCAGCAGCAAGGACAACGCTTGATGCAGAACCACAGTCAGTCAGAGGGTGAATATTTGAGCCAACAACAGGAGCGACATATACAAGGTAGACCCCATAGTCTTAATCTTCAGCAACAGCAGCGCAAGGCCCGTTCCCGCCCTGAATGTTCTACCCAACTTGACCAACAAAGGCTGCAGTCTGAAGGGCTTCATGGACGACACCATAATGACTCTTCGTTACTATCCCATCAAGGACATTACCGCGCTGGTTCCATTATGACTCAGTCTGACGTTCCTCTACAGCCTTCAAATCGCAGCTCGCTCGTTTATCCAGATACATTTGGTAGGGGTGAGAGCAGGAGCAACGAGGACGACCAAGGACATGATGTGGACTATGATGATGATGCCATGGAAGAGGACGACGATTTTAGGGATCATGGACACATAGAACGCGCTATGAGTCGTAGTACCGGACTGTTTAGCCAACCATTGCGCAGATATGGACACGCTGAGCAAACCAGGGATGACAACCCTGGTAATGATTGCAGCCCTAGTGGTCTAGTGGGGGCCTCTCAAGATGTCCGACAGCTCTTGCCCTTTGATTCGATGCGAGGGCAATTCCAGCATTCGGGTCTTCAATTGACTCGCCAGCAACACCAGCAGTACCAGCAACAACAGCAACAGCAACATCAAACTCATTCTCCTCAACACACTCATGGGTATCCTTCACAGAATTACTCTATATCTTCTGGGTCAGAGGTTCTTCCTGCCGCGACAATGCATCATCCCAATGGACATATCCTTCATAACCGTCATCCTATGCATTGTCTATCATTGGCACAGGTCGAATACCCGTATGGACACCCTTACCCATACAATACCTCTGAAAAAGCTGGCAACATTCCTTTCAATCAAGTCAAGCCTGCTCGTGGCCGTGTGTCCTTGGAAACACCCCTTCAGTCCGTCGCTTTACAGCCAGCAACGTCGTTCTACAGCTGTACGCATGGGTGAATACGGGTGCTTATCAGGAAGCAGACAGCTATAAGGGGGCACAAAGCCACTTGGGTTTGCAAGGTCGTGTGTCAAGTAATGAAGACGCTCTTGACGGAGATCAGGACCATGGAAACACTAGAAGCGATGACTCTCAAGCTCGCGATGGACCATAGCCTGGTTTCTTTCTCCCTTCGCCAGGAACTTACATGTTCATTCACTTTACTTGGGCACTTGGTGCTATGTACACAGCAACGCGTTGTCTCGACTGTGCGTTTTTCAACCAACCTTAGCATGGCGCCCTCTTTCTTTCTCTCTTTCTTTCTTGCATTCATGGACGTCATGCATTTTTTATTCCATTCCTAGAGCTGCTGTCGTTTTCCACATTTCCATAGCATATGATATCTGTAGTAATCGGCACTCTAGACTCTTTTGCGTATTAGGATGCGCCCATTCCTGTCCTTTCAGACTCTTAGGCACGTAAACCACACGACATTGATGAGCCCTTTTTCGAACTATTTTCATTTTAGACTAATGTGGAACCACCTTCCACTTCTTCCTGGCTTCAGCCATATGCGCGCGTAATTCTTCTAGAAATAATGCAAGCATTGATGCAATTTGTATTTGTGTAAAGTAAACCGGTCTTTATTACGCGAGTTGAGTAGGCCCCAACCGTCACTGTGCTGATTGGCTGCAGGGAGCATCGCGTCCGCTGTGAAACATTCCTGCCTCTCCCTCCCTCTCCCCTTGGTTCCAGATTGATTTTCGATTCCAGGAACCGTGCGGGGCGGCATCTTAAAGATAGACTGACTGCCACAGATCTCCGACAGCCCTGTTGGCTGCCTTGGATGCGGTGCTCGTTTGAGGCCCTCCTCTGGGGTTTCGTTGCAGACCCCTCTCCAAAGGCCTGTCTGCCATTGGGTGTCGACCCTCGGTCAGGTACAAACAACGGGGCGCACGCGTGGATGTTATCATCATTGTCGTATTGTGTATATTAGACAGCTGATCATAGGCCCGCCTCCTTTTTTCAAAAAAGTAGGCACAAGTTGTATGACCCCCTGTGCCCTTTGTCGACCCCGCCCCTCCTTTCTTCTCTCTTATTCGTATTCTCATTCCCCGTATTCTCATTCCTCACTCCTCATTCCGAATCCCATCCACCCCCAATTCTCTTCCCAATTCCACCATATACCCATGTCCCAACCAACTCTCGCTGAACTGTCCATATCGCTGAGCCATGTCCAGTCGCTGCTCAAGCAGATCACTGCCGAAGTCAAGGTCCTGAGCGAGGGCATCGCCGTCCTTGTGGAGCAGCAGGAGGCCGAGGACGTAGAGGAGGAACTCAACTATCTGGATGTGGACCCATGGTCAAATGTCAACGATAAGGACAAGAATACTGCAGCATCCCGTCGAGACAGCATTCGGTCTCTGATGCAACGAAAACCCTCGACTGTCAAGGACGAAACCAAGGCATTGGCCCGGATCCTGAGCCAGAAACGTGCCTCAGGGGGTGGCGGTGCAGGAAGTGGCAGTGAATCTGAAAAGCAACAACAGCAGCAAAAGGCTATAAAGCAAGGACAGACTAGCTTGCAGGACCAGGTTATTGACGAGGACAACACTTCGTCCGAGGGATCATCGACCTACCGACGTAGGAAGCAGGATTCGCCTGTAGGAGAAAAGCATGAGCTCAGGACGATCACAGAGCTGACTTCCACAACCATCGGCTCGGTGCGGAGTGCGACTCCACAACTACCAGAAGCGGAGCGAGTACCGCACACCATCACGGTCGAGACAACCCAACTGCCCACAAAGTTCCCAATTGCTATCACCAAACCCAGCACTCCCCAGAGTCCGTCCACGCCTATGCTCTCGGCCTCTTCCAGTCAAAGCTCTATTCTCGCCGCTATGAATGGTCAGAGCAACAATAATATACCCCCATTTTGGCGATCGTCCACCTCGCCGAACGTGACCGAGGGTTCTCGACCATCCTCTGTGGCCAGCAGCATCATCTCGGATACGTATTTGACGAAGAGCAGTGTACCGAACGTAAGGCGACCAGCTTGAGCCCATTAAAATGTTTGCTACGTCACCTTGCTCACATGCATATTTAACAGAGCAATCAATGTTTATGCCGTGCCTCCATATCTCCATAGCGTCGATCCTTGCAAACAGAATCTAGAAGCAACTCGGAACTCCATATCCCAACACAAACCAGCGTTAAAGATCGCTACACTGTAAGCTGGATATGCCCTGCGGAAATTTCTTTGATTTTTTGTAGAGACATAGTGTATTAATGCTCATTGATGTTGTTCAGCAAGCGCTTAGGGGTAATACGCAGGGCGTAATTCTACATCCGTCAGTGGGCAAGGATACAGGAAAGTCCACCTTCAGCATCAAATCGCCTACACCCATGGTCGCCGCTCAAGTTGAGAAGATGGAGACTACAGACTGTTTCAGCAAATTAGGCTTGACCCCTGAGCTCTTGCGAGGCATCTACGCATACGGGTATGGACTCGCTTTGAAGACATTCTTTTATCAGTGCGGTCGGATGGATAAAGGCGTGCATTTGACCCCGATAACGTATCTAAATATCCTTCGTCTTTTATGTGCACATTGACTAGCCTGAAAATGCCCTCCATCCTACAGCAACGCGGAATCCCAATGATCATGACTAGACACGACGTCCTAACTCAGGCGAAACCAGAGGTTACCAAAACATTGACCTACGCCATCCCATTACTAAACTTTCTGACCCTCCCCGCAACCTCGATCCATCCGCAGCTGCTCATCCTGTGCTCCAACCACGACTTGTGTCAGCACGTCCAGCGAGTGTTGCTGGCGCTTGCCCGCTTTATGCCAACGATCTCGTGCTTGATTTGCGCAGATGGAAGTAACGCCACACTATCATTGGGAACCATGTCTTCAACTCAGGTCAATATCGTGGAGCATCCCAGCAAAAACGGCCGGGGATCCGCACATGTGGAACCACCACCAGTCATTGCAGCCCATGTCGTGATTGGAACGCCAGGAAAGGTCCTCAGCCTGATCAGATCGAAGCAGATCAGCCTTTCTGCGCTCAAGGCTATGGTCCTGGAAAACGCGGACATTCTTCTGGCGTCCCCTTTGAAGGAGGCCACCGTCAGTTTGCTCTCTATGGTACGGGATCCTGCCGCCAATGGTACCGTACCGGGGTCTTCAGCAGCGGATTCAATGATTTCACCACCAAATTCGGGACCTACCTCCCCAGTGTCAAAGGCCGTAGCAGCCCTGAACGGGCGGATTATAGGCTCCAGTCCCTCCGAAGCACGACCACGATCCATACCTGGCACCCCAGGCTCAACATCACAGAGCTCTACATCATCATTGTCATCCTTATCGTCATGCTCATCATTCGGGACCTCAACTTCTCATCTTATCCCCAATCAGCCTCAGCTCTTATTCTTCTCGACCGAGGTTCCTTCGCATGTCCTGGACCATGTAGCACAGTATATGACACAGCCAACCAAGGCACTGGTGAAGGGACACGAGTTGGCATTAAAGGGCATCCTTCAGTTTTTCAAGTACATGACAGTGGACGATGAAGTGTGGCAACTGGAGCTGCTCTGTGAGCTGCTGGAGGATAGCGGAGCAAATCGTGCGGTTGTATTCTGCAACAAGGATGAGACGGTCGATCGAGTGGTGCGAAAGATCCGTGAGCGCAAAGGATTTGCCATACCTTTAGTAAGTCTATGTTTCGCATCTGCACATCCTTTTCTCTGCCCCGGTGCAATTTCATTTCCACGTTCCAAGGTGTGGTTGTTTGCCTCATTATTGATATTAACCTGCTCTTCAACTTTTTATTTATTTTTTCTCTTTAGTACTCAGACATGGATATGACAACGAGGAAAGCCGCCATAGGACGGTTCCGGGTCTCGGCTCCGCCACTTTATCTTATTCTGACGGACGAAGCCGCCAAGGATCTCGAGATCTTGGCGGTCCCACTGGTTGTCAGCTTCGAGGTCCCGAGCATTGGCAATTACATTCCTCGGTAAGCAGCATGCAAGATATGACTCAAGAATAAGTTTTCTCCTTTCGTTTTTCCCCTTATATGCTATGCTCAAGCAACTAGTCTCCTAACATCCTTACCTTTGTTCTGCTCTGTTTGTCAACTGGTTAGTGTGAAATGGATCGATCGGTCGAAAGGAAGAGTCGGGGCCAAGGTGACGCTGCTCGATGGGCATAAGGGCGAGGGCCAGGCTCTGAGGGCGATTCAGCAACATTACCGGACGACAATTGATGATATGCCGGTAAGTTGGAACATCATTTTTGACACTGGGTCCATGGGGGGGGGGAGAGTTTCTTGCTTTTTGTGGATGTTATGTGGTTTATGCACGTTCTAACAGACCCACCACGTTATCTTTAACTATGTGAATATAGGCGAACATTGCAGAGTTCATAGTCAACTAGTTTTTACTACGATGATTGAACGGGATAATAAAACACGAAGCTGTCAAGTAGCCCCCAGCAGAATCTTCCTTTACCACAAAATGGGCACGAACTCGGATATAAAAAAGAGCGTTCAAAGGCCCCCTCTCATTTTACATCTTCAATCCGTATCTTATCTTTATAATCTTTTCACAATCATGAGTCGCAGACGCCATCGAGGTTCAGTGGTAAGTTGTTCATGCTGATAGAACGAAAGACCTCTCGCTGAGACCAAGGCGAAGTTTGACGGATTGTTTCTTACATCCTCGATACACCTCTTGACACCGCTTCTTCTAGTCCGATCAGGACATGCCTGCCGAAAAATACGAAGGCATGAGGCTGGAAAGAGAGTTGCTTCGCAGTATCAAAAACTGTGGGTAGGCCTACCAGACTGGTCGCAATTGAACCCCGGAATTAATATCCCCAGTACCGCCCATCTTCTCTCACTATCCGAATGACTAAACTGGGGCCACTCTCATACGTCGAGAAAAGGATCATTCAATCCGCTATTCGAAGAGGAAGTGTGATCGCCGAAGTGTCCTTGAGGTTTGGGCAGACAGGTGCGCTTATTATACCGGTTCTGCAGGCGCTCGATGCCCCAAATCCTGTTCCGCAAGCATTGATCATCACGTCCACGAGCGATTTGGCGCTCCTTATCCAGAAGGGGTTGTTGGTACTGGGCGTGTTCATGGGTGTTAGATGCCAGGTTTATATTAAAGGATCGAACAAGAACGATGTTGTCAGCCAGCCCATGTGGTGGCTGGTACTCCCCGTGAGGTCTCTTCTATGATGCACATGATCGAGATTTCATCAAGATGCTGGTACTGGACGGCGTGGACGAGATACTCGCAAACGGGTTCAGGTATCAGGTCCACGGTTTGTTTAAAAAAACTTCACGAGGACATCCAGACTGTACTCCTGTCCTCCAGTTTGCCCGTGGGTGTGGAGAAGCTGAGGACCAAGTTCATACAAGACCTCGTTCGGATTTCGGTAACAGAGGATAGGTCAGTAGTGGCGGCTGGCATGGAAGAGGATAAGCTCGGACTGCTGCGCGAGCTCCTCAGGAAAGCGGTCTATGAGAAGGCGGGTGTCCTCTGCAATAGCCGCAGAACCGTGGACTGGCTGGCGGAGATGCTGCAATCAAGTGGGATCGAGGCTTTGGCGATCCATGGTGAGATGTGTAGGGATATGCGGGCTACGACTTTGATGGTCTTCAATCGTGGGTTTAAAGTGTTGGTCTCGACGAACGCGCTAGCTCACCTTAACTACGCTCCGAAGGTGTCCTTGGTCATCAATTACGACCTACCTTCTAGCACAAGTACACTTACCGTATCGGTCTTGGAGACCAATCGGATCGCAAGGACGTGGTGATCAATTTTGCTACCATGGGTGACAAGAAGATCTTTGGTGGCATTGAGCAGCGCTTTTCGATCCGGCTTATCAACTTATCCGCGAATATACGCGTTTACTACGAACAGGCCTCCAACCTTTTTATTCCCAACAAATAAAAACTTTAGTCCGCGAAAATGCGGCGCAGCCACTTTTGAACACCTGAGGGAGGAATTCCTGCAATTTCACCTTTCACTTCACTTTTCTTCTCTTTGTCACTCTCACTTGCACCATGACTACCCCCGATGGACCTCAGCCTTTGAATGATGAGACTGAAGTATGACTAAGGAACCGGTGGCAGCGACAGCAGCTCGGCTAGCTTGACCTAATGTGTTTTTTTTTTTTCCTTATGATCCCATAGACCATGGTGGCCAACAACTTCGAAGACATGAATCTCAGCCCAGAGCTCCTTCAGGGCATCCTTGCCTATGGGTATGACCAAATATCCCTGTATTGAAGCAGAGTAATCATAATGAATGTAGGTGACATCTTTGGGGTCATTGATATAACCATGGATTCCGCACTTCCGATTATCTCCAGCTTCGAACAGCCCTTCGCGACCCAGAGGCGTTCCTTCTTGCCCATCCTCAAGAGTCACGATGTCATTATCCACGACCATGCCGGAACAGGAAAAACCATCGCCTCCATAATTTCTATGCTCAATAAGCTCGATTTGACCAATTCCCAATGTCAGGCATTGGTGATTGTCCCCACCCGTGAATTGGCACAAGCGACTATGAGAGTCGTGGAGGCGCTGGGAAAGTTTATGTCAGTGGAGTGTCAGGTCTGCATCGGAGGAACCAGAATACCCGAGTGCATGGCTAATCTGGCTCAGGGGGCCCAGGTGGTGGTTGGAACGCCCGGCCGTGTTTATGACATGATCTGTCGAGGAGCACTCAAGACGGATTCGGTCAAGATGCTGATCTTGGATGAGGCAGACGAACTGCTGGAAAGATTCTTGATCGACCAAATATGCGATCTACTCGCGAAACTCCGTCTTGGGATACAGATCGTGCTCATGTGCCCGACCATGCCCGAGAATGTGATGAAATTGGTGGCCCGGTGCATGAGGGATCCAGTGCGGTTCTTAGTCTCGAGGGACGAGGTATTGTTAGAGCGGACAAAGCATTTCTATATCGATGTCGTGAATGAAGAACGGAAACTTTATACGTTGCTGAATCTCCACATGACGGCGCTTCACGCGGTGGTTTACTGCAGCACTCCAAGGATGGTCGATTGGTTAGTGGCACAACTGCGAGCAAACAACTTCACGGCGTTGGCGATTTATGGGGATATGGAAGAAGAGGAGCGGCAGTTAGTTCTAAAGAAGGCTCGAGCTGCATGGGCCGCACTTTTGGTTTCCACGGATCTAGAGGACAACCGGCGACTGAATCTGCAGCAGGGCGTGACGGCGACGATCAACTACGATATGCCACTGAAGGAGGATTACATCCGGAGGATTAATCAGAGGACGTACAGGAACCGGGTGTTTTGCTTTATTACGAGTGCTGATGCTAGGATGATCAAGGAGATTGAGGAGTACTATCTGATAAGGATCCAGAAGTATTTAAACTAGGCATACCTGTCTAGGATGCTCTTCGGGGTGTTTCCTCGTCACCTTTACACAATGCGTTTACTCATCAAGTAAAGACCGCGAGAAGAGCTCGCGCTTTGCTTCGCCCAATTATGCGGACAGCCGTAGCGAACCCGCCTCTCCTTTATATGTAAATAATGACACCGCTTAACCAGAGGACTGGACGTGCAATTTTGACACCACAAGCTCAAATCCATTTGGGCCCCATATGCGGTAACAGCTTTATTTTTTATTTTTTGCGCGCTAATTGTCCCGCCAGCGACGCGTTGGAAGGATCAGTCGGCCCAGAAGCTTGGTTGGTTCGTAGCGCACTGACCGCGAAAAACGACCTCTGCTGCAGATTCGAGAAGGAAGAATTGTAATGTGAATGAAACGGTGTGCAGCACAAGAGTACAAACTGCAAAGACAACGGCAAGGGCAAGAGAGGACGAGGAATAGGAGAGTGTAAGGGAAAAGAAACTAAGAGTGGGACTGCTGTTCTTTATTAAGTCACATAGGCCAGCGATTTCCTAAGCAAACAGCACAGCAGTTGATCACACCATGGCAGGCAGCTGAGCCCCCTTCTATCCGCCATAAACCGTCTTTTCGTATCTTCAATCTTCAGTTGCACAGATGAGAAATAACTGTTTATAGGGAACATCAGGCTTTGCGCTTCACCATGCTACGTCGCCCAGCGACGCCTATGGGTTTCATGAGGACAATTTCAAAGAGGCAAGCAACGCAAAGCACCGAGACGCAAATAGACAAAGAACGAACGAGTGAGGAAACCTGCTGGAACAGGGGTAGGACATGGCTGAGGACACCTTTTTGTTCGTCTGCCCTCGCCATTCTTTCCCTCTTATCCCCTACTCTATTCTTTGTCTACTCAGTATTTCCTTCCTTTCTTCAACACTCTCTCCAGCATGACCACCGGCAATAAAAACAACACCACTGGTCTTGACCAGCTCGATGATTCTTTTGAGGTAAAGAAGTAGCAGTAGCACAGCGCCATCGGTCGTTCGTCGATCATGAGAGACCGGAGGTGACGATGTATAACGCTTGCTTGATAGTCCTACTACGACAAGGTCGTCAAACCCTATAAGAGCATGAACTTATCGCCGCAGCTTCTACGTGGCATCCAAGCAGATGGGTAAGCATATTTTACTGTCACTTCCGTTTAGCCCAATCCAGACTTTGGACTTTCGCTAATTATCAAACAATCCGTTTTGTAAATATGACCAACAATTAGTCTAGGACAGCCTTCACCGGCCGAACAGCGGATCATCCGAGCAGCTATTGAAGGTCATGATGTGATAGCGCAGACGTCCGTCAACTTTGGACGGACAAGCACGCTTACCGTACCGGTCCTACAAAGGCTGGATGCATCAAAGACCGACACGCAAGCCTTGATTGTCACTCCCATGAGCGATACAGCGCGGCAGGTTCGGAAGGACATACTGTCAGTGGGCGACTTTATGGAAGTGGATTGTCATAACTGTGTCGATGACTCTGATATGCGCGAGACTATGAATAACATGCTGGCCGGTCCTCATGTTGTTGTTGGGACACTTGGTCGTGTCCTCGACATGATCAACCGAGAAGCCCTCAAGACTGATTGCATTAAGATGTTTGTTCTGACTGGGGCGGACGAGATGCGCTCGAGAGCTTTCAAGGACCAAATCTATGATCTCTTCCGGCGACTCCCTCGTAACCTCCAGGTTATGTTCCTGTCTGAAACTACACCCACGGAGATGATGAAAGCCACCACTAAATTCATGCGGGACCCCATCCAAATCTTGGTCGAGGAGGATGGGCTGACGTTTGAGGATATCAGACAGTTTTACATCGCTGTCGAAAAAGAGGAGTGGAAGTTGGACACGCTATCCGACCTTATCGAGGCCCTGATCATCACCCAGGCGATCATCTTCTGCAACGCTCGCAGAAAGGTTGATTGGTTGACGAGAAAGCTGAGTGCCTGCGGGACCATAGTATCAGCGATCCACGGACGTATGGGGCAGCCCCAGCGCGAGTTCACTATGAAGGAGTTCCGCTCAGGACGGTCCCGTGTGCTGATTGCGACGGATTTACCGGCGCGTGGTATCGATGTGCAGCAGGTCTCCCTGGTTATCAACTATGACCTGCCGACCAGCAAGGAGAATTACATCCATCGTATCGGCCGTGGAGGTCGTTTCGGACGCAAGGGTGTGGCGATCAATTTCGTTACTGCGGACGACATGCGGATGTTGCGGGGGATTGAGAAATTTTACTCAACCCAGATCTTGGAGATGCCCATGAATGTCGCTGATCTCATTTGAGTGGGCTACGAACATATCTCTAGGCCTGTATCTATGTTTTCCAGGTATACTTTGCAAACTGCTGTTACTGTCCCTACCGCTTCCATGATTTACGCAGTCAGATAGTGCTTAATGTGGTAATGGACTATATACTGACATGCTGGAATGAAGTCTGAAAAATTCCTCTGGGTCGATCGCTATACTGCCCTGAGAGAGATAAAGAATATTGCTGATTGGCTATAGCTTACCAGCTTCATCTTTATTTTGGACGTGTCCCTTCGTCGCTTGAGGACGGATGCCCTGCGACAACGACCGCCATTCATCTCGCTACCTCTTCGTGCACTTTCTTGCCACCCATGGATCCAAAGCCGCATGTGAAATTGTTCGCCCTAGCACATTGCGGCCATGAATTAAAAAAAATGGCGAAGCTGTTCAGCCCTAATGTCACACAAGATGACCTGCTAAGCTATAGCTTTCGCCGCCTTCCTGTTTCTTCTTCTGCCTTCTTCTTTATTTGTTCATATTCCACCTCCATTCACTCCCTTGACACATATGCAACATGACGCTCGAGGACTCGGCCCGCCTACGTTTGCAAGTCTTCGTCTCCGTCCTCCCATAAGTGCATCGACTGGCTCGGAAGTTGTTACCATTTGTACTCGATTCGATCCCGGAACTGGGGAACACATTATTCTATGGAGAGATACTCAGCAGTATTCCGAGAACGCAAAGGGTGTAATAAACGCTGAACATGTAGTCTTGTTTCTGACTGAAGACAACTTTCAGGACTAAGTCCAGAGAAAAAGAACAGGGACGGAATGGAGTGTATTCACTTGTGAGAGTAATGCAATTGACTCTGTATAATAGCATTGACCATTTACGGATTAGACTCTACCCAAGGGTCATGCTCGATGTATTTGTCGGCAGCTCTGAAGAGATGTAGAGTCCTTGCATCAAATCATGTGTACAGCGGCAGCTTCTCCGTCTCTTGCAATAGACACCCCGACCATGGCCAATGACCTCTCGAGACGCATCTCGCCCACGCCTGCGGCTGCAGATGGTGAAGAGTCTTATACAGAGCAAGTGGTTGGACTCTCTACCCTGCGCCAGGCGTCCTCGAGCCAAGGTCTCGTTGTCTACTCCAACAGATATAACGCAGCAATTGACTATGTTTGCCCATGATAACCTCGATTTATATGTATCACGGCTGCAGGTTATCCTGACCGGTCAGGTCGACACCGTTGCAGAGATGCAGAGGAACAGATTCCTTCAAGAGCAGACGCTTCAGTTGCAGCAGCAATCGGACGAGAACCAAAAGCAAATGCTACAGATGCAGGAACAGCTGGACTAGAATCAAAAACAGATACTTAAGATGCAGCAACAAGCCCTTGATCGATTGTCTATTTCCAGAATCGGTTCCATGTCATTTTGACCCAGGCATACGAGCTTGTAGTCATGGACAACATCGGCTCTCTACCTAAGCCCATAGTGTTAAAGCTGTTCTTGGGTTAATTCGCAGTACCAAGGGTTCGTCATGGGCAGCGATACTCAGACCACGTGGGCTTTGATGTTAAGCTTCGGGCTTCTTCATTCAGCCTTTTCACTCTGCTTCTTCGAAATAACCTTCTTACACGATTCTCGACATCAGGGCTTTTTCTTGAGGACGACGACTCTCAACTGATGGAGATTATGCGCGGGAATCAAAACCTCACGGAGATCGAGCTCGAATGCGACTGCGAGCAGTTTCTTGCGGTTGTTGACCTGATATTATCAACAAGAGAGGGGCATAATTCAGAAGGGCACGCGCGTCTTTGCACCGCTAAGACGTGAACTTGTCGCTGTCTCCGACGATACAAATAACCATATCACCTCAACAGTGCACTTTACAAATGACTTCGCTGTGTTTAACATGTCCGCCGATATCAAGATGGGATAAATTCCGAGGACTGACCCGGACTATCTCTCTAAAGCGTTCCGCCGATATAAATAGCCTCTTAGGGAGCTGGATGCCGGCTCTGAGGCACTCAACACCGATCGCTCTCTGCAGCTCAACAAATCGATACAAGGAAAAGAATCCAAACTGGAGACTCTATTGCTGAATGCACGTGCCCTGTCCTCCGCCGGCGTGGATTGTATGGCTCAGGTTCTCAATCGCTCAACAGCTCTTCTGGACTACCGTCTTCGTCTCGTTGGCTCACTACCTAAAGTACCGGCAAAGAAGCTGCTGTTCTCCCTCACCTTGAAAAGCTGAGGTTCCTCTGTCTCGGCGACGGCGGGGATAAGGATGGCTTTCCACAGGAGTTTGTTCCATGGCTCATCACAACGGCCTCGCCTCCGAATGACAAGTCCGTTCTCGAGCCGCCTCAACCACAGAGCACAGAGGGCCTACTGGAGACGCTATCTATCAAATCTTCCGTGGACACATGGACGGCATGGGAACCATCACAAGGATCCAGCCTGCTCGTATTTTCGTTCCAGTCAGAAGACTGAACAGTATTATCGAGGCTCAAAGCTGAAGGCAATGGTTTTCCGAGGGACTAACTCTTCGATAGACGACCTCAAAACGCTGGTACACTGCATTCCACTCAGCAAATCCGGGGTATCGCTGAGGTATTGGAGTTTACAGGATCAGCTCTTTCAAGGTGCATAGATGTTTTTAAAGTATATTGGCTTTGCAGGGCATTGGCAATGAAAGTGCTGTATCTCCAGATCAGTGGACTTCACGAAATTATCACATAAACGTTTTAAAGACATGTCAAAAAAAATACAATGGCGATATGTCCTCAACTGGCGCACATCAATCTAAACATCTTCCGGCATTCTAACTCCTAATATCCTTCACTGCCTCGCACATCTCCACAAAAAAAATAAAAAAATAAAAAAAATAAAAAGTTTGACCTTTTAGGGCGGAGTTGATGTAGGTGAAGTGGTCGAAGGACGCAAGGCCCGGAGCAGAGGGCAAGGAAGAGGGACGACACTGAACAACGTCGACCATCATCATAAAAGTAAAATCTGCGAAAGATTGGTCCGTGCGCGCGTCACAACAGATGGACTAACGCGCGGTATTACTATGCATTAGTTGTGCTCGGTCACCGATTATGACTCCAATAAAACGCGCATTTTGGATCCAAGGGCCAATTCCATGGGTAGTTTTTTTTTTTTTTTTTTTTTTTTTTTACATTCCAGAGTAGGCGAATAGCAGGAAGCAAAAGCACGTTTTGGAAAAACCAATTTACTGAAACAAATCAGAAAAAGGGTGAAGATATGGACGTGGTACAAACGGAAACGGATGTGATACATGAGGATGTGTAGTATGTAGTATACAATAAAAACAGAGAAGATGCCAAGCAATTAGGCGGTATAAGTGTCATGTCAGTCGTAAGTTGTTCATTAAAAAATAAAAAATAAGCCTCCAAGCCAAACGCGCCGTCTGAGTCCTTATGGCGACCCCATCATCGTCTCCCTATTACATCCAGCGCCGCTGATCCTGCTCTGATGGCCGATCCTATTCCGAGGATGCTCATAAGTCGCCTCCATATCAGATCCATTCAGATCCGCAGGATGTGTTCTCACGAAGTTGTCTGTATGTTCTCTGGTCGTGCTGTAATTTTCCTGCCCTTTTCCTTGTCCTTGGCGATGCTGATGGGGTGGTCCGTAAAGTGGAGAGTGAGGTTGTACGCGGGCCAGTCCACCAAAGGGCCCTCCTGGAGGCGGATATTCGTCCTCGGGCGTATGTGGGAACCCACGTTGCTGCACTGTGTGTTGTTGCTGTTGTTGTTGTTGTTGCTGTTGCTGTTGCTGTTGCTGTTGCTGTTGCTGTTGCTGTTGCTGTTGCTGTTGCTGTTGCTGTTGCTGTTGCTGTTGCTGTTGCTGTTGCTGTTGCTGTTGCTGTTGCTGTTGCTGTTGCTGTTGCTGTTGCTGTTGCTGTTGCTGTTGCTGTTGCTGTTGCTGTTGCTGTTGCTGTTGCTGTTGCTGTTGCTGTTGCTGTTGCTGTTGCTGTTGCTGTTGCTGTTGCTGTTGCTGTTGCTGTTGCTGTTGCTGTTGCTGTTGCTGTTGCTGTTGCTGTTGCTGTTGCTGTTGCTGTTGCTGTTGCTGTTGCTGTTGCTGTTGCTGTTGCTGCTGTTGAAGCCTCTGGTGTTGTTGTTCCAGAGAAGCGAAGTATTGCTGCTCACGAGTCATTTGAGGCAGTGTCGACGACGAGAACCTCGGTTCAGAAGCACTCGAATTCGGACTATCAATCATCATTTGTGAGTGATGCTTCGCACCTCCATGCGGCCGTCGCTGACCATCTCGGATGGACACATTGCCCGTGCTTGCTCGATGGTGCAGATGACGCTGTCGAGGGTGATGATTGACCGACTCTTGCATCTCCATATCCTCCCTTAATCTACTAGACGCCGTCCTTGCTCCTGCCGATGCCGATGCCGATGCCGATGCCGATGCCGATGCCGATGCCGATGCCGATGCCGATGCCGAAGGGGAGCCATGGAAAGAGTTCCAGCTAGCCTGCTTCCTAATTTCCCCACCCATAATATTCGAATATCTGCGTGGCGAAGAAAAATAGGATTTTGATCCGTCACCAATGCTGTTGGCGCTAGGCCAGCCGATAGACCCGTCACTGGGCCGCTTTTCGATCGTGTCGTACTCGCTTCCGTACTCGGAACGGTCGTCGGACATGTACTCTATCTCGGCCACGCGAGCTCCTGGATGGTCGCTATATTCTTTGCTGGGTGAGGACGCTGCGGCAACCATACCTCCATGAGCAGTCGGATCCGAAAACGTTGCAGTCTCCAAAGGATAATAGGGCTTTGCACTGTCCTCCGTCTGTCGATACCAAGACCTTGCAGAGGACAGGTCTGGACACGCAGTCGCGCCTGCAGACCCAGATCTATCTCCTTGTATGGTCGGAATAGAATGCAGGAGCGCCTGTTTTTGCAAAAACAACGAACCTTGAGTGCCTGAGTATTGATGTTTAGACGAGGGCGATGATGGTTCGGAACAGTCAAAATGCGGCGAGTTACTCCTCTGAGCACCATGTGTGGACAAAGGGCTCTCAAATCTCGATTCCGTGGATCCGCCTCTGACATCGTGTCTCTCTTGGGCTGCACTACAGTCATCGCCAGTGTCAGCGTATTTGGTTCCTCTCCTCCCTTGGCTCAGACACGACTCCGAGCGATGGTGGCGTAAATAATAGCGCGGATTGCTATTGTTATCTTCGATTTCGTAATTCGAGTCAGAACGCTGATGTGGTGTAGCTTGCTGCTGCAGCTGCTGCATCGAAGCATAGCGACTTAATGGGGGACGTGTTGAGGGCTCCTGAGACTTGTGTCCCTCTTGAGGACTGCGCTCTGGGTCCTCAACACCCTTTTCCTGCTCGCTGTCCATACTGGTCGGTAACTCGTTCACTGCAGTAGATTCTTTCATTTCAGTAGCCTCAGAAGGCTCGTCTGCAGCAGAAATCGGTGATGACTTCCTCGGCTGTCGAGGAGAATTCGACGAGGTGGATCTCCGAGAATCCTCCAAAGCCGCTTCGAGCTCACGATTCCGCTTAGTCAGCTCCATGATCCTGCCTTCGGCCTGCAGCAGCAATTCCGCTTTACGCTCCAACTCGCGGACATACTGATCCTTCCGCTGTCGAAATGCACGCTGTGCAGCTCGGTTCTGTGCCGCACGCTTGGTCGAGTTCCGACCCTGTTGCTCTGAACCAGCAGAGCTACCGGTCAATCTTACTCTACCGCCGGCAATGCTTGGTATCTCTACTCCGCCTCTGACTCTTAACTTGACCGCTGCAGATAATGAACCTGCAGTACTGTAATCAACAGGTTCTTGAAGACGCTGCTGGTGCAATTGATGCTGATGTACCGCCGCGTCCAAGTCGGCGCGTCCATGACCTGCGGAGTGCTGATGATGGTGGTGATGATGATGGTGACTAAGGCTGTGTTCTCTGCTACCTGTACTGCCTGCAGCACTGTAACCATAACTGCTTCCGGTCGTTGACCCTATCGTGGTACTTACGTTGTCGGCGATGCCAGGATGATGCCGAGAGAGGCCGTAAATATTTGTATGGGGGTGCGAGCCCTGTAAGTACTCCATAGTCGATAGTGAGTCAGCTCTTGAGAGGCTCGATGTGGTTGTAGTCGAGGGTGCCGAGGAGGAGCCCATATACAGATCTATCCATAAAAAAAATAAAAATATAAAAAAATAGACGAAGAGTTAATGCCTATCTTTCATAGCAATGTTGTTCCCTCGGTACCCTGATTCTATGCGTAGAGGCTAGATAACGAATTGCTTATCGTTAAGGTCGGTAATGTGTACGACTCGTTACTCACCTGGCAAAGACCCTACAGACGACGACTGACGATTACGATGATCGTGCGAGAAATACTGCTGAGAACCGGGTCCGTAAGGTGAGGGTGAGCCATGTGCGTGGTGCGGCATGAAATGCACTGGTTGTTGTTGCTGAGTATAAATGTATGGAGGTGGTCCTGGTCTCGGTGGCTGTGAGTACTGCTGATGATGTGGATCAGACGCTTGCGACCGAGGCAGCACTCCCATACTGCCCATTCCCGAAGAGGAAATATGGGGATCGGGTCGGATGGTCTTGTCGAGCTCCCTCAGAGGTGGCAGTGTGAGAGATGGTGGAGGTGCTGGTCCAAGCCCTGGATCAGTGCCAGGACCGAGCATGCCAGGATGAGAGTACGAGGACGACGTGTTGAGAGAGTTGATGGTTGAGTGTAAAGGATGAGGTGGTGCCGCACCTGAGATTGATGGAAGCCGTGCAACGGTAGAGGAGGGAGTGGAAAATGTACTTTTAGTGGGAGTGCGTGCGACAGAATGGTGCTCCTGGCGCTGACCCTGAGGTGTGAACTGTGCGTGTCCGGGATCACTTTCTTGAAGATATTGATCTAACGAAGGTATAAAAGCTGTGAAAGTAATTTCCAGGAAAAGGAAACGAAGAAAAGAAAGATTAAAGTTCAGGAAATGTGAATGACCATCACTCATGAGATGAGAATGAGGAATGGCAAGGAGCAGCAGGAGTGGGGAGTGCCAAGGTCTTTTCGCCCTTCGTCCCCCTTGTGCCATGGTCGCTTTCAGCTCAGCTCTGGAAAAGGACGCATGGTCCGCCCCTTTCCTTTTCGAAAATTGACAATATAAATAGTGTTAATGCAGATCTCCGATGCACCACAGCAAAACAAGGAAAGGCCGGTAGAGGAAACGGCGGCCGGGACTCAAATGCACGTAACAATGCAAATACACCCTAAAAGGTGCTTCCTCTTGCCGTCTGTTCGTTAGTATTGGAACCCCTTTCCACTCCCGCCCGTCCTTGTTTTTGCTGCTTTCTTTGCCCCCCTCCCCTGCTGCATATAAGTAACGCGTTAAAGTGGCGTTTTCCACAATAACCATTCGACCAAGAGCGGATAGCCCAGACCTAATGAAAGTCACTGAGGGGTACAATGGTGGTGCTCTTCATTCTGTTCGTCTGACCGCATCTGGGTTGAAACTGACACCACGAAGACCCAGCATGGTAAGGATGAGAGAGAAAATGATAAGGATACGTGCCAATGAAGTAAATGGTAGCGCAAGCGGTCTCATAAAAGTACACAAGAAAATAAATAGAAGAGCAATGGCAGAGTGACACAAGTGAAGCAAATCGAGAAGAAATGAAAAGGACGTGCGATAGTACGCGAGGAAGGAAGCACTTTAAAAAAAGATCCAAAGATCCGGGTCCTCGTGAGCTCTTTCCAGGGAGACACGGGAACAAGAGCGATGTGCGTGTGCTTCGCTTCTCGCAAGACACGCTCAACATCATTTTCAGGCACACAAAACAGTATCTCCATGGAGGTCTATCTCAGTCCAATCGCGACCAATGGTCGAAATGATCTCTCCAGTTCCAAGGACACATAAACAAAAAGCCCAGACTATGCTCATCAGCTCGACGCACTCTGTACATCCGTCGCACTTTGTTACACACAGCGACTCGGGGTTGTGCGTGGGATGACCCGAAGACTGTCGTGCAAACAGATAAAGTAATGCAACAGCCCTGGGGCCGATATAAAGTTGCGGATGCTGATTGCCGACAATAGTGCAACACACGGTGCGCAATGAACACAAAAATAACGTCTTGAATAATGATATCAACATAGAGGGGAGAGCTGGAGACATGCACAAAAATCAGGAAAGACATTTGAAGCTATACATTTGTATTTCGATGGATTAAACACACAATTTCCTTGACAGAAGAGAAGAAAAAATGGCGGAGGAGAGATGTGTAACATTTTTTTGACGCTTGGTGAAAATACAATCGCGATGCGAGTAAGCATTATATTACTCTGTGGATTAACCGACGCGTCGCTTACGTGGTCGCAATTACAAGATGGTCGCACCAACAAGCGTAGCGCTGTAGATGGTATTACTAGAAAGTAGTACTGGTTATCAAGAAGAAGGGTGAAGTGCCTCGGGTGACAATGATGCGTTGGTGGGTGGGAGGTCGTGGCTAGAGTAAGCCAGGATGAGAATGAATGAAAAGGACCGAGAGTTGTCTGACAAATAAGGAGCATGGAAATGGGGGAAGACGAAAGGAGGGATATACGGAGAGAGATGAAAAGAGATCAAGGAAACGGGAAATAAAAGGGCGGTGTAAAGCGATTTCTTGACGCATTATGAAGCATAAGCATGCATATTCATGCACGTACGAGTATGCACCACGTTTGATGTTGTAGGGCTAAAAATGAACAGAGGTGGGCAATAGGTGGAAAAACGACTGGGGGTAAAAAAAAAAAATCTAGGAACTGAGAGCGGGATGGTGGGATAGGCACAGCAATCACTTCCAATTCAAGCCCCAGTCTTTGTTTTACACACTTGCTCGCAAGTGTACATGTAGCATACCCACATCACATAGTGCAAAGTGGTACTTGGAGGGCTCCTTGTGAAATGTCCGATCCCATGCTCTCAAGTAAAACAAAAATGCAAGTAGCATGCCTTATCGCCAGAACCTCACTAGACTATGGCCAATAGAGAGACAGCAGACCATGGGCATGAAAAAAAGGGAAGGAATGAAGGGGAAAGTTAAGGAGGAGAGGAGGAGAGGAAATTTTAAAACGCTTCACGCGCTTCCTGTGCACTGCATGGTGCTTCTACCCCTCATTTAGCTCATATCCAAGCACAGGATTTTTTCGGCCAGGGACGATGGAATTTTGAACCAGGGAATCATAGCAGATCAGAGCAGAAGGTTTGAGGAGAGAGGGGGTGGTTGGGAGGGACGTCAATGAACAAAAAAGAGTTCATCAACGACGAGATGCCGTGAAATTTTACAAGGAATGAGCTGCAGACGATGCCCTCGCCATCCTGACCTGATCCACCGCGACTGTCCAGCAAACGACATGAACGCGCTCAGGGGCCCTCAGACATAGAGCATTGGGAACGAATGAGAGCAAATAAAAGATGCAAGGACATGAAGACATAAATATATGCAAAGTCGGTGAAGCTCCCCCCCCCCAAAAAAAAAAAAAAAAGATTTTGTCAATGGAGTGCCAAAGCTGGTAAAAAAATACCCTCATACGTCAGGAGGAGAAGTGTAGCCATGAATGGGCTTATATGGCGACACAAGACCTCAATCGACCGCCGGATCAAGTATCCGTGTACCCCTCTTTTCTCTTCTACTTGTACCGTAGAAAATAATCAATTGGGTTGTTGGCGCAATGAGATGTGCATCGATCTGTACAACCGATAATCGATACAGTGCATACACGAAGTTTGTTGCCCCCGCGTTAGATAACCCACACTTACATCTACCTATCACTTCGGATCCTAATCATGCAAAAAGAAGAAAACGTGTCAAGACGGTACCTAGAACGCAATCCTCCCAACAGGTAACTGCTGGATTCCCCAAAAAAAAAATCAATGAAAAATGCACGCGCCAACCAGGTTTTCCTCGCGGAATGGTGCTGGAAGTTGACGGTTTTAAGGTTGTTTGCCCTCAATGCTCTTCCCCATCCGTTACAACCACATATATTTGGTCCGTCCATATTGTAGCTATCTGCGCCCTAGTCCGCAACAGCTAATTATTGATTACCTGAACCTGTTTGCCTTCTGAGGCCCACCGGACGCTACTTCCCCAGTTACGTATTTTACACAGCACCGTTGCATTCAAATTATCTTTAATGAGATGCAAAGTCTAACCGACTGAAATTCTTAGTCGATGGCCCGTTTACACGGCTATAGTATGATCCTTTTCAGTTGAAAAGTCGACTGTAATCATGAATATCATGTCCATAGCAGCTCGATCTCGATACAATACTTATGGAATAAATAATGTATTCAGAGGCGGTGCCAGACGAACAGACTAAATGTCCAGAGAAACCAGCTGCGAAGTTTTGCACTATACTTCTTTAAACGCAAAAAAAAAAAAAAAAAAAGAGAGAGAGAGAGAGAAATACCGTTGTGTTCTGCCAAGACTAAAGCGCTCTGCAGGAGAGTAGGAAAGTGCAAAAAAAAAAAATCGTGCGTTCCGAAAGTACAGGGAGCTAGCTATATGAGCACAACGAAATCGTATGCAACGCTTTTTAAAACGATCGTTCTTACCTCCTCTGCATTTGCTTCGTTACTATTCCCCCAGTTCGATGCACTCTGCTGTGTGGGCGGAAAGGTACCCGCGCACGAGCGCATTTTCAATGCATCATTTCCAATATGCACTTCAACATTACGAAGGTCTGCTGCATATCCCCCCTCTCTCTCCTCAGTCTGAATGCATCTCTTCTATTTATTTGTTTCTGCGGCAAATGCTTGGCAAAGGAGGCCAAAAATGTGCAGAGATGATATTACAACGACCCAAAACACACACAAGAACTACCCCATCATACGACTATTTCTTTTGTTGTTTTTTAGATGAAAACACAGTGGTCTTACCTCTTGTTGGTATGCAGCCAATTTGTTTGGCCAGGCTATTGCGGTCGTCGCTGTCCGAGTGCTCAGTGAGACTCTTTCTCTTTGGCCATCTACTGCGAATATCTCGGTCCCAGAGCAATGAATTTCTGTTGCTACTGCCGCCATCACTCGTGTTAATGACATTTTTGTTGTCACTGCTTTTGCCGCTAAAAAGATGAATGATTTTAGCGTTATAGGGTCCTTGTAAGTCTTCTTTAAGGGCTCTCTTCCTAACTAGAGGAGATGTTGCTTCTGCGCCATCAATCGGTTCTGGATAAAGGTGCTGCTGCCGAGTGGTAACGTTTGTGCAATCCCCTGAGGTTTGAGTCGTGTTTTCAAATGGATTATTCATGGCTTTTTTTTTTTTTTTTTGTTAAAGGTAATGGCAAAAAAGAAAAAGAAAAAGAGTATTGAAAGGGATCGCGAGAAAAGAAAAATGCCGGCGGAATATTGAGTCTTGACGAGAACGAAGAAGTTGTTAGGTTTGCCACCGAGAACCAGGGTAAAAATAAGAAATAAGAAACAAAAAGGCTATGTTTTGGAGTGCATGGACAAGGGACGGCGGGAAGAATGATTCAAAAAAAAATGCTTGGCGAACGGGGAGCTTTAGTAACAGAAAGGCAGCGATAGAGCAGTGAAACAAAAGTGTTCACTCAGTCAACATGCTCTGCTCGATGCTGATCATACTAGTTTATTACTCGTACTTATGCCATGTCAATGACTATCCTCAGACTCAAAAGACCATTTGGACTACCCATAAATACCCCTATGGAGTCTCGGAAGAATAATGTGAATGGAAGGTAAGGCGATTGGAACACCACAGTAAACGAGGGTCGAATCGCTACACAGCAGCAGTCATTTCCGAAAGTCGTATGTAGCTCGGGGTCTGATGCGTTCCGAATTCCCAAGAGACCAATGAACATTAACAGTGGTACGTTCGTTTCGAGTCCCGATGGTTTCTGGAGATTCTAAATAACGATCTACATAAGCGATATACAAAAATCAGGAGCGGAGAAAAAAAAAGAGAGGATGGCAGGGAGAAATAGAGGCTGGGCGCAAGTACGCGTGGTTAATGAGGCCCTTTTGAGAGACCGTCCTTTGTTCCTTCCCGCTTCTGCTGTTACCACATGCAGTAGCGGCGAGTGTCGTGGGAAACAATACAAGAGAACAATATCCCCCTCCCTCCTCCTCACCGATTCCGAAAATTCGGGCAGGCAGGTAAAGTTTGGACATGATGATTCGGTAATAGGACAGGGGTGTGGACGATCGGGCAAAGTCAGCCGATCACCTCAATCTGCACTGACCATCAACCCGCTCTCTGAGCCTGTCGCCTTGGCCTTTTTTATTTATTTTATTTTTTTGTCTCATAGTTATCCATCCGCACTAGTAAAGGAGACAAGAATGGCAAGGGAGGATCGGGGCATGACCAGCCTTGATTTTATAACGCCCTAATCGGGGGGCCAAAAACGCGCGCAATCGCCTATATACCCACGGGTCTCGTTGCAAACCTAAGGACAATTTCTCGCGCGTGTGCGGAGCATACTTTCTACCAAGTAAAGCTCGTTGAGGCTCCTAGTCTGCAAATATTGATAAAATCAGTTGCATATTTGAGAAAAATACTATTGTTATTATTATTACAGGTCATTCGTATTATATGTTACAGGGGTGTAAGTCTTCTACCACTCAGTCGTCGTCGACGAATTGTAACAGCTCTGTCTTGGGCGCCTGATGTTGTAAATACTGGTTCCGTCGTTGCTCCTGCTCCCGCGTCAACCGAAGGGCTTCCTTCTGAGGCATCGAAAGGTCATGGAAGATAATATGCGCCTCATCCCCGTTGGTCAATCTCTCTGTCTTAGCACATGCCTGGTTCGGGTACACATAGCTCGTAACCGAAACCGCACCTGTCCCTATCTGAACCACACTTTCGGGATATCCAAGGCTGACGGGCGAGTAACCCAACTCTGAGATCCGTTCCATGATGGTCATGGGATGTGCGCGAAGAGAGAATTCAGAGTACCGTCTAGAGTCTGGTCTGCGACCTCGGCCATGGCCCTCACCGTTCCTCGATAGGACGCCCAGACTGAACCCTTCAGATATTCGTCCGAAGATTCCGCGCGAATGGCTATCTGACCGCCCTCTCCCGAGTGCTGCTCGAGTGGTTGTCTGTCCTAGATTCTCCCTGGCCACAGTGTTACGTGTCCTGCGCTTTTTACGCCGCACCAGTAGGAAGAACGCACTTCCTACAATGGCTGCGGTAATCAGGAATGCGAGTCCGAGGACAGCTCCGATACTTAGAGACTTATTGTTGTTGCCGCCATTATTTCCGTTGCCCGAGTTAGGTGTGTTTGTGGCGGACATGGCTCGTGGACGATATTCTGTAATCCAGGTGTTGGTTTTAGTGTCCAGCAGTACAACACTTGTGTTATCAGGTGCTTGACGGGAGGATAGACCTAGATGGCAGAAAGTGAAGGAGAGCAAAGAGTGAGAAATGATGTCTTTTCTGTTCTCGCCATTGATCATATAAAATAATGTTATCGATGACAAAAGCCATGAGTAGGCGTAATAAGGCAAATGGTTTATATATCATGCGTAGACGTCTCATGTCAATCATGATTTATCAATACACACATGCCCAAACATCCCAATAACGGCTAGTTTGCTGGGATTTGTCGTTATTGCTTTTATAAATATCCCTAGCACGACAAAGCAATCCAAAGTCTTACTCTCTGTTGTCTGGTATTGTTGTTGTTGGTTTTCAACTCCCTCGCTTTTTCTATATCTTCACAAAACCTTGCTTTTCGCCACAACAGAAACTCATCTTGAAACGCAACCTTAGGAGGAATACAATAACGTTAATTATTTGCTTACCAAAGGCAACTACCATGGTACTTCCGGCCATGGTTGCGGTGTGGCCCCATCGCCGAGGAGCCCTACCCTGGGCCATGGGTGAGGACCAGGCCATCGTGGGTAGATCCAGATAGAAAGTAACCCAGAATGCTGACTTGAAATCTGATGTTCCGCCATACAGAAGCAACGTGGTTGTGTTGACCAGAACTGTCGAAAAGGCCACGCGCGGATCTGGTGGCTTCCCCGAGAGTGAAACTATGTTCCACGATGCATTACTAGCCTGAGTATCCATAACGTAGGCCATGGAGAGGTTCGTCAGCACATTCTGCGAAGTTGTTCCACCAAGGATGATGGCACGCCCATCGGGCATCAGGGTCATGGTATGTCTTGCGAGCGCTGGTGAATTGAGTGCCATCGACACAGGTGCAGAGTATTTGGGCGCAAAGTTATTGCTAGGCTTTAGTGTGACCAATGATGAAAGGACCGTGGCATTGACAACCGCCGTGGTTGGATAGCCACCATGTAGGAGCACTCCATCCTTGCCCGTGGTGATAGATGCGGGGTACAATCGATATGGAGATGCAGCAATGTTGGCAGGTTTTGTGGGGGAGATCCAAGTGCCATCAGCGATGTTCTGCATACTGCCCCCGGAGGTTTCAAAGAGCAGGATGGGGAAGATGGTCAAGTTGGCAGTCGATTCCCCTCCAGCAACAAGCAGCTGCGTTGATCCTGGGACTTTGTTCATAGAATGTCCACTGAGGGGCATACTCAGACGAGGCATAGTCATGAACAATGGTTTCTCTATTGACCACGGCTGGCTCAGGTCAAGCGCAAGGCATTCGTCTGAGATCGATGTCGCTCCGGCATTATCCCGCTGAGTTCCCCCTGTGATATACAGGGTGCTATTAACGAGTGTCTACATAGACAAGAGTTTGAAAAGTCAGTTGACTATTGAGTTTGTACAGGGGAAGGGTCTGAGGCAGTGTGCACTCTTTAGCAAAGACAACGATCTCATTACTGAAGCATGGAACCATCGTGACTGAATGGAGCTCATGAGCCGAGGTCTGAGGAAAGGTATTCAGATGGCGGCAGTTTAGGTGCTGGCAGAGAGTTTGCTGTGGAGGAATGTGTGCGGATAAAATGATTGAGTATGCTACGAGCAAAAAGTGAACTTTGGAGCAGAAAAGCTTATGGAGAAGAGGTGGAGGTCAAAGTGTGTCAAGGGGATGGCCAGCGAAAATAAAAAACTATCGATCTGTTGGTGTAAGGGATGAGGGGCAGGTGCCCGTTTGGGTTCAGGTGCGGGACCATACCATGGCAGCATGCAAATAAATGCACGCAGAAAAACATACTACGGGACGCTAGTAGCTTCTCGATTTGATGTGGTTGAGGAGGCATTTAGCCATGGGTAGTTTAAAATAAACTGTTGTGCTTTGTTCTATTGTAAGTGCGTCGAGGAAGTTCAATTAATTGCAACAGGGGTTCGTAATAATGCAGTGTAGGTGATCTGTCATCTCAGCGATTTTGTCCGCAACGCGTGTCGATGTCCCTGATGTTAGAGTTCTTCCCATGATGAATACTTCTGAGGACAGGAATGTCCGTGTACATCTTTATATTTGTATTTACCAAAAAGATAAGGGCTTAATGGCGATGGCACAGCTCCAGGCTGGACACTTTTCGAGAAGAAGACCTTAAAAAATGAAGCTATTATTACAAAGTGTCATATGGCGACGATCGATTGTCTCTATCAACATGGTAACCATCGTAGGCATGCTCCATTTTATACAGATCTATGAGTAAACTACAGCCCAACCTTAAGAACAGCAGGAGAGGCAGCATTGAAGACCGTTACTGCTGCGGCTAAGGCAGTCAAATCCGGCATACAGGTTGGGTAGACATGTGTTGGCGGGTGGGGCGGACTGGGCTGGGCTTGCAGGACAACAAATGATGAGAAAAAGGCCAACCCACTTATTGGTCGTCGACTTTAATGCGAGTATGGCGCCGCCTTTTTGACGCCTGTCCTCCTCATGCAGGCAGGACACCAAACAAACGGCTACCCATGGCTCATTTTTCACACTTGCTCTGTCGACTTCTGTTGTCCAATTAAACACTCAATCCTCCACCCTTCTGTCTTCTTCAACTTCTTCTATCTCTCGCCCGCAGTTCCTGAATCAACCACACCTCTTCGCCCTCTTCTCATCGGAACCCGATTCGGTCGATTCCGCCTTCCATCGCCCTCTCCATCTTCCCCCTCCGTCCCAGTCCTGGACATTCTATAAACACTCGTCTAAACGCCACTAATTACATGCAGTCCTTCAAGTCCTTGAAGAAGGCATTTTCACCCAAGAAGAAGGACAGGGCCGACAAAGAGAATGATAAAGGCATCGGTATTACCGGCGCCAATTCCAATGCCACCTTCAATAGTACCAATAACAAGGACCACAGCACCAGTCCGCGCAACGGCACTGTCCGTACCATATCCAGCGTCAGCTCACTCAGTCGATCAGGTTTCTCTCCTCACGATGAATTCGACGTCCCAGCGGTCCCGCCGTTGCCACCACTGCCAATTGACGCCCCGAACCAGTCGACCTCTGTCGTTGATCTTGCTGCCTATCCACATCCACAATCTTCACCAGCTGCATCCAGCGCCCCCGCCAGGACTCCGACGGCAATACCCTCTAACCCCCAACTGACCGAGAATTCGCCCTTGATCAGGACTCAGAACTCGCTCAGTGAGTCTGACCCAGATACACGGCCAACGGAGACTGACCCGCGAGCGCCCCATACCACTCAGACTGACGACGTAGACATCATCGCTGGTACCGGAATTGTTGCAGATGACCTCGACGGAGAAGGCCTGTCAGCGTTGCATCGCACCAGCACACTACCACCCTCTTACAATAGTCTGAACATCCCTCTGGCAAGCCATGCCACGAACATTCATGCAGCCTCCGCTCCATCACCAGACCTGATGAACGCGGCAGCTACACGACATGACTCGAGTACTCGTCAGAACAGTCCTTCGACGACTCCTTCCATGCCCTATACGGTACCGCCGTCCTCGCCATTGACAAGCCAGGCCACTACACCTTCGCCTTCGGGGCCAAACCAACCACTACTGTATCAGCAGCCGTATCAGCAGCCGTATCAGCAGTCATATGCGACATCTCCAGATCTTCCCAACCCTTGGACCCCACAGCAAGCATACTCGTCCTCGACCTCTGGATCGCAGCAATATGGCCACCGACCCTATGTCATGCCGGGCAGCGAAAACCAGACATACCCTATTATCATGGCAATCGACTGGGGTACAACCTATTCTTCCATGGCTTACGCTTTCCAACAGGATGGTGAAGTGCACGAAGTGTCGAGCTGGTACGTGTTTGCACAAGAATGAGTGTTAAATGACCCAGTTGAGCGCTTATTCTAAGAATGAGGTTGTTTCTTAGGCGCGTCACACAAATATCAGATTGCTTTCTGCTTTTCATCTTCAGCTTCCCTCTACAAACCTAACATGCATCAATCTACGGGATATCCATATCATAGGCCAAAGCAAACACACAGCTATCCTAAGGTGCCCACATGTAACCTTTATGGTCCAGGCTCGAAAGAAATCATCGAGTGGGGATACCCAGCTAAATTAGCCATCACTAAACCACCGTTCAAGAATCATGTTCTCCTGTCAAAGTACAAGCTACATCTCGATGAAGCCTCTGGCCCCCACCCACCGCTTCCTAATGGTCTTACGGTCGTCGATGCCATTGCAGACTATCTCCGCCTTTTCCATGCACATGTTCTTCAGGTAAGTCACCCAAAGTTTGCTATTCTAATGATTTTTAATGTGTGCTGTATGCGCTAATGGTTTACGCTAACACGAATGACTGTCGCTACGAATATTAGACAGTACTCAAGGGATTTGGATCGTCATTCAATCAACAACACATCCAGTACTGTCTCTCGGTGCCCGCTATGTGGGCTGATAATGCCAAGGCCATGATGCGTCAAGCTGCGCTCCAGGCTGGCATGATCTCACATCTGGATCCACCCCACCGGCTCCTTTTGATCTCAGAGCCGGAAGCTGCTGCTCTTTATTGCGAGAAAAAGTGCGACCAGTTTTCGATAGGACATGGTCAGCGATTTATGATTTGCGATGCTGGTGGAGGGACCGTAGATTTGATCGTCTTTGAGGTTGCAGTGGGACCGAATGGCCGGACACTAAGGGAAGTCACCAGGGGAAGCGGGCATAGCTGCGGATCAATCTTTTTGGACGAGCGTATGGAGGCACTATTGAGGAAACGGTTTGCAAAGTGGCAGGAGAAGGGACTTACGGCCGCCAATTGGGTCCAACTTATGGATACATTTGTCCACAATGTCAAGCCCCTGTTCGATGGAGTGGAGGATCAGTACCTCACCATGCCTGCGGTGCCCGGCCGCGCTGAACTGACGGATTATGATATTGGACTTGAGGACGGTGTATTGACGGTGACAGCGGAGGAAATGAGGCGTGAGGTGTTTGATCCTGTAGTGAACGATGTATTGCGGTTGATTCAACATCAGTTTCAGCAGACACATTTCCAATGTCATGCCATCTTTTTGGTCGGTGGATTCGGATGTTCATCGTATCTGCACACGCGTGTCATGGCTGAGTTTGGATCAAGGGTGCCGCTGATCGGTGTGCCTCCTCGTGCGGAACTGGCTGTGGTCCGGGGAGCAGTGTATGCGGGCTTGATGCCTCGGATGATCACACAGCGGGTGGCACGTCGGTGGTACGGAGTCGACTCAATGATGGCGTTCGAGGAAAATGTTGATTTGATGTCGAAGATGGTAAGCGATCGCATGGGGCAGGTTCGAGCAAGGGATCGGTTCTCGGTTTATGCGGCCCCAGGACAGCAGATCGGAGTGGACGAATGTATAACGAAGCGGTATATCACATACCAATACCCCAAGCCAGTAAACTCGCCGCTGTTTGCGTGTTCGTCGATGAACCTGCCCCGGTATGTGGATTCGCCAATGGTGGAGAAGATTGGTGACTTTTTGATCCCGCTCCCTTTTATTCCAGGAGCTCAGCCAGGCCACAAGGTGGTGTTTGAACTGCGAATGTATTTTGGGGCGACGGAGATTCGGGCGGAGGCAGAGGTCAATGGAGTGGTAGTCAGCACGCGCTGCCAGTTTGCAGGATGAGGGAAGTTTATTGACTATAGACATTTAAAAGCAGTAATAGAGTAGCATGGCCTGTGGACGTCTCGATCTAATAGCAATGAAGGAAGATGTTGTTGATATGTCAATTGAAGTTGCTGCTTGCCTGTCTTTAAAGAAGAGGAAGGAGGGTCTCTCCGCTTTTTCGCTCAGACAACCAGGGCTGTTTGTGGGCACCATTTGGTTGGTAGGGCACTAGTATTGCCATCATTATTATTATCGCCACCGCTACCATCATGGGTACTTTGCAGTTGCGGGCATCAGAGTGCTATATGACGCATGCTTCAACGAGATGAGCTGGCCCTGTCGACGGAGACAGACGACTGATTTTGTATCTCTATTATGCCTTTGTGCTCGTGCTTGTTTTTGGTGGCAATCGAGGGTGGCAAAGCACGAAGGTCGCAAGCACGGAGGTCGCAAACACGAAAATTTTAGGCGGAGCGGTCGTGATGTTGTCATCGCCGCAGATAGACTACGGCAGATCTGTTCTTTTGAGGCAAAGGTCAAATCAACTCCTTTCATCCCATTCATCCATCCTCCACAACCTCATCTCATCTTCACTCTTCATTCCCTGACTGGCCTAGCCAGTGCCATCACTTTCTTTTCTTGTTGTTGTGCTGAGCTTAAAAAAATAAAAAACACACCTGTAGTTTTTATTACCATCTCTTCCTCCCCGGCTCTTTCTTTTCACAAAACATACCCTTCCCCCTCAATCCCCTCCTTCCCTTCTTCTTTCTTTTCCTTCCTTCCTTCCTCCCTTCCCTTCCTTTCCTCCCCTCTTTTACGACGACAGCTGTTCCGACCCTTCGTACCCTAAAGATCCTTCTTCCTTCCCCTCTCCTCCTTCCTTAGTTCCTTAGTGTCGCTCTCCTTTTGCATACTCTGTCGCCATCTAGAGCTTTTGAATCGGTAGTGCCACAATGACTGCTTCAATTGTGCTCGAGGCATCGCCTGAGCATATAGCCTATGCACTCCTAGGCTGCTTCATCATTGTCTTTGGACTAGTCAGTCTATTTGTCAAGGAAAAGCTGTTCATTTCCGAAGCTTGTAAGTAGAACTCAGATGCAACAAACAGGAAAACAGGAAAACATGATTCAGTTGCTCTCTCACTTCCCCTACCCATGTCCGCCACCTCTTTCTCAGCCCCCCTTTCCATACACACCCTGGTTTGGATCTATGAGAAAAAAAGAAAAGAAAAGAGAGCCTGTCTCTTGTCAGGGCTATGAGTTCAGTCTCTCGTGCGTGTGTGTACACATGCATGCATGTGTACAATACACTGTACCATGCGTTGCGCACATGGATGTGTATACATCTATACTTCGGGTGCTCTTTGAATGACACATCTGGAAGGCATCTCCAGGAGATGGGATGGTGGGAGTGATGAAACCTATCGTACGAGTACTCCTCCGCCATCGTCTCCCTGGTCCTTTCCTCTCTTCCCTTGAACTTGGACCTGCATGACCCGTGGAATTCTCGGACAACTCCAACAACTGCCCAAACAAAGAAAATCCCCAAATGGGTACCCTTTACTGGGCCCTTGCCCCAGATCCCTCGATCGATCACCCTATCTATTCTTCTACAGGGAGAATCCAGCTGTTCTATATGTTCTTTAAGAACGCTGATTCTGCACAAGACAATCGCGTTCCATTTTTTAATCCATCAGCAATAAGGACAGGGATGTTCATGTTCAGTCGCTCATCGGTTCAGTATATATTTGTTCTATTTCATTGATTTTAACTTTAACTCAAACTGGAGGGACATTACGAACCTGCAATCCCTGCCAGACGTGCTTCCCTCCTTCATCCTTCTTCCCCTCCATCAACCGCCTTCGTGACCAAGTTAGGAAGGGTGAAACAAGCAGAATAGTAGCAGGGACAGAGGATCCAGACAAAATGGGGGGGGGGGGGGGGGGGGGGGGGGGGGGAAAGAGCGGTAGTGGGGATATTCATCGACCCAATTTTTCCATGGGCTAGTCTAGAAAGAATAGAAATAAGCGCAAGATGACGGGTGCCATGCGATTCGATTCGCTCAGGTTGTTTTTTTTTGTCCTGCCAGATACAGAACTAACCTTTCGTCCATTTCCATATACCTTATCTTATGCCCTCGGATGTTTCCATATTCTGTCTGCTCTCCTACGTGTGACATGCGCAGTTGTATCGACTGTCTTCGGCATCATCATCGGGCCCTACGCAATTGGGATCTTTGATCCCTTAGGATGGCAGGAGTTTGACCAGGTCACACTTGAGTTCACACGGATCGTCATTGCAGTCCAGGTCATGGCCGCAGGAGTGTCTTTACCAAGGTAAGCCCAAAGAGATCCATTTGCTGGATATGGCATCTTTGCCTCTTTTACGAGTGAATCAACTGCACTTTTTGGTGAGCATTGCTAGTTCGGGTGCAAAGGGGAATAATCTTGTTCCGGGAAGGGAAAAGAAGAAAAGAGGCGGCGTGGTCTGCATGAGTACCACATACCCAACCCTGTCGTACTACAATCTCCCTTGCACAGCATTGTTCCCCTCCCGATCACGGTGTGTTTGGGTTGTTCTCGACACACCATTTACAGTCGTGTGGATAGGAAGCTGGATGAATCCGCGTGTCTGTTTGTTGTCTCCCCCTGCTTTTCTTCTTGAGAAATGAATGTGTGCTACCAAAACTTACCGAGGAATCAAATCTTTGCTCTCAAAATCTCTTAGGGCCTATATTGTCAAGGAACGACTGTCACTTTTCATGATGATCGTACCCCTCATGGTCCTGATGTGGTGCACGTCTGCCCTGTTAATCTGGGGCCTGATTCCCAACCTCGGCTTTGTAAGCACGATACTCTCTATCTCGCGTCAGCCAATACACATATCAGCTGTACGTGTGCATCAGATCGTATGCGGAATGGATCTAATTTGAGACTTTCCTTCTAACAACGTAACGTAGGTCGAAGCAATGGTCATCGCAGCATGTGTCACCCCTACAGATCCAGTCTTGTCCAACTCGGTCGTCAAGGGTCGCTTTGCTGAGAAGCATGTGCCTCCTCGTATTCGTTATCTTCTCTCTGCTGAATCCGGCATCAACGATGGTATGGGACTTCCCTTCTTGTTCCTGGGTCTCTATCTCCTCCGCGAACAAACCGCTGGTGTAGCCATTGCCAAGTGGTTCTACCTTGTCTGGGCCTACCAGATCCTTTTAAGTATCATCATTGGCGGTATCATCGGATTTGCGGCAAGGAAGCTCGTTAAGGGAGCTAAAAACAGGTACAACAGCAAGACTTATCTCTTGCCTATATCGGACCCATCGCATTGCAGCAAAAAAAAAAACCTCAGTGTACTGAACCTCCTTTTATTGTTTCGTCCGCAATAGAAAATTGATTGATAAGGAATCCTTTTTGGTGTTTTCGATCGCCTTGGCCCTCGCAGTTGCTGGTATTGTCAGCATCTTGGCGTCCGACGATCTGTTGGCATGCTTTATTTGTGGCAACATTTTCGCCTGGGAGTAAGTGGAGATGCATGGTTATTACTCTTTTCCAGCGCCAAGGATATTTAGAAAAAGAAAAAGGAAAACGCTAATCAATCTTATAACGTGTCCTTATCACTTTATCATGATAGTGATTGGTTTTCGAACGAGATTGCAGAGGCACACATTCAGGAGATCATCGATATGTTGCTGAACTTGGCTTGCTTTGTCTACATTGGAGCATCGATCCCCTTCTCCAGCTTTGGGGATCCCGCCCTGGGATTGACTGTGTGGCGCATGATTATCCTTGCAGTCGTGGTGCTGATGTTCCGACGACTGCCCTTCGTGATAGCACTGAAGCCGCTTATACCAGCGTTAACGACATATCGTGAGGCGGCCTTCGCCGGATGGTTCGGACCTATTGGTGTCGGTGCCGTGTTCTTCTCAAAGGTCACCGCAATGCTGACACATCCGGAGCACATTGGCGAGGACGCTCATAATTTAGAGAAACTGAACCGAGTGCGCGCCGTGATCTTTCCTGTGGTGATGTTCCTGGTTTTTTCGAGTGTCTTAATCCATGGTGTCACTGTGCCGTTGCTCCACCTCCAATACAAGTACACGCGAACTTGGTCCAGGAAACGTGAGGACAGTAACCATGCGGTCACACGCCTCCCCCATATCAACATTGGAGACGAGATTGTGTTGCGGCCCCCGACTATCAATGGATCGGTTGCTGAAGTTGATGGCGAGCAGAGGACTATTGGGTATGATAACCAGCGTTCAATCGGATACGACAATCAGAGATCGATTGGATACGACCATCAGAGATCTATAAACCAGCGATCGTATGGCTATGGCGGTTCGGCTCCTTATGGAGGATTCGGGATCGCGGGTGTGCCTGATCTGAGCCGTGCGAATAACAGCAATAACAATACTGTGAGAACACTCCAGGACGTGGTCAAGGAGATGAAGGAGGCATCCAGAGGTACAGCAGCCAACAGGAACATGCTGGCGTCGAACAATAACAACATCCCCAATGCAGGAGGCAGCTCTACAGCAAACAACAACATCCGGGATAGTCCAAGTATCAGCTTCAATGTCCCCGCAAGGGATGGAGGTCGTGTGGGTTCTCAGCCAATGAGTCCACGATCAGGCTCCACAGAGAGTGAGCAGGAGATTGCGCAGTCGATGAAGGAGAACCACCCTGCTACAAACTCTCCAAGTTCATCTCCTTCTCCTTCGAAGGGTTCATTCAACCGACCGGATTCTCCTGGCACTCCTGGATCGCGGAACTCGATTTCTTCAATGATGGGGTCGAACACATTGCGACCACCGCCTGCGGCACACCATAAGCCATCGTCGTCCGTGGTCAAGATACATGAGGTTGAGCAGGAGAATGATAATGGGGTGATTAGGACCGTGAGCCATGATATCGAAAACCAGGACCAAGTTCATGTGAAGGAAGAGATCGAGGGAGCAGGAACAGGCTCCGGCACAGAGTCAGAGTCAGAGTCAGAGTCACGATCGGGATCGTCCTCGCATCCACCCGCTCATTCACAGTCGTCTTCAGGGCATCACCATCTAACGGATCTGTTCAATCGGCACGGCAAGGATACGAGGGCATAATGAATATGACGTGCGATACGAAAAACGAATCGACAGAAGGATGCGAAGGAGGGCGTGTACGATATAGGATCTTCATATTACTTTTCTAGCAAATTATTTGCTCTAATACCATCTAAAAAGTTACTATCGAGGAGATTGTGTGGTTCCTGAAGATCAGAAAAGAACAAAAGATGGAGCGAGCGCGTGCCTTTGTGTTGACGTCCCAGAGGAACAGGTCGACTTTGACTTTGTTTCTGGCTGGAAAAAAAGGTCTCGCGTCTCACGTTTGACTACAGCCTGATGTATCTGTATCAATGCCTCACAGATCCTACCAAGTTTAAACCTGGGTTGTCAGTCCTATTTGACAACCCCCTGCAGAAAATCCATGGTACATTTGCTAAAGATAAAGGCAGCCTGAGCGTAAATAACAGACACCCTCATGAACCAGACGCCATGTGAACACAGGAAAGGCATTATTTAAGCCATTAGGTCCGATTTTTCAAAGCGAACGAATTACATGGATTTCCTACTGAAATTTGCTTGCGTTCTCAACGTGGAGGTTGCCAAGTAGTTTCTATGGCTAAATTTCCCTATCAAATAAAAAGGAGGATGCACCTCAAGTCCACACCTAAATTACAGCTAATATACCGCCTCAACAGTGTCTCTCTGATTCTATATACACTTCTGTATCCAACAAAAAGTTCGGGAGGCTGTGATCGTAGGTCGTACAGCAAACACGTTTTAACACTCCTTAAGGAACAGCACCGTTCTGTTAATTAGGCACGCGCACTGACCAGCAGAGCACAGACACTTAAATCTTAAAAGAACTGTGCGCACGCCGTATAAGCATTATAACATCTAAATCTGTTACCCCTTTAAAACGGCGAACATTCACACAACGCTAGGGTGATAGAATTCTCGTGCAAGGATTATCGAAAGAGCCGACATCGAAAAATCAAAAAGCAACGTCGCTATGAACGCTTGACTGCCACAAACCAGTTATTACTATACCTATAAAAGAAACTTATTCTAGAGCTTATCCTTGGTAGGATCGATTCATTTTGCCCATATAGGTATCTCGATATCTAGTCACGAATGATAAGGCGCAATGCCTTACAATACAGCCTGTCTAATTATCACCCTGTAATGTTCTGACGGATCTTAATGCCCTTTCTGGCTGTACCTGAGATCTTCTTTTACTTTATGAAATCGTAATCTCAAGAACATTTAATATCAAATATTGAGCAGCACAGACAGTAGAGAGACCCAACAACCGCCTCAGAGACACGTATGGTCTGTGATAGAGTGCTGGTGTGCAACCGGGTAGTCGTGGGGCTTTCACAAAAAATAAAAATAAAAAAGAAAGATCGATCAGGTCGGCCACTGACAATGGGATGTGTGCGCTAATGGTTGATGAGTAGGTCAGTAGGGGGTTTTTGACAACTGACACTAGGGTAACTCCGCCACCACCTCAGGGGCTTCACATGAACCTCCAGAGATTATCAGAACGCAACAGAGCAGCCGTGAGACCCTCAAAAAAAAAAAAAAAAAAAAAAAAAAGAGCATTGGCCAAGTCGTTTTTCGATACAGCTCATCATCATGAAATGAACGACACTTGCTTTTCGCACGAGTAACTATAAACTATTATTCATTAAAAACAGTTGCAAACTTGATAAAATCTTGGAGTAGCACGACATTGGTTGCGCTTACAACGCTCCCGCAACACAATATCTCTGGTACACCACATCTGTTTCAGCTTATTCATAAGTAGCACAAATAGAAAATTAGGTAGTCAGAATTGACATTCCATTTTCGATCCCAGGGACCTAGGGATCCACCCCCTTTCCTTCACAGTTCATATCCCCTTAACCAGATCCATTCAGAGAGAAAAGAGAATGAATGAGAAAAAACGCTTAATCTCAGCAGATCGTAGCAACAAAGCTACTCTACTGCTTACAATACCCCGCTCAATAAAAGTCGTCTGCAATGGATTTATCTCTTCCAATGTTTGAAATTAACATTAGCAGGCGTCTCATAAAACCTTTGCGCTCCGCAAGATGACCCCACATAGCATGGATTCAGGACCCGAGGGTCAATTCGTATTCAACTAAAAATCGGAAAAGGCGGTAATCGTCGCGTTCTAACACGGATTCTGACTTAGAGGCGTTCAGCCATAATCCAACGAATGATAGCTCCGGGCCATTGCCTGCTCAGGCAGCTCCAAATACCAATTATCCGAATGAATGGTTCCTCACGTACCAAGTTCAATTACTATTGCAACAGCATTTCATCAGTAGGATAAATCCAACCTGCCTCACGACGGTCTAATCCCAGTTCACGTCCCCTATTAGTGAGTGAACAATCCAACGCTTACTGAACTCTGCTTCAGTATGGCGAGTGCGTTGTTAGCTATATATCTGGTGTTGGCCGCAGCGGCGGGGTGCTGGCGATATTGGCCAGGGTCGGTGAGGGAAGTTGAGACAATACTCTCCGCGAGGGGATCGTTTAGGATCGGGAGAGTTATGTTTCTCTTGCGTGTATTACTTAAGATGGCGGGCTGCCACGGTCAACATCTATGGGCCCACAATGCTCCGTGGCCCTAGCTTGATCTCTTAATTGTTCATCGCCTTCTCTCCCGCTCTTTGGCTTTTCAAACCCATTGAGTGCTTTAGTTTGTGCTCTTGACCACCACTTTTAATTCGTGAACATGTCATTGACAAAGACTGCTCCGTATATTAATGTTCCTTGCTCGCCGCTCCAGCTAGCATCTTCCAGTAATGCTTAAACTCACTTATGCTATCGGAAGATCATTAAAAGCGGATGCGACGATGGCATGAGAGCGAGCTGGCAATGGTGAAGGCGAAGGGGAGGAGGGCGAGGGCCAGGGCGAGGGCGAGAGACTAGGTAGTCCATGAGCGTGGGCTATTCAGAGTTTGCATTAAAGTATCATCTTCCTTCTCCTTCTCTTTTTCTCCATCGAACCCTACCACCGCCACCGCCGCCACCATCACTGTCTTTTGCTCTCATCTGTCTACCTCAAACCTCTTTTTTTTTTTTTTCTAAGACCATCATCTCTTTTTCTGTACCCTCATCAACCAGACATCAATAACCACTCTCAACATACCACTCCTTCTAATAAAACAAACCTTTTACCTTTTTTTTTAAAAAAAAAATTCATTTTCCACGTTCTCATTTTCGAATTTCTTGAAGGTACGTCGAAAAAATAGAGAAGACTGTTGAGGGTCTAGACAAGAGCAAAAGAAGGGGGATATGTTTAGAAAGCTGGGTGGATCGTTGTTTTCGTTTCCTAATGTGCAGTGGACAGGTAAGCGCCTGTTATGTCCAAAGCGAGATGCACAGGTTCCTCTGTCTGGGCCTTGGGTCGAGAAACATGGTTCACGGTCTGTCTATGCTCTGCATAATGGCCAAGATTCGCTTTGCGAGACATATTTCTCTTTCTTAGCACCTGGAAGATGGAGCAGGTGTTGGCTCTGTTTCTCAATGTGTGGTTTCCAGGTAAGCGCTTGTTGTGTCCACGTGGCGATCCGGCAGGTTCCCCTGGATAGAGCTTGAGTCGGGATCGTTCGCTTGCGTCTCTTCCTTGACTGTAACAAACCAAGACCAATGGCGGTTGTGGGAGAAGCCGTTTACACCTGTACAAACAGCAGGAATCCTTAGGTACGGAAGTCTATGCAGTTGCTCGCTTCTAAAAGCATATTCCCTAGGTCATATAATTTGATAGGCATCAACATGTCTGACTCTCGCCTGAAAGGAACGGCTGTGGCGATGTGGATCCTCATGAAAGATTCTTTTCATCCTGAGCATAAGCCAGAACCGACTGCCTTTTCGAATGGTTGGCTTCAAAAGTTCAAGGGGCAGAGAGCGTTCAAGAGATACATCGGCCATAGCAAAAGCGGATCAGTCAACTTGGATCTCTACCGTACTCAAATTAAACAGGTCCAAATGGCGCTCGAGGACTTTGGCCCTGATAACATCTATAATTGCCATGAGACGGGTCTCTTTCTAAAAGCTCTGTCCAACAAACCCCTTGCTACCGGTCCAATTCGTGGCAGGAAGATCACTCGGGTTGCTCGAGAGTCGGTGTTGGTGTGCAGTAATGCCGCAGGTACAGACAAACGCAACCTCTATATCCTCGTAAGCAATGCAAAAGGTTTTTACTCATTAAGTTTTATACGTCCATAGTCAAGTACCGCCCGAACGGTTTGGCCCAAGCGACATTGAAGACTATCGATGCCGAATTTAAAGGAAGTGGCTACATGAGATGTGAACTGTTCGCCGACTGGCTCTGGAAGCTAGACTGGGACATATACAGGAAGGGACGCAAGATCACTTTGCTGATCGACAACGCACCAGGATATGGGAGATGCGAAGACTGGGATTTCCTCAACATCACCATCAGCAGGTTACCTTCAAATACAACATCCATGCCTTAGCCGCTCGATGCTGGGATTATCCGATGTTTGAAGGCTCACTACAGCCGAGAGATGCTCGAAGTCGTCTGCAATCGTCGCGTTCGAAAAAGATCATCCACGGCTACGGTTACAAATAGGAGACTTTGGGCATGTGTAGTTCGCTCTTGGGAGAAGGTGACCCCTGAATGCGTTCGTGATTACTTTGTCCAAGTTCCCATCCTCTTTGAGTACCAGAAAATTGGATTGCTGGGCCTTGGAGTCGAAACAAAGGCAGATCAAGTCAATCGTCTTCAAGAAGAGTTCAAGGAACGATATGCAGGAAACAAAGAAACCATCGCCGATCAGAAGGTCTCCTCTGCCCCGAACTACCTCAGCATGATCAATAGCGAAGGATCTTCACAAGTGATTGTCGAGGCCACTCACGAGATAATGAGTCGCGAGGAATAAAAGGGAACATTCCAGCAACTGAAGGAGAATGATTTTGTGGATGAGGACAACTCTGAAGACTCTGATAACGATACGTGGGGCGACGACGACAAATTTGACCTGGATTACGAATATCCGGAGCCAGTTGTTAGTGACCAAGAGATGCAGGCAATCGAAATCACTCTCCGCAACCGCACCGTCGAGAAAGAGGTTCCTATGGAAGGATTTTCGTCACCACCTTCAAGCCCCTACGCAGAAGAGGTCTATTCTTAAGAACGTCTTCAAGACGCCGTAAACGAGTTCATATCTGCCACCGTTAATGTCCAGGAAGCCAGGTCGCTCTGGACGATATGGATGTGTTCGTTGGTATAAAATAACAGTTTCAATTGGATTGAATACGGGACTGGTCCCTCTATAATGATACCAAAGTGTGCAAACTATGGAGGTTCGGCTCTAGTTATAAGCTACACTAGGACAATCTTCAAGAAGGCAACTGTTTCTCATTCATATCATCTCCATGTAAATATCACAGCCTGCGAAATCATCGGATTTGAGCCCCATCGAGCACATGTAGGCATACCTCAAGAAACAACTTGGGAAGTATCCAACACGTCGGAACAGCTGCAAGGAACTTTGACAGAGGATATCTGTGGGATGGCACAAGATTCCACTGGATTTCAGCCGTGCTCTGGTTCGAAGCACATCTTGGAGATTCACTGCGGTCCACAGAAGCAAAGGCAAGCAAACAAGGTACTAAATTCGATTGACAATCCAACAGTAAGTTTTATCTGTGTCATTTTTCAGCATGGTTCAAAACTAGCCAAATAACTTGCTTCAATTAACATGCTAATATTTCTGCTTTGGACAGGGAGATATCAAGTTCCAAGTTAGTGGGATCGTTAACAAGGTCAAGTGCTACTAGAGAACCAGCTTTCATGGCAATTGGATAGCACACCATTGAGGAAAAAAATAAACGGATTTGGTATTAGTCATTTTTGAACGCCAGTATAGATTATTCCTCATAATAAAAAGGGACAATCTATTTGACAACCCCTATACTAACTCCATGTAAGGCCAGCATTTTTTAAATGTCGATTATGCCAGTAGTCCTTATGATACCTGGCCCCGGCTCTTTAAACTAGATCGTCATCTGTCTCTTAAAGGACTCCACAATGTAACCGATTTCCCATTTCGTCATCGCTGAGTACGCCATCGATAAAACCCTGTTTTCCGTCATGAAGAAGGCTTCTCCCAAGGTCGTAAAAGGTTGCATGGGGAAGGAATGGTTCTCAACCTCTCGCCGCGTTGTTTCGACTTGAAATCGCAAAAGATACGAGTCTTGTTTTACATGGGATTTGTGCAGGGGTTGTCAAATAGATTATTCCTAATAAAAAAAAGCTGCCAAAGGCAAAAGGCAAAAGGAGAGACTCGACTGCCCGCTTTTACTCTCAGAAGAGAGACATCGTTCGGTTACAGGATCGAACAGAAATTTGAGCAGGCTTGCTATCTTCATCGTCAACGATAGATTGCGTGGTCCGGGAATCGAACCCGGGTCTACCGCGTGGCAGGCGGTAATTATACCACTAAACCAACCACGCTTTCTTTCATATTAATAGAGAAAATATTATTATTATATTTACGTGAATAAAATACTTAAGGGCTCTAATTCGCGGCGGCTTAGACTTTTAAGGGGCCTTTTTGTAAGGCGGTTGACCATAAAAAAAAAGGGGATGGGAAGATACCCTTTTTATTGGCTGACCACTGTCCTTGTGGTGCGTTGCTCGCCGACCATACAAACGGGAGCTGCCCTGGCCCCATGCTCGACCCGGACGCTGCGGATCGGACGCTGCTGGACTGCCTGCAAGGAAGGAGGCGGTTGACAACCATGGAGAGGATGGGGAAGTTACCCTATTTGTAACGAGGAGTTTTCAACTTTTAACACACTGATGAGATGTGGCAATTGTTGCACAGGGCCTAAGGGCAGGCCCGAGGAATGTGACCTGTCTTTCGGCGACTGTGAATCGGCTCTACTTTGGTGGAAAGGACGACTGTAGTAGATCATTGCTAGTTAGGTCTGATAGATTCGCAGGGTCAATCGATTCGAGAGACAAATTGTTATAGACTAAAAAAAAATGGAGGTCTGGGCCCATCTGAGGCTCTTGGGCATAAATGTTTCTTGTAGAATCTCTCTAGGAAGCTGACACTGATTGTTCCCTCTCGGAGGCCATGTTGAATAAAAAATAAAATAAAAAAAACTGATCGCGGTGTATCTAACTCTCAGTCAGCACGCTGGAATAGAGTAATGGGGTGTGAGCGGACGCAGCTCAGCGAACTAGACCCGCGGCAGGTGCTTTACTCCAGTTGCTTGTCCAAAATCGCATTGGCTCAAAAAGCTCATATCGCTACAGTTCCCAAAAAAGCTTTCGGCATGCACACCTCTCCCAGATCGATTTTTTTTCTTTGTTTACATGCCATACACTCGATGATGCTGTTGTTCGTTGTCATCCCGTATATTCAAAGCTTTTATTATTAGCACTTTTAACTTACAATGGACAAGAGCAAAAAAGAAAAAAAAAAAAGAAAAAAAAAAAGCGAGTTTGATCGTCCTTTAGGCTGGAGTGGCCGGGCCCGCGTTATTCAACGGCGACTGAGATCTCGAACTTGGCGTGGATGTATTAGCCGTCGATCCCCACGCCTCTTCACTCGGCGTCCATGACCGCGATCCCGGCTGCTGACTATGGCGGTACCAGGACGAAGACGAATGCCGGGCCGCATCAACCGCTGCCGATTTCGCTGCCGCAATCGACAACGCATTTGCAATGATTCTCTGCACATCTAAATCCGATTCAGCCTCTCCACCCAGACTATTCGAATAGCTGGGCGATGTGGGCATCGAGTGGTGCATCCAATATTCCGAGGACATGGATCGTCGCTGCTCTTCCAGGGCTGAGGCAGAAGTCGAACCAAAGACAGCGTTCGATGTTCCTGTCGTGGGCGTCGCGGTTGCAGGTCGGGTACCATCCCAGCTGTTGGGATACATCTGTTGATGGTGCGACAGTGAAGGGCGCTTGAGATGCACATACTGAGATGGATGGATTCCTGATGGGAATGGTGGCAGATGATCTGCAAGGCGCGTGGGCGTAGGAGGTGTGGATCGGCCAGCTGGGGACAATGGGCGCAACGATGAAGAGGAAGAAGGAATCATGATCCTGTGAGACTCTGCCTGCGTGATGTTCTTACTACTAGTGCGACGGCTCTGGGGCTGCAACTGCGCCTTTGCCCAGGCGCCCGTTGGTGCGGGCTGCGCCTGAACAGGTGAGGTTGGTTGATGGTTGAATCCAGTGGTGGGACTATCGGGCCGATCCACTCCCTGGTTCGCAGTGGTAGAATGCATGAGCTGGGTCGACGAGCGCGGAAGTGTGTTCCTCGGGACCTGAACCGCCAGTGGCGAGAGCGGTGGGGACAGTGGCGAGAGAGTAGATCGGTCAGAGGGGGCAAAATACCCGGTGCTGAGGAGCTGGCTGGGGCTTTTTGGGCGCTTCCGACGGGCATGTACAGATTCCGTGTACTGCTGGGGCTGATACAACGACTTTACGACAGAGTTCGGTGGAGGAGTGCCTAGAGGGAGAGTCAACTTCTTGGATGTCATCTGCGGGCCAGTTCCGGAGGGGCTGTTGTTGCCCTTGAGACGAGCATTGTGACTTAAGTAGTCCTCCCGAAGGTTGATCGAATCCAGACTGGTGCTGCGTCTTGCAGAGGAGGCGGCAGATAAGAGGGATTCCGTCGACGTTCTAGACTTTCGTCCGCGAGTATTTGCAGTACTTGGTACGGCCGAGTAAATGCTTGATCGATTGGATGACTCGGCTGAGACCCGTCCTCGGTCTTCGGACAGGTTACTAGGATGTGTCCGCGGTATGATAGGTGGAGGGGTTGATGGCGGAGGTAGTGGTGGGAGATGAGACATGGAGATGCGCGAGCGACTTGGAGAGAAGTAGCTATCACTGCTCTTTCGGGGTACCATGGACGGTCGACGATGTGAAGGTGCAGAGATCTGGGAACCAGATGTGCTATTTTGCTTGTTGTCGATGGTTGCAAGCTGATGTTGTTGTGTTTGCTGAGGATTGCTTCCTTCTGGAGGAAAAATCTCGTCGCTGATTATGACTGGCAGTAGCTTCCCAACGTCCATGTTCAACATGTCGATGTGAACGTCTGTGGGTTGGTTCTGAACGGGTGGCTCGACAATGAGCGATTCAAAGCAGGGTGACACCGGCCTGGGTGGCCTGGGAGGGGCTGTTAGCCTGGAGGGAGTTGTCGGTCTGGAGGGGGTTGTCGGTCTGGAGGGCGTTGTCGGCCTGGAGGGAGTTGTTGGCCTGGAAGGGGTTGTTGGTCTGGAAGGGGTTACCGGTCTGGAGGAGGTTTGAGTTGGGAGATTTGCTGGTGATGGAGGGAGGGGGGGAAGTGCGGAAATAGGGGGGTTGGGGAGGATGACGGACCGTATGGACTGAGAGGATCCTCGGCGTTTATGGGATGGTCTATGGCCTGCTCGCTTTTCTGAGGAAAATCGTTTGGAGCTAGATGAGTTGGACCTTCGAGGAGCGGCAGGGGCTTCTGTTGCTGGCGTTGTTGGCCTAGAGGGTATTGAGGGCTGTGCTGTGTTGGCGTTGTGATAATGTGCATTATATAAGATGTCGCCTCTATCTGTGTCGACGTTGTTATTGGCTGGTTGCTCAGGGCGAGCGTGAGTGGTTGGTCTTGAATCTGGGGCCGGAGGGCTGCGCTTGTTGTTATAGGCGAGCTGAAGCTGTTGCTCGAGATCTTGACCCTTGGATGACAATGAAGGCGATGTCCTTGCGCTCAATCGTCGACGTCTTCGAATAAGCAGCCAAAGGGCAACGACGATGAGGATGAAGAGGATTCCACCTATAGCCCCTGCGATAGCAGCTACGGGTGTGTGTGTTTTGGATTTCGGTGCTGCTGTTGGTGTTGGTGTTGGTGATAGTGTTGACGTGAGGGTTGCTGAGGATATGTGTGTCGATGTGCGTGTTGATGTGCGTGTTGATGTGTGTGTTGATGTGGAGGTTGGCGCCCGTGTGGATGTTGTAGTGCGGGGTGCGTTCTCTGGTGTTGGTGTAGAGATAGTGGGTAAAGAAATGGTCAAGTCGGACATGGCTGCTGTATTACTATGTAAAGAGTATGTACAATGTGTGTGTGGCACACAGAAGAGGTTGTGTTAAGATATTGCAGTTACAGAAAAAGACGAGGGAGAATTGTCGTCGTTCGATGTCTTTATATGTTTGGAAGGCCTTATGCTTCCCTTGCATTGCAGTGGGTGTAACCAAGAAAGCCGCTGCTGTTTCCGAGGAGAGATCAGGGAGTGTGCGTATGTGAGTGAACGGATGGATGGTATGAGTAATGACCATTGGATTATAGGGAATGCCATGACAGGTAAGCATAAAAATATCTTTTTGGGTTTATGTATTACGTACTGGAGTACTGGAGAGAAGGGAAGGACGATGATGAATGCTAACAATGCGGCAGGTGATCGTAGGCTGGAAATGACAATGGCGGGAAAAAAATTTAAAAAAGGATTCTGTACCTCGCGTCATGGATGCAAGGGAAAAGTGCCCTGTTTGTCTGCTAGTCTTTTTCTTCAGGGGCAAAGAGGAAACAATGAAGCAAGGGAACGACTACCAGGCTTGCGCAGCGACCACAGCTAATATGGCATTAAAGGACTCTCAGCAGCATGGGAGACAGGCGCACCCGCACGTCTGTTCACTTTTGTGTGTGTATATCTCCTAATGTTTGTTAAAGTTACCGATAGTACGTCTCTCTGGATGGTTTTGTGTTCAGCCAAATTGCCAAATTCACAGACACACACACATATCATTCACATAGTCTCCATGGCCCTCACCCATTAGAGTTGGCATGGTTATCTCTCTCAATATTTCTGGCGGGAAGCGGAGGAAGAAAAGAACAAGGGAAACACGATCGCAATTATCTCCGAGGGAATGCTGGAGGCACACAAAGGGGTTATTATTTGTTACGGGTCGCGCTCCACGTTCCCGCTCAATTGTTCGTGCCATGCCCATGCCCTCCTTGCCACTGTGTATATTTCATTCCTCAGTCGCATGTAAATTGCATGAGTCAATGTGCTTAGTGCAGGATAATTACCTTCTATTGTCTGGTGAAAAAAGGATAAAAAATAACCAGCGCGCAAAATGCCTGTCTGTCTGATATCGTATGGTTTCGAGTCTTGTTATCTCAAAGGATGTATGTACATAAGGAATGGTAGGTGCTGGATAGTCCGTGTGATGAGTGTGTACGGATGTGCTGTGTAGGGCCCTTCAGGGACACGACAAGAAGAGGTGAGGAAATCTCCCGATCAAAGGGATGTGATTGGCGATGACTCAGATGGTGGGATAATATGTTCAAAGCGAATTCGGTAGATTTCGAAGTATGTGTGTCGAGAAGTGCAAAGAGAGGGCGAGGAACGAGCGTGAAAAAGATGAAAGCGAGAAAGCGAGAAAAAGAGTGTGGATGCGAGTGTGCGTGCGAGTGCGTATGTGCGAGAGTGAGAGCGAGAAAGAGAATAAAAGAAAGAGATGCAGAAAGATGTGAAAAGATGTAGAGAGTTGAAGGTTAATTAAGATCTTCATCATCAATACATACGCACACGCGTTGAATCCGATGCTACAGTGGTGTCTATGTCATCAAGGCCCATTAGCTTAATGCCCATTCGGATATCCTTCTACGCTAATTGTCATCGACCCCCCTCCTCCTTCTTTACGTCTTGCCCAACTCTGACGACACATCGTGCAGCTACCTCCATTCTCCACATAACTATTTACCCACAGCGAGAATATGAGGTACGAGTGTTTTCATCATGACCCGAAAAATTATCATGACGCTTTTTTTTTTCCTGGACATCTGCTATGCTCAACTGTAGGACTAAATTGGTGCTCACAGCATCCCCTCGCAAAAAACATTAACATCATGAAAGACATGAGAGACAAACAAACAGTTTTTTCCCGCCATGCCTATGCAATGGCATGCTGCTGTATGGGCACCAATGGTGGCCAAGGGAGGGGGAGACATTCTGGCATGTAGTTGCCCGTTAATGCATGGTTTTCAATTGCTCTCTTGCCTTGCCAAGTCCGGCATATAACGCCACTTCATGATTCTCTTATACCCTATTCGAGACTGAATAGCGAGCGCACAACCAGACCAGGGTACTGTACTAATATCTTGCCCAGCCTGATCGGGTGCAAAGGCTGTTTTGATGTCTATGTTTCCAGGATAAACACGCATGCTCCTTGTTCAATTGTCTTCCGTCGGACTAAACGTTATTTTGTGTGTATCAAATATAGTCGGCAACTGTGTTGTGTTACTGTTTTTGTTGCCGTTGGAGGCGAGAGCATACCCTCCAACACTCGAACGAAAGGCACGACCAGTGAGGGGCTTTCCAGCAACTTTATTCTTTCGTTAAACTGCTCTTCTGCTAGGACCATTACTATATCTCATTCACTCCTCAGTCGATCTCATAATTTTATAATAGGGCCCGCCGTTATTTCTGGTCCAGCACGAGTATGCATGTGCTGGCGGAACCCCCACGGAAGCCTTATGGGCACAGAGCATATTGAGTAAATCCAGCCTAACCCAAAATGATAGATACCCTGACAAAGGTACGATTACATTACAGCCTGCATACACTTAGACGCGCAAGGACCGGTAAAGTGGATTGAGAATGACAGATACTTTTTTTTACATCCTAGCTTTAGCTGTTGCAAAACATTACCCAGAGCAGGAACGGTCTGGAATCTGGAGAAAGACCCATGGACTAGATAGCCGTATATCCTGTACGGTGCTGTGTATTTTATTTTTTGCTCATTTTAGAGATGGCCCCATACCTGGGCAAGATTGGATCACTAGGCCATCCAGCTTTGAAAACAAACAACACCACAATAGCTCCAAAAGATAGACACGCACCCTGATCGGATCGAAGAGACCAATCACGGCGGTCCATGATGCACGGCTGCCGACGCCCGTTCAGAACACAGAACCATCGACGGAGAGAAGGCTCTGTCCCATAGCGAGATACGGCTTTTTCTCTTGTAGTTCTAATTGCACCCATATCCAAGTACAACTCCGCCACCTTGCAAGATCCGTGGTAAAAAAGAGAGCGACCTAATGACTACCTCGTTCATGTTCATGTCTATGCTATGATGTTATGCGTCTGCTGAGCTGACTCTGACCATGTATCCGCAGCAGTAACACCATGACCACGCGGAAGTGGTGTACAACACAAACGAACGAGGAGCCCTGTGTGTTCTTGTATAAGTTCAGTTTGCTGTACACCCACAAACGGGAGCTCTGGTTGTCTTGTGCATCAAAATATTAACTTTCGCGATGCATGCACCGCGTCTCCATCAAGGAAGGGAGTTGGAGAAAGAGAAATGGCGCGCTTTTTTTTAAATAAATCGAGATCGGCCCATGCGACATGTCGCGAAAAAAGTGATTGCCTTGCTCAGCGAGCATTTGATGCCTATCAGGGCAATGTCTTTCCACACCTTTCCTGTAAGACACCAAGAGTTGCTCATCTTTTTTCTATTTCCTGTGGGTTGAAAAAGCGTATAACCTTCCGAACCAATGACGAGAAAGCATTTGCATTATACTTTTCCGTGTGAACAGGAGAATTATTAGGAGGCGTACTATTTACACATTAAAAAGGGATAGGTAAAGAAAAAACGGCACGCGATAGACGAAAGTGGAGACGATAAGCTATAGGGCATTCAGATTATGCTAGCGACGAAGAGAAAGATGTAAAAAGGAATCACATAACGCACTATGTTCCACAAGTCCCATCCAGCCATCTTCCAGTATATACTCGATAACAAGGGCCAGACAATCTTGCTATGCTTGCCCCCTGCACTGTCAAAGAAAACCGCATCCTGCCTTGACAAATATCCATCTGAGGATCCGCCCACATAATCATCATAACACCGGTCCTGTTGTGCCTGCGCCTGAAGCTGTGAAGGGATCGCAGTCGCGGTCGTAGATCCTTGAGGAGCGGAATCCATGCCCGAAGGAGGAGAGGATGACGAATTCCTCCAACGCACCAGGATTGATCGTTCTGCGAGGTGCCGTCGCCCGCGCACCATCCATCGGAGTCGCTGCATCAGGATCCAGCTCAATGAACAACCTAAGAGCACGCCATAGCACAGATAAATCAACATCTGGTTCGGAAGCATGCACTCTTCATATACAAACGTTGTGTTCTCTGAAGGGTTTGCCACACTTCCTGCATTCTCTTCTGTGGAAATAGGCAGTCCAGACGTCGTGGAGACCATTGGAAGCACATTTTTCGCCTTGTGATCAGGGTTGTAAAGCGAGAGCATCACAAATCCAGGCTGCAGAATTCCCTGTGCGAAGCTGAATGTCGGAAGTGTCACCTCAGGCGTAAGAGTGCCATCCAAAGAATGCGCTATCTCGCACCAGTCGTGGTCATCCCCGCTAAATACCATGTCTGGCTGGATACTGCGGAGAATCTCACGAGAGAGGGTGATGTTGACCATATTTTGGTACTGTTCGCCCTTGCGGTTAAGAATGAGTTGCTCAGTCTCGCGAGCATCACCGCAGTAGGTAGTGTCGAGGCGAAAGAGCGGGACATGCGTGAACAAGATCCTTGGAAGAGTCGGTCTTTCTAAAGTGCCGTATTGGGCGGTGGAAAAAAAAATGTAGCCAAGCATGCATTAGGTTCAAGCTCTTTTGAAGCCATTGATGTCGATTCCGGATATTGTAACAGCAGTATTCACAGTGAAAATCGGCTAAAGCTCCATGAGCATTAAAGCATCCTGCCTCCATTCTCCTTTTCCTGTGCGTGGCGCCGATTTGCAATCAGTGGCTTGATGTATCGTCCATCTTTACCTTTATCTATGTGCTTCAAAAACTGCTGTGATTCTTCTCGGATGTCCTGGATATCGGAGCTCAGCGACAAAGTGTCCAACACGACCAACGAGTGGTTGCCGACCTCGATCTCGTAATTGACAGCACCAAAGACCTGCTTGAACCGGACCATGGATGATCGAATAAGGGTGTCTCCAAATCCAACATCATGGTTCCCTGCCACATATAATCTGACGCTCCTTCCTGCGTTCCTCATCGCCTCACGTTCTGCCGAATCCAATGGCACATCGACCAATTGGTGATAATGTCCTATACCTCTGGCGCTCTCCTCCCCTTCTTCACGACTGTCATCTGGTTGTCTCTCTTCGGTGGCGGCAAAGGGATCTATAACAAGCGGGCGCTGGTTCCAAGCTGTCGATTTAGTCTCGAATACCCTCTCAAAGAATCGATTCCTGTTCTTTTCGAAAACCTCTCCGCGCGAGTTCCTGCCTCCATCGTTCAGATCGCCCAGAAACAGCACGGCGTCGGGTCGAAGAGAAGCATGCATCCGATGGAAACTGCGTTTCATATAGATATCCGTGTAGGTCTCCACCAGTGCTAAGAGGAGTCCTGATTGGTGATAGGACATCCAGTCCGTGAGCTGAGGGTCTGCAACGATTGCGACCCTGTATCGTTCACGTATGGCTTCATCGCTTGTGCCCTAATAGAGAGATGCAAGCAAGCAAACATTCAAGGGAGCGGATTTAGACGAAAGAATGAGAAAAAATCGTTCCATATCTCGAATGTCTGATCTTTCTTGATTTGCCCGCATTCCATCCCTTGAACAAAAAACTTAATCCACAATGTGCGTGACTCCAGATACATGACAATATTTACCCATGATGAGTTCTCTGGCCAAGCACATCGCCGAACCATCGCCCAGTAGCTCCCATGTTCGCCCACAAACAATGCAACCATCCAAATCAGTCGCAGAAGTCGAACATGTACAGATTGATTGCTGATAATCCGTTGACTTTTTCTACTACCACTGCTGTTGTCACTCCTTTGTAATGACTGGGTATCGTGGGTAGCTGACGAAGGCGAGGGCGGCGAATTGGACGAGTATGAGTGCGAGCGAATCGACAAGAGTGGCGTTGGGGTATCTGGATTGTAGCCATTGGTGTTCTTGGTATTAATGTTGGCGTTGCGGTGGAAGGACGATCTGGAGATATCCGAGACAAGGGACGAGGCTCGTGCTCGAATGGCGGTGGTGAGCTCCGGGAGAAACAAACCTGGGTGTGCACGTAGGAATGAGGATGAAGACGAGGTGGATGGTCGCTGGTGCTGGTGCTGGTGCTGCTGTTGCTGTTGTCGCTGAGGGTCGAGTATATCATCCTCGCCTGGCGGTACCCGATCGTACCTTGCCATCCTGTCCAGGAGAGTCGAAGATGATAAAAAAAAGGGTGATGGAGAAAAAGAATGTTGCGAATGGTAAAAGGACTAGGGAAATAACAAGTCATACCAGACAGCCAAAATAAGCGTTGTCAGTAGGCCCACTGCCCAGGGTGACGGTCGACTTTATTTCCATGAGCGAATGGTGGTGCAGATCAAGCCGAGGCTCACATTTTGGACGCCACCCTGGCTTTCTTGAGGGTTTCGCGCACAACAATTTGAATGTGCATTGCAATTGGTACTTGTAATTGCCTTTATTACCAAGAAACTGAATACTATAGGAAGTATGTGGCATGCACAGCATGCTTGAGAACACTATAGGAAGTATGTAGCATGCACAGCATGCTTGAGTAGACTATTATAAGACCCTCCTAGCCGATGACTTGGTGCCACCAAAAGACAAAGCCTATTAAACCCCAACAAGAGGAGCCATTCCGATGCGAGCGGAACCCTGGTCGAAGACACAGTAGTTGTTCTTGATGAACACATCACCTAGAATCCAAAGACCGTCCTGGCCACCCTGGACACCAGAGACACAGTTGCCGGAACCGTCACCAAGATCCTCGTAGGCCAAGTCAGCAACCGCGACGTTGAAGGCCTTGCCACCCATCGTGAACGAGATCTTATCGGTGCTCTTCGAGATCGAGCATGGAACCAACCATCCGTTGTCAGGGTCGTTAGTCGAACCCGCGATGTTCTTGTGGATGGCCGTCGCGGCAGCATCGCCAACGATGATCAAGGTCGTACCGGTGTCGACAATGCCCTGGGAGGACTGGCCGAGCGAGCGACCGTTGTATGCGGCGGCGGTGATCGCAATCTGCCAGTAGCCCTTCTGGGTGACAGCAGCATAAGTCAATGAACCAGAGAACTTGGTGGTATCAATGCCTCCAAAAAGATAGGCACCACCCTGGCCATTGAAAACACGCTCCGAAGGGAGGAAGACCGAGACCACGGGCTGAGCAAGGACACCGGCAGCAATAGCATTGTCCATGAATGTCTTGACGCCGCTCACGGACTCGATAGTGTCGAAGCCGAGACCGAAGAGACCATCCTCGGGGAGGAAGCGAACTGGGAGGACTCCTTAGTGGCAAGGCCAATAGTCTGGCGAACAGAGATTCCGCCGACGCTGACAATGTCGGAGCCGAGAGTACCGGAGGCGGTGGAGCCATCACCGTAGGAAATGGACCAGGAGCGACCATCCTTCTGGTAGGTCGACGATTTGGACGAGGAGAAGCGAGTGTGGGCTGTGCAACCGCTGGTGGTGCAGGAGCTCGAGGGGAACCAAATGTCCGACGATCCCTATTACACATAAGAAATTAAAAAAAGATTCTGGCCATTCGAACTGCATTTTAAAAGTTGATTTCGCGTGCACAGCTATTTTATACATACAGTGTCAAAGTCCAGCTTGAAAACCTGGGCGGGGGTTCCAACGGAGACGCTACCATAGTACTCGAGGTCGGGGCTGACATCAGTCAAGGGGACTTTGCCAGTGGATCCGACAAGGATATTGAGTCCAGGGTAGCGTTTGTTCAGCTTGGCAATCTGAGCCTTGGTGTTGTGCTTGAAGTGGGGGTTGCGCGTCAAGGGAACAGCATGGCCTTTGGAGTCGTTCTTGTGGATGGGCGAGGCGTCGGTGAATGCCAGGACCGCGGCGGCCAGTGAGACGAGGGCAGTGATCTTCATAGTTAGGAAGGCTAGGATGGTTAGGACTGAAGAAGAGGAGGGGTGGATGAGGAGAGAGGGGTATGGAAATGAGGCTGCTTTTATAGATGAGAAATGAGATACAGACAAACATAAAGGCGAACCCATTCTCAGCTGTAAGCTCTGGACGACATGTAATGGCCCCATGCCCTGTTTGTGAGAGCAATACGCGACCACCAGGGTTCTCGCCCTTCCTTCAGTGTTGTTTACATTGGTGGATACTCGCGTAGGGCCCTGTTTATGGGTTCTACGACGCGTTAGTCAGGGGTTGACCTAGTCGAATGCGGTTGGATGTGAATGCACTCATCAAGACCTTTGATGGTAAAGTAAAAAAGTACTGTGGTACAAGAATGAGCAGACGAACGAATATTGCCAAATGTCGAATTTACCCGAGCTTTCCTGGCACAAGCGCACAAAAAAATAGACAGTGCGGATATATCGTTACCTTGCCCGGCGTCGGCAAACTTTCTTAGGGAGTGTAGGACGAGAAGTATCCCTTAGATACAGCTGTACCATCCAAAGCTAGGTCTGGAAGGCCCTCCGATCATTAAAAGTACGTGTGCTGTATGATAAAACTTTAGTAATCAATCCCGGCGGTTTAGTTCATGCGCAGAGTGTTTTCTCATAATACTACGTAAGATGCTCCTGAGAATGTTTATCCAAAGTACCTTGCTGATGCTGTTACTGCTGTTGTTGCTGCTGTTGGGGCCAGGTCATCGATCTAGCGCTAATGATAATGTTTCCTTGGAAGAAGAAGGTGCGCTATAGTTGGTGAGAACAGTTGTCGCCAGACTCTTTTCAGCACTAAGGCCCTATGGGATAATGCGCAAACTGGTACATTAGCTGTCATTCGCCCCAGAAACGGATATTTGCCACGCGTGTCTAAAAAGTCGCACGCTAATTAATGCTCGGAATCGCAATGTAAAAATTATTTCATCATCCTTTCACAATTTTACATATATCCAGGGAATATTAACCCTTTTGATACATTGAGAGAAGGAATGTGCCTGACTGTCGTGGTGGGCGGCATCTAATTAACTACACGCATGCACACACCTCTATGTATCATGTGCTTCTGCGAACTTATTGCCTGTGCTATTGTTCATCTGCCAAGCAAGCAATCCTGATGATACTCAGACTGACTCCATGGTTGCTGAGGACCATCTCCTCTTTGCATACTTTTTTTTTGTTGGGTGATATGCCTTTACTTTGTTAGTGTTGGCGGGGGCCTACTCATCTGGACTCTTCTTCCCTTCTTGAGAATTTTTTTCTTACAACTGAGCCTATCACTTTGTTTATAATTTCCCTGAAGTAAATGCGCGCGTTACACGCGCTCCTGAACCTACTTGTTGGTTTCCCACCAATCATTTTCCCTGTGCGTGTGACCTGATACGACCTTCAATGGGCATATCTGGTCAATTGGACCGATAGAGTGCTCAAATTACAGACCCTGTAGTCAACAACTGTAAAAACGACAACAACAAATGCGATGGCACATAACAGGCGCAAGGTGCTCTGATTGTTGACAAATGAGACCATAATACATGGACATGGACGAGGATTAGCAAGCAACGAAGCTCTAGTTTGCGCCATCGTCAAAGACTTTCTCCGGAAAATCTCATTTTAGTTATGCTTTGCAAGGTAGGGATATGCGATAATACAGGGTAAGAGTAGTAAGTACATCTTTTTCTCAGGAATCTTTAAACAGACCAGCTGTTTGCTCGATATGCATTCCCGGAATGCGGCGCTGGAGGTGAACTATGCATGTTCCAGACTCTTAACGGAAATAGCCCGTACAAGGCCTAAATTTTTTTGTATGCGAGCTGCACGCGAGAGGAGAAAAGAATAGTTCTCACAGCTACTGGAGCTTAGGAATGCTCTAATAACAAGAATGTTTACATTCGACAAAGTGCATACCACACGAATTACTCATTTTCCATATTTGATGTATTTTAAGATAGCAAAACTATGGGAAAGAAGACATGTACCTCATTCAAATGGCACTACTCACAACGCACATGTACATCTGGCTTCACAATGCGGACCAAACTCGAGAGTGAATGAGTATGCAGTCTCTCTCTTTGCCTTATTCAGTATTATTTGACGCGTTCCCAAGGAAACCCAACAGGCTCAAAGTCTGGACGGTCATGGAGTAACATCACTAACCATTCCGTACACTCTACGAGACGAGGACCACTGCGGTTGAACATCTGGTTTCCGTCGACGAGAGCAACAATTGTCGCCTTATCATGCAGGTCCCTGAACCATTCCTTCCCCATCAACTGGTCGTACTCTTTGCGGGTTGCCTCCATGTCCAGTCCACATGGGCAAATAATAAGGACTTCAGGTTCCGTAGCAGCAACGGCCTCTACAGTGACACGCACCCTAACGAGCAATTAAACCAATAGTATTATCAGTATAAGGGATACAAGCACAGGAGCTGTTAACATGATAAGGGATTCTGCTTACGATGGAATGCCTGGAGAGTTGACTGGGTGTACTCCGCCAGCCATCACGATCATCTCTGGCGTCCAATGTCCCGCTGGATAGATAGGGTCGGTCCATTCAAAAAACATGACCCTCTTAGGTTTGTAGTCTGAGTTATCCTTCTTTGCTTGAACAGTGACATCAATGCATTTCTGAATCCTCCCCTCCAATGCTGCTCGGACCTTGGCCGCCTCTTCAGCATGGCCAATGGCATTGCCGACCGTGGTGATGCTCTCCATGACTTCGGCCACAGAAGTCGGGTTCAAGGTGACGATCTCAGGACGGGGGTTCATTTTACTGGCAACACGCTGTACACTGACGAGATCGATTGAGCAAACATTGCAGAGATCCTGAAAATGCAAAGTCGAGGAGAAATGGAAGAGGGCGAAATTGTGTTACGATGCATGCATAGTCGGAGTTCAGCTCGTTTGCGCTCATATATATTTCGGACCTGCGTGACAATGATCGTGGGCTTCAGGATCTTGAGCTGGTCAACATCCAGATCGTACAGGCTGTTGCCCTGTGAGAGCGCCTCGGTAACTTGGCGGTCGACGTCAGCCGAAGTTGTGAAGACGGTTTTGGACTTGGTCAAGATAGGAAGATGTTGAATCGTGGAGGGGAAGTCATCTAGATGAAATCAAATAAAGCGGGATGAACACAATCCCAATGAAGGCTTAATTGAAGAGCAGCAGTAGACACATAATCGAGCGAAAGCTGCTTCCCAATGACTGTATTACCTTCATGACTCCTTGCTACCATCTCGGGCTCGCCGCCAACCAAGCAAATCTTGCAGTATCAAAACATAACGTGTTAGAATGTGGGGTGATAGCAATTCGCAGACATCCTCACGATCCAAGCTCAAAGCAAAGCGGTGCAGCCTAATTTTCCTATTCAACTCGTACAATTTCGGCAGCCGAAGGCAGCAAACTGATGATTCGCTGCATGGTTCAGTGAAAGTCGGAGAGAAGAATGGGAGCAAAGCAAAGTGCGGGGGGTTCTTTCTACATTTGTACTGTCGCGTTTCTTTCAGCCACCAAAAATGTTAAAGTGCGCCAGACAACGATCGTTATACTTTTAACCAGGAACATGGAGGGCGATCGAGGTACTCTTTGGAACTAGCGCCCAAAGGAATCAGCGAGTCTCTGGACACCTTTTCAGCAGCAGCATCTCACAATACCCTGCTCACCTGAATTACGTTTGCTTCATGGCAGCCATAGACGTTCCCCTTGTAGACGCCGAAAATAGTGTCAATGAGCTCACGCTGAAGGAAGCCGATGACAGCATATTGAATTGCCTGGAGAGAATCGAGCGAAGTAAGCGAGTGCAATGAAGAGAGTCATTGTGCATCGACTGCTCCACTTCAGCTCACCGCAGGGCTCTAATCGCGTCGTTTGTTCGCTTGCAACTATTTGAAATAGACGCTGGCGTTCGTGGTGGAAAGGAGACCTTGCGTCGCGCATTGTTTGCACTAGATCCGGTCGTTCGGCACTTTGGACTTTCCTCAGATTCCCTTATACAAATGCTGGATATCATATTGCTGGCAAAGATTGGTACGGCCAATTTAAACTTGTTCTGTAAATAGTCTATGGCAGATGAAGGTCGTCTTTATTAACTAACAGTTGCGCTTTCGGCCGTGTTCAGACGATGCAACGACCAGGAAGATGATCAAGCTGCTGCTACCCCGCCAACATGTACCGGAGATGTGCGCCATCAAAATTCTAGGTCGTCTCGGAAAGGATCTCAGTATTTCAATCCAGGTATGATACATGGCTGGCAAGGTCGGGAAAAGTGGACAGACATAGCCGATTCTTGCTTGACAGAGTTTTACTTTCCGGCGATGCCAATAATTTAGGCCGCTCTACTTCGATGGGTAGTTATTGTCTACGATATCTTTGACAGTCGGACAAAACTTCATCAGCTCTACGGCGTGATATTTCATTACTTGCATTATGAAACCTTGAGGTAACGACCACAAACGTCTCTGGTAGTGTGCGGAACCAGGTCATCTTCGGCAGAACTAACAATGGTGCCATGTATGCTTTTTTGGTTTTAGAACACCGCTTTGCCATCTTCTGTATTACCTGACACAGCGGGAGGATGTCAAACCGTTCCGAATTCGGAAACTGTACGTAAACAAGCAATTGCAGATAGATCTTTCAGCAAATATAGTGCTGTGGATCGTTTAACAATTCTCCTGGCTTTCGTTCTCTCTGATTAGAATGGAGTTGCAGACCACAGTCGGCAAGGAGCCAGCACTCACAGGACTTCTTCACATATACAAATCATATTTCCCAGACCTCATATTGGCACCATTGGAAATGTCCAATTCGACCATCTTCAAGTGCCCGGACCAAGCCCTGTTGGAACAAATCTTGGCAACGCAGGACAAATGGGCCCATCTTAGCGACAATCAGACACACGAAATATCTCTCAGCGGATCCAAACAACCCATCGCGAGGAGCGGAGTAGGTGCAACAGTTCTCTAATGAGTGTAGGCTATCAAAATGGCCACCATTAACCGGAAAAGAAATTACTATCTTCGTTCTCTAGGTAAAAAGACAAAAGGTCTCTCACGTTCCCGATGTGTTTTCGATATACCAGAAAGGAGGCGATGTAAGTATATTCGTGCAAGTGTTGGATCTAACTGTTTGACAGAGCTGAACACCTAACATTATTCTCCTGTATGATTAGAGCAAGACGTTACCCCTATCACAAATTACATCACTCGACTCGCTTGTACGGCATATCGACACGCTCACCCTTCCGGATCAACTCTCGTCCGTGCTTTCAAGTCGACTGCTTCAGCATGTCCTTTGCCTACAAACCTCACATTCAGTGGTGGAGCGTATCAGTTACTGGCTGGGTCAGGAGCTCATGGATCTATGGTACTGGCGAGAGAAAACAGATGCCGTACGCACGCGGTTCAGCACCATATTATCCAAAGTAGTTGAAGTCACTGTTATGATTAAGGACCTCCTTCCTGTCATGGAGCACTTTTTGATCCCCTATCTCAGAGTCTGGAATGGTATCGATCATCAGAAGCAAATCCTTGCGCTTCTGACATACCTGAGACCTCGCAGTTACGAAGGTATGTCGCAGGCATCGAGTATATGGGTTAAGCGGGAGCAATTCGATTGTAACACACCAAATACTATCGTTATTCAAATAGAGCTGTTTGTACATTTTCTCAAGCCCCTGTACAGTCTCTTCTACCTCATGGGGCCTGTCTGGAAGGTAAGACGGAAAGCGTAGTCTATGCTGGGATCTACAATGCTGCCGAAGTGACGTTAATAACAGCTGATCCATCATCTTAGGGTGAGCTCATACTATGCTACACAAGGCTGCTACAGCGCTGGGCTCAGTTCAAATGGAGAGATTATCTCGAACTGGGTAAAGACCCTCGGCTTTCAGAAAAGGGTCTGAGCGGATTGTAAGGATCAAATTATAATTTACCATTGCCACCCACCGGAACGACCTTATTGAATATTCCTTGTAACCTCTGGTTTCATTCAATATAGACGGCGCTTGTTCTCCACACTAGCGCCTGATGTAGACTACATGCAAACGTTTCATGCGTTCATTGGCCACGTGGATAGCATCTCGAGTGTCGGTCTGGAGATGGAGCGCGACCACATCGCTGTTCAGCACGCAATTCTCTCATTTTTCGACCTCGCCTCGACACTTACAGGGACATACAAGGTGCCTTTAGCTGTAGTCGTCCCTGATTCGACCATCGTTTATCGGTGCTTCCTATCAGATTCCGGCATGTCAATATCCCGCATCTGTGGAATCGTCTACCAATATAAACAGGCATTCGAAGCATTTGAACAGGAACAGGAGCTTCAGTACGAGCTTTTAGTCCAATCACAGCTGTCCCAGCAAGGTGCTACAGGAGATGGCCCAGGAAAGCAGGCGGAGTTGCCAGAACCTATTCTGGTACCAGGATATAGCCGAGAATATGTGATCCTGTTCAACAGTTTCGTCATGGATATTTGCAATTTTTTGTGGAGGAATCGAGCCTTCAACAAGACTGATAAAAATTCTCGAGGATTTCTGATAGACCAGTAAGTCATGAGAAGATGGTATTTCATGCTAATAGTACACAGTTTTGCAAGAGATCCTAACAGATAATCTGATTTACTCTTAGGGGAACAATCGGGCATACTAAACAAGCATGCATGGAGGGTGGATTGAGCATGAGCAACATGTTTTCATTGACGCATTCAATTGCTTTTTCAGGTTATTCTGCAAGGTTTTTAAGGGTAATAACCGTTGCCCTTATATTTAGTTGTCTTTCGTCTGTTTAATACATATTAATGGCCGTGTTTCTGAATACAACTTTTTGATCGAAATAATAGAGTCTTGAAGATCGAGAGAATGTCCCAGAGGAGAAGTATCTGAGGGCACCTGCATCTTCGCCTGCCCTGAAGGATATGATGGCCAAAGGAGGATTAGATATGACATTTGACGATTACCGGCTCCAATATCTGGAACACCTCGAGAAGAGAGGGTTTGAAGGCATTTCACAATTCTTATTCGACTGCATCACCAATTTGCTACAGCGAAAATTGCAGAGCCAAGAGCGACAGCGTGAACTGAAGGAGAAGCAGCTATCTCAGTCGATGCAGAATATAAGCATTCCAGACCATGGCCAATAAACTTCGACATGAGACCTAAGAGTGTGTAATTGACGCGGCTATGCATCGTCCCTGGCATTTTGCATTGGTGCCTTGCGCCTTCCATTATTAATACACCTGCTGTCAAGGAGCCAGCGCGAATTCCCAGTTGTAATGGTTTATAACGCCATGGGATGGTGGCGATAGATCAAGGGCAATATTAGGTGCTTCTGGCGCATAAACCAATACTAAGGCGCCGCCCAAATATTAGTACCTCATCCTGCACGACAATTAAACTGAGATGCTCGCAATGCTGAATAAAAATAGCGAAATGACAACGGAGATGGGGCGTGGGAGTATTCAACTGCGGATGATGAATGCTTTATCGTCATGATTAAGGTCCAGCGGGGTCTGGTGAGACAACAGAACAGTGGCGATAGGCTGAAGCGGATATGGAGCGAAACGTTAAACGCTCGCCCATCTGGTACCACAGCAATATTGCGGAACCAGTTGATTGGCTGAATCCTGCGGTCCGTTTTGTCCACACGTGCAATTGCGCATCATTATTACGTGTACGCCGTACCTGGTACCTGGGTCCAAGGAATCAAGTATCTCTTCCACTATTGCTGATGCTTGGCATCACCGGGCAACAAACTGTCCAATCGCTGTTCTTCCGGCTCCAAACGTATATCCTCCTAGTAAGCGCACATCTTGACTCTGGGGTAAAAGGTGAAGCAACGGCGCGTAATTCACTAAACTGCGAACGACCGATCGTTTACTACTAAGAGACGGACTCCTCAACTGTACTATGGAGATTACTGCAGAGACATAAGCAATACAGAGAGAGAAACCGGCGCCAAGCGTAAGCGCTGTAAAGTACATTATGTTAGTCAGATTCATGGAAGGGGAACGTATCTTGTATGTTATTGAATGTATCCAGCTTAATATATTAATGTTTTATCCCTCTTTTCATGATCCTTCCCATGGACGCAAGCATATTCTGAAGAGTCGAGCGTTAGACCAAAGGACCTCCTTAGGCAATTGGTCGACTACCATAATGCAATGAATGGTTTCGTAATTAAAATCAATTTGATTGAGGCGGGCTCTTAAAACTTAGCCTGCACCATCTGGACAGTTCAGTGGGGAAGTGAATGGACACTGTATTCCCTAATCCGGGTGTTTTGGCTGCAGGCAAAAAACCCTGGAACTTTATTGGGAATCAACCCTGTCCAGGGCTTTATGTTTCATCCGTAGCGTCATGCCGTTTTTTTTTCTTATAAAGCGAAGCGTTTTCTTCTCACCTTGGCCACTCTCCAAGCATCCTCACCCTCGTCCATTCTCCTCTCCTCTCTCTACAGCACCACCCCACCCCACCACAGTCGTTGTCACGAACATGAAATTCATCGCCCTTGTCTCTCTGGCCGCCGCAGTCCTGGCCCTCTCCGAGGCTGCCCCCAACCCCAATGGACACTCTGTCCCCCTGACTCGCAACCCGCACTTCAAGCACAACACGCACGCCCAGATTGCCAAGTTGAACAGGCGCTATCCCGGCATGAACATCCTCAAGGGATCGACCGGCAACGTCCCTCTCACCAACGTCCACCCCGATCTTGAGTACTACGGCAGCGTCTCTGTCGGTTCGCCTGCACAGGTTGTCAAGCTGGACTTTGACACCGTAAGTCGGCATATTCGTCTACGCACTGCTTTGATGGTAAACAATGTCTTTTTGATCGCTCGCATACTCACAATGTCTACTATAATTCTGTTCATCACAACAGGGCTCGTCCGATATCTGGTTCCCCTCCAGTACCTGCACTACCGCTGCCTGCAAGAAGCATACCCGGTTCAACTCCTCCAAGTCCTCGACCTTCAAGAAGGATGGCCGTCAATGGAAGATTTCCTACGGTGATGGCTCCACCGCCTCCGGTACTCTCGGCTCCGACATTGTCAGCGTCGGTGGCGTCTCTGTCCGCCAGACCATCGGTCTTGCCACTGCCGAGTCAACTCAGTTTGCTTCCTCCCCCGAGGATGGTCTCTTCGGTCTTGGATTTAACACTATCGAGTCCGTTCGCGGTGTCAAGACCTTTATGGATAACGCCATCGCTGCCGGTGCTCTTGCCCAGCCCGTGATCTCAGTCTTCTTGCCCTCCGTCCGCCGCAACGGTGGCGTTGGTGGCGCGTATCTCTTTGGAGGCATCGATAACACCAAGTACACTGGTGCATTGACCTATGTTCCTGTCACTCAGAAGGGCTACTGGCAGATCCATATCGCCGACAGCAGTGTAAATGGCGTCTCTGTAGGTCAAGCCTCCGAGGGCATCATTGATACCGGTACGACTTTGGTCATTGTCGGCGATGCTGCCGCAAAGGCCATCCACAGTAAGGTTAAGGGCGCCAAGAACGACCCCAACAACGGTTGGGTTGTTCCATGTTCGCTCAAGACCAACACCAGCGGCAGCGTTGGATTCAAGATGGGAAGCAAGACCTTCAGCATCCCCTTTGCTGATCTCGCGTTTGAGGATCTTGGCGACGGTTCCGGCAACTGTTTCTCTGGTGTCCAGGGTGGCCAGGATGATCTCTGGATTCTGGGTGATGTCTTTATCAAGAACAACTACTGCGTCTTTGACCAGGGCGCAGCTCGCATTGGAATCGCTCCTCTCAAGTACTAAATATACCACTGCCCTGCTTAACTGGCAGTTTTTAATGAACTACTCTCGTATGAATAATAAATAAAAATAACGGTTTGCTGGTCAGCCTTACACCTACTCAATCTTTCAGTCACATTTACAGCTATGCCTTTTAGTTGTGTGCGGAATTTGGCGAGGGTCTAGTATGAATAGTAAACGCGAACCAAATTATAGTTGGTAACCCTATAGCCTGTGGACTGATAGGTTGGCCACCATTCTTCCATGTCTTCCTCTACGTTTCTCGGAGAGCTAACTCATTGAGTGCTATATTTGAATATGGATAGTGCTTTGCTCGAATCACAATTGCATTCAGCAGGATAGAGTCATGGGTGACTCGAACACGTCTTTTACGTAGGTGGAGATATCTATTCCCACGCTAGCATGGTGCAAGTCAGCGGTAACCGTGGTGCCAAACTCAGTTCTGTAACAGGCTCTTTATTGCGTGATGTAGACGAAACGCGAGGAATCTAAGCAGATCAAGGGCCCGTATTCTTGTAAAAGTACTTCCCTTGCAGCCTCGCAAACGAGGCAACAGGGACATGAATGAAATTGTAACTGCATAAGATCACGTCATATAAATGGAGCTCGGCAACCAGTTCTAGAACTGTGGTTGGAAAGCGGAGTCCAGATGCTCATGGGTTATTGCGTCCAAACCGTGTAACGACCAGGCGGACGCGCCCTTTGGAAGAAAGAGATGAGGTACTAAAAGGGCAGACGGCGCCAGTTACTCATGCATAGATCCCGCATTAGCGCGGGCTCTTCTCCATATATACGCGAGCAAATCAAGATGTCACCATGGCGCGTGAAGGGAACTAATGGCAATGGCGTTGATAATTGGGCCCGTTGACGAGAGCCAGGGTGTTAATCATGTCCAGCTGTTCGTAAAATTGTATTTTACTATGTAGTAGATACGTTTTCGTCTGGAAGAGCAATTGCTGTTCATCCGGTTCTTATTCTCCCTTATACTCTCAGTCATCTCATACGCCGTATAGATACAGATGCAGACCCTGAATTGTCATCGCGTCCTCACGAGGCATTTTTTTTTCTTCCTCGGCAATGAGAAACGTTTAAATCATGTAGCCACGGAATGGTATCTTTTTTAGTTCGCTCACAGGTACAACAGGCGCAAATATTCCCTTAGCCCTCTTACTTGACCGGTCTCCATTCACAGCCTAATTGAGTGCTCTTCTACTGTTGATGAATCCGCAGCACGGAAGACCGGACAGGTGATTGCAGGGCTCCAGTCTAGGCGAATGATTCTACATTGGCGAGATATGTTTTATTAGCTGACAGCAATATCTCATTCCAAGTGCGAAGCAAGATCCAAATAATATCGGGACAAAGCATATGTTAGTGCTTCTCTATTTACGCTGTATGGGCTACTAAGAAAAAATCCAAGGCAGCAGCAAAGTATCTGTCTAACATGAACCATCCGCTCATTCCTTTTCACCGTCCCTCTCTCTCTTTTTTCTATAACATCGCTCCTGTTCTTCACCGAGCATACATGTTCTAAGCCGTCAATAGTATGCGTGCTCATGTCGCGCACGCCGAAGTATCAGCTTGCATGTACCAAAGGCGCAATCGTCCATGGGAGTTCATGCTAGACTAATGCTGCCGATATTAGCAATGACGGACGCCATAGACTACTGCGTGCATTGGTTTATGAGAAGGACCAGTTTAAAAGACCGCGATATTTAAGGTTCTTGTGCTCACTCAGGCACGACAAACAAACGAAGCCCTTGCATATCGCCTGAGAAATCAATCCCGGAATTATCTGCCGCAGGGCATAGATCCCAAGGGTCATTTCAACCATATACATTTCCAAATTCGTCACCAGGTGTTCCTCGGGATATCGGATACAACGCAGCCAATACAGCCCACTACGAGATACTACTATGCAACTACTATCCAACGCGACATGAGGTGTGCCATTTTGAGGCAAATCGAAGCCCGGCTACCCTTCCTACATGGACCTTTACTTTCCTTATTGATTCTTGGTAACATTCGCTGCTCTATACCACATCATTATCCCTGTCATACACTGTTCAATATAGCAACCATCGCGTCGCCAATTATATAAAAGTATAGAGCCTCTCCACCTTTTCTTGTCCCATCAACACCATCTTCCTCTTCTCCTCACCTTTCTCTCCGCCTAAATCCCCTAAATCCTCTCTATCATGAAGATCACCGCTCTCGTATCCTTGGCTGCCGCTGTCCTAGTCATCGCCGAAGCTTCGCCTCTCAGGAGCCCCCCAAGACACGGTCATGCTATTCCTCTGGAACGCAACCCCAACTACAAGCACAACACCAAGGCTCAGATCAACAAGATGAACTCCCGTTATGGCAACAAAGCTGGCACCCGCATTCAGGCTGGATCTAGCGGCCGTGTTCCCTTGACCAACGTCAAACACGACCTTGAGTACTACGGCAGCGTCTCTGTCGGAACCCCTGCTCAGGTTGTCAAGCTGGACTTTGATACTGTGAGTATCCCCCCAAAAATTGACGTCCGAAACGCATTACGCTTGATCAAGACTACTCACATTTCGACTGCATATTAACTTCTGGTCTATTAGGGCTCGTCCGACATCTGGTTCCCCTCCAGTGCCTGCACTACTGCCGCCTGCAAGAAACATACTCAGTTCGACTCCTCCAAGTCCTCGACCTTCAAGAAGGATGGTCGCCAATGGAAGATTTCCTATGGCGACCAGTCTAGTGCCTCCGGTATCCTTGGATCCGACATTGTCAGCGTCGGTGGTGTCTCTGTCCGCCAGACCATCGGTCTTGCCACTGCCGAGTCAGCTCAGTTCGCTTCCTCCCCTGAGGATGGTCTCTTCGGTCTTGGATTTAACACTATTGAGTCCGTTCGTGGTGTCAAGACCTTCTTGGACAACGCCATCGCTGCCGGTGCTCTTGCCCAGCCCGTGGTCTCGGTCTTCTTGCCCTCTTATCGCCGCAACGGCGGTGTTGGTGGCGCGTATCTCTTTGGAGGCATCGACTCGACCAAGTATTCTGGCTCCTTGACATATATCAACGTCTCGAGCAAAGGGTACTGGCAGATTCCCATGGATGACATCACCTTCAACGGCAAATCTCTTGGTCAGGCCTCTGAGGGCATTGTCGACACCGGCACGACCTTGGTAATCATTAGCACCGCTGCCGCCAAGGCTGTCCACGCCCAGATCCCTGGTTCGGTCTTTACTCCTGAGACTGCCACTGATCCCGCCTACTGGTCTGTCCCCTGCTCGCTGCAGTCAAGCAAGGACAATGTTGGATTCACCTTGGGTGGCAAGACCTTCAACGTCCCTGTTGCTGACGTTGCCTATGAGGATCTCGGCGATGGCTCTGGCAACTGCTACTCTGGCATTCAGGGTGGCCAGGACGATCTCTGGATTCTAGGCGATGTCTTTATCAAGAACAACTACTGCGTCTTTGACCAGGGTGTTACCGCCCGCATTGGAATCGCTCCTCTCAAGTACTAAGCGGATCTGAGATTCGCAGCTGCTCTACCTTCAATACCAAACCCTAATACCGTATCATCTACTATCTCAGATAATAAATATCCTACATTCTTTTTAATCTTGTCTCTTGTCGGTATGATTTGTCTAACTTCAGTTACCTGCTAGTTGACGCGCCTTATATCTTTGATACCCAGTATCTACAAGATTACCATAAATAGCGGCGATCGGCTTGTGCGCCCGTTTGATGCGCCGAGTTTTTTTTTTTTTTTTTTTTTTTTTTTTTCTTTCTTATGTCGCTGTCGGCTCGCTTACACCACACAGCATGCTTTGCTTGAGACAGCTTCCAATGGTGAATACAGAGCATGTACTTCTGTCATCATGGGAAAACGCGTGCCACTACTGGAAACGTTGATACGTTGATGGGCGTAAACGATGGAATTGGTTTCCCAGGATTATAAGCGCCTGGAAACGCGCTGTAGGAGATAGTTCACGAGGCATAGTTGGAGCCTGTTTGGGCGCTGCGTATTCTGTTCGTATTTTTTCAAGAACGACCTTACAAATTTTTATTTGATTCCATTGGTGCTACTGATCATGGCAACCCATTTCTTTTGATATTCTCTTTTGGCATATAACCCATTGTCATAAGGAAGACTGATGCTAGAGACAGACAAAGAATCTGCTTCGCGCTCCTCTTCCTCCTCATCCGTATCCTGTGTGTGTGTATCTGTGTGTGTGTGTGTGTGTGTGGGGGGGGTTCCTTGTCACTATCTCCTGGGTCAGACTGACGCGTTCTGAAGACTTTGGTGATTGCTCATCAGTCCTTCTCTTCAAAAAGCAGTTCGGTTAGACGTGAGGGTTAGAATAGTTCTTGTGAGTGGCTCTGGTAGCAACAGAACCTTTCGTACCAGTAACTTGAGGTTTAAAGTCCCTTGCGCATTCATCTGGTACTCCAAATCCTGTAAATGCGACGCGTCAAAACTATTGGAAGGGGCGCCGTGTCTAGCTTCCTTCATATGCCAACATTCTTGTGGTTGATATTATTATTATTATTATTATAATTATATCACGCCTTCTCTTCCCTTCGCATCATGAGCTCCTTTGGATATGATTGGTCAAACACTTATGAACAGAGTTTGGTCCCTGAATCCATGTGTAACTGTGTAGGTGTATGCCCTCGGCCCTTGAGCTGTTTCCTCTTCATCGGCGACAGACATGAGAAGGCACGCTTGGAGAAGCGGCCAAGGCGTAATTAACTGGCTCTCATCTCAATAATAACACCTGCATGTATGCAAGTGGTAAAGACGCGCATGTTTATTTACGTAGCTTTTCGCGGCAAAACCTGAACAAGGAATGTCTTGCAGATTAGAATGAGTATGCACATATGTCAGCATGCCGAGGGCCTCTACTACCGTGAGAACACACACTTCAACGACGATACTTTCGGGAAATCTTTGGTCTGCTTTTCTCACATGGCTATGAACTGGTCCACCGACCGCTGAGCAGAATTTATGAATGAGCAAAGATGTCCTCAGCTCTGGAATGAATATTTTAAATTTACATGTACGTTTCAAGGATCGCAGGACGTAACATGACACTGGTATTGGATATGACCAATCAAGCTCCATCGATCGTTCCTTAAACATTTTCATTGTTGCGACTCAAAAGAAGCAGAGGGAGAAGTTTGCAGTCAGGGACATCTTGTAAGACCCTTGCCTCGCTTGCTCGCATTTTCACATAAGTGAGGATGACGGTTGAGGAGCCCGCATATCGTCAATAGGGTGCATAATCACACGCTTCATGACGAGTCCATGTCCAATCATTGGGCGAGTACAAAATGGGCGTCTGAGAGGGATTCGAGCATACCTGCGCCCGTACTAGCACAAATTGATAGGAATGAGCACTCATTTTTCCCATCAGGGAAGAATTGATCCTATTTTGTCACCCTGTACAACGCTCATAACATGTTGAAGGAAAACAACAAACAGACCGCACCTGGCCGGTTCTCCTCCTAGGGGCCAGCGGCTAGCCAATGAGATTGCCGCATTCACTCCCTCGCTGTCTCCCACGATGTAAATGGTTGAGCCTGCACCTTGTAGTTTTTATTGCGTGTTTTGTTTGTTTGTTTGGGCAGAGCATTCGCGTGTTTGTTGATGTCCAAATGTTCACTCTTGTCCATCTTTGGCCATGTCCACCTGCCGCGCAATTACCGCTTTCTTCTCTATCCAGTCCCATGCACCTGTTTCCCATCAACAGTAATAGCAACCAATGCAATGAAGAGAGAATGTGCAACGGTTCATATATTTTGTTCACTTTATGAGCAGGAAGAGACCGATTCCAGGTCGTTGGCGAGGGTATTCGTGAGAACTCATTGACGCGTATAAAAACGAAGGAAACCCCCAGCTGTTTTTGTTCCTTACCCGCCCTCTCCCCTTCACAACACATCAACCACACTAACAATCAGCTTCAGCATGAAGATTACTGCTCTCGTCTCGCTGGCCGCCGCGGTCCTCGCTTTCACCGATGCCTCGCCCATCCACAAGCCTAACCACAAGGGCCACGCTGTCCCCCTGACGCGTAACCCTCATTTCAAGCATAACATCCACGCCCAGATCGCCAAGCTGAACAAGCGCTACCCTGGCATCAACATCCTCGCCTCGGGCAAGGTCCCTTTGGTTGATGTCAGCCCCGATCTTGAGTACTACGGCAGTGTCTCTGTGGGTTCGCCTGCCCAGGTTGTCAAGCTGGACTTTGATACCGTAAGTGTTGATTGCAAACACAGTTTTAATGCATGCATAAGGTCAATGCGCAGTCAAGGCGGCTCAATTCCTAACCGCGTCTTTAATTCTGTGCATGACAGGGCTCGTCCGACATCTGGTTCCCGTCCACCTCGTGCACGACCTCTGCCTGCAAGAAGCATACCCGCTTCAACCCCTCCAGTTCCTCGACCTACAAAAAGGATGGTCGCTCCTGGTCCATCTCCTACGGCGATGGCTCCACCGCCTCTGGAACCCTCGCATCGGACATCGTCAGCGTCGGCGGCGTCGCAGTTCGCCAAACAATCGGCCTCGCTACCCAGGAGTCCTCCCAGTTCGGCTCGTCTCCTGCCGATGGCCTCTTCGGTCTTGGCTTCGACACCATCGAATCCGTGAGCGGTGTCAAGACATTCTTGGACAACGCCATCGCTGCCGGTGCCCTTACCCAGCCCGTGGTCTCGGTCTTCCTTCCTTCGGAGCGTGTCTTCAATGGTCAAGGTGGTGCCTACGTCTTTGGAGGCATTGATACCACCAAGTTCTCTGGCTCGTTGACCTACATCCCCGTTACCCAGGAGGGCTACTGGCAGATCTCGATTGATGATGCTGGATACAATGGCCAGTCCCTCGGTCAATCTTCGCAGGGTATCGTCGACACCGGTACGACTTTGATCATCGTCAGTGACGACGCTGCTCAGGCTATTCACGGTAACATCGAGGGTTCGACTAACGATCCCACCAACGGATGGCTGGTTCCTTGCTCGGTCGCGCAGAGCACCGATAAGCTCTCGTTCACGATGGGTGGCAAGGCCTTCAACGTCGCGGTTGCTGACTTGGCCTACGAGGATCTTGGTGACGGTTCCGGCAACTGTGTCTCTGGTGTCCAGGGTGGCCAGAACGATCTCTGGATTCTGGGTGATGTGTTCATCAAGAACAACTACTGCGTCTTCTCCCAGACCTCGTCCCCCAGCATCGGAATTGCTCCTCTTGTTGGCGTTTAAGGTCTTGTTCTTGACGAACGAAGGAAGGCTTCCCCACCGATCATGAAAATTCTATGGACTTTGTTAGTTAGGCATGCTGGTCACGCCTCGTAAATACCATTGGCAATCCCTCTTCAGTTAAAAAAACAGAAAATAAGAAATCGATATTATTGCCTTTAAAATAAAAAAGAACGCGACTTGTTCACTACTTGCTTCTCATTCATCACATATGAAGTCTGGATCGCACTAGAAGACCGATCACTGAACTGTACTGCGGAGGAACAGAGGATATCGGCGATTGGCTATAGCTTATCAGCTGCACATTTATATTCGTCCTCAAGGATCACCCTCGCTTCGCGTACTCATCATCCCAGCCTTTTGTATTGGCAGGCAATCGCTTGAGCACCTCGAAAGTCCGCTAGACAGACATCTATATTCAACCCGAGAGGGGCCGATCAAGACGCGAGATGTCTATGAGTTGGATATTGGGTTAAACTGAGAAGCTTTAATTGACTACCTCCGGAAATTGGCCTCTGCCGTCACAGTGAGGGGATATAGTCAACTCCACGATGCATAGCTTCCAACTCCAAGGACCAGTATTCGGTCATACCAACCGCAAACGACGCATTGATCCAGCTATGGATCTCATGTTGAACGGGCGACTCCAGTTAATTAAGTCAAAATTTACGGCACTGGTGTTGCATGCAACAGTCCGGACTTAGGATATTTCTCGTTTTACGGCCTGTTGCGATGATTTTTGTTTCGAAGGATCTGTCTGTCCAAGGACCACGTCTACCACAGAGTGCAGCGGAATCACAGTTCAATCCAACATCGCTCTGACAGTAAAATCAGAAGTTGTATGTAGTCTCAATCCTACAGGAACCCTCAGCCGGGACATGAGCGATGAGTCAATCACTCCTGCTTCCATTATAATAAACAGCATTGAGCGCCTAAAGTGGCGCCATGGATATGGATGGCAGACTATATCCTCGGTTCACTGCGAGACATAGGATTCTAATCATTGCATGAGCCAAACCATGCCAGAAATGGAAATGGTGTGTCCATTCGCTTACTGAGAAAGGTGCTCACAAAATACATCAAGTTGGCATACTGTTGCGCAACTTAAAGTTTCATGATGGACAGAAACGATTGCTTACCCACGGCTCGCATAAGCGTCAAGACCTTAAGTGCATACATACACGACCAAATCACGGGGTAGGAGGCTCTCAGTGACAGAGTAAGGGTGCTGTTTACGTAGGGAGAGAGAAAACGAAAGTGGATAACGTCATCTAGGGTTCGATCCTTTCTTAACCTAATAATGCTGCAGTATATGATCCAACAGTCATTCACAGTTATTCAGGATAGAAGCGCGTAAACAGATGGCGGGTTCTCTTCTTCTTGAGAGGAATGCAATGACCAAAAAAAAAAAAAGGTTGACTCCACTGAAAGGAAGGCATGTTCTCAGGAAGCGTCCTCGCAATCAGTTGATTGGGCATGCAGTGCAGATCCTTAGCGCGTGTGAAAGGATGAAAAGGCGGCGTTCGTTGAGGCAATTAGAAGGATACGACGCTAATGCATTCTCATTTCTCAAAGAGACAGGTACATGTAAGAGCGACGATGAACACCTTGCCCCTGCATGCCGCCAGCAGAGCCGCCACCTATCACGGAACCCGGACCTGAGTTACGTACTTGGATATGCATACCAATTTAGTGTCTACAGCCTACAATTTATTCTTTATAGATGACTCGGCTGTTTATTGGTCAAGACATCAGCTCGGCGTGTTTCCGTATCCATTTGGGTATGTTTCCGCGATAGGGTGTACCCTTGGCAGTGCTCAAAATGGGACGGAGGGGTTCGTGCTAGCGACAATATAATAATAAATTGGTCTCTCGTCGCACCAGAGTCCAAATGATTTTTTATTGCTCGATTTATTAGTCGGAAAAAGGGCCGACCGCATCCACCTGGACCCTACACGGAGGGCGTGCGCGCGCTTGATGAGCGGACAAACTCAAATAAGATTGGACCCTGCTGACATGACATTTTCTGACCGTTCTATGACACCCGTCCATCCTATCCAATTGTTCTTCCACACCAATGATCTCTCCCTTTCCGAGGACATTTCCATTACACAGCCGCGAGGATGCACGAGTCCTCAAGTATAAAACCCACCCGTACCGCCCACTTCCACTCAGCACTACATCCTCTACACTCACTACATCCTCTACACTCACTACATCCTCTACACTCAACGAACAAAAAAAGAAACGCACTACCCATCCAAAAAAAAAAAAAAAAAAAGACCATGAGAATCACTGCATTCATCTCCCTGGCTATCGCCGTGCTCGCCATCACAGATGCCGCCCCCATCAACAGACGTCCGCATCCCGGCCACAATGGTAAAGCCGTCAAATTGACCCGCAACTCCAACTTCAAGCATAACACCCGCGCCCAGATGGCCAAGCTGAACAGACGTTACCCCAGCATCAACATCCTCGCCTCGGGCGATGTTCCCATTACTGATGTCAGCCCCGATCTCGAGTACTATGGAACCGTCTCCATTGGAACACCCGCCCAGGATGTCAAGCTGGACTTTGACACTGTAAGTGCTTTCGGCTGTGGCCTACGAAATCCGCTCATTCGTTGCTTTATAACGTCATGCCGACAAGTACGCGTCTTGGCATCAGAATACTCAATGCTATTTCCCTCTGTCTCATTTATCACTACTAGGGCTCATCCGATATTTGGTTCCCCTCCAGCACCTGTACCACCTCCGCCTGCAAGAAGCACTCCCAGTTCGACTCCACAAAGTCCTCGACCTTCAAGAAGGATGGCCGCCATTGGAACATTTCCTACGGCGATGGCTCCACCGCCTCCGGCATCCTCGGCTCCGACGTCGTCAACGTCGGTGGTGTCTCTGTCCAGCAGATCATCGGTCTCGCCACCCAGGAATCCTCCCAGTTCAGCTCCTCCCCCTCTGATGGTCTCTTCGGTCTCGGTTTCGACACTATCGAATCCGTCAGCGGCGTCAAGACCTTTATGGACAACGCTATCGCCGCCGGCGCCTTGAGCAAACCCGTCGTCTCAGTCTTCCTCCCCTCCGTCCGTCGCAACGGCGGCGTTGGCGGTGAGTACCTCTTTGGCGACATCGATACCACAAAGTTCGATGGTGATCTGACCTACGTCCCCGTTACCCAGGAGGGTTACTGGCAGGTCGCGATCGATGATGCCGGATACAATGGTCAGTCCCTCGGTCAATCCTCGCAGGGTATCGTCGACACCGGCACGACCTTGGTCATTGTCAGCGATGCTGCTGCTCAGGCCATCCACGGTAGCATCCAAGGTGCGACCAACGATCCCACCAACGGATGGCTGGTTCCTTGCTCACTCAAGGACTCTACCGACAACGTCTCCTTCACGATGGGTGGTACTGCTTTCAATGTCCCCGTTGCCGATTTGGCCTTCGAAGATATCGGCGATGGCTCCGGCAACTGTGTCTCCGGTATCCAGGGCGGCCAGAACGATCTCTGGATCCTGGGTGATGTCTTCATCAAGAACAACTACTGCGTCTTTGACCAGGGTAACTCCCAGATCGGAATCGCTCCTCTCAAGTACTAAGAAAGCCCTGTGTATTGTATTGCACTGTAAATTATCACATCATAATGAGAAAACACATTTAGCCGGAAGGATGGCGCTGGTCGCTGTCATTCATGGTCTATTACAGCAATGCTTATGGCAAGCAGATTATGAATAAAAAACAACAATCGTTTATGACATTTTGTCCGCTTGGCCACCGCCGGCCTTTCAATTGGTTGTCAAACAATAACCTCTCCTTCCAATACGGCACTTGTCATTAAAGCAAATGTAGTCGTTCGTTCGTATCACCATGCCATTGTCAAGTCTGGTCCGTATTTGGAAATACTTGTGCCAGTGGTTGTTGCGCTTGGAGATAGTTCTTTTACAGTTGTATGGAGTAAGGAAGCTCCCAATCTGAATGCTCGAATAATTTGTGTTCCACACTGAATACAAGGGTCTAACGCACAACCACGCACACTGTAGCGAGTGATCAGCACAACGGTCTTCTTGTTCAACTGGAACAAGGAACAAAAGACCACCGGCTTCGACCCTCCTTTTATACAGGCACAACCCCAAAACCTAATATCGAATTCTGCGTACCCTCGATGGCTGCTGGCCAACATGTTCTCGGCAAGCTCAGACCCAGGGTGCACCTTGACCACCATCACACCAACAACAGTTACAACGCCTTCTCTTCACTGGAGTGTTTCAAGCACGGTGGCAAGAAAAAAAAATGACCCAAAGCTCCAATGATTGATTACTCCCTCTGTTTACAGGTGAACTGCCCATTCAGTAAATTTATTGAGGGTTGCTCCCTCTCTCTACTAGGAAACGCAAATACAGTCTCCTTGGATAGTCGAGCGCACGGTAGTCATATTCGATTGGGACTTTTATACAAATAACAGACGAATCGGTAGATAATGGAAGGTAGAGAACAGCACACAATAGCGTAGCCCGACAGACCTGTGATTCCTTCACGTTCTGGGAATGTCTTGGTCGAATTTTTACTCGAAATAGTCGGTCGAGCGACTAGCGCATCGTCGCGCATTTCTGTTGTATTCCCGACGCTGTTCCTTTGTTCCAAAGTGAAGCTTGGCTGCCTAATTTTCATATTCAAGAAATAAACAAGTAATAATTACTACCGAGGATAGAAAAAAAAAAACTTGACGGTCCGTTGCCCGTTATGGACGTACCTGTAAGTTGACATGTGTCGATGGGTTGGTTGATGGTTCATCTTCGAGAATAAGGCGGCTGATTGCCTCCATATGGAATCTCACATCGTCGGGCTTATCTACGCTGTAGAATGGCATCCCATCAGAGGTTACATGGACATGGTACATGGGCGTCAAGAACTTGACGCGCGGCTGGATCTCAGGGAAGGAGTCATGGAAAACCATCTGAACTCTGAACATGCCGCCGTCGTAATTGCTAATGTGGGATATCCAAAGGAAGGCGGAGGAAATTGCGTTAAAATTAGAGTGCTATTGAAAGTACCTATAGCAGACATGACATGCAATTGACTCCAAAATTAACCTCATCGGCTTGCCGAACAGCGTGAAAGTCCAGACAAATGGATTGTCATCAACCAGCTCCACTTCAACGCCTCCAGTGTTGTTCTCACGATAGTACTCGCGGATCTGCTCGAACTGTCGCCGGAGGTTGCTTGACATCCGACTCGAGGTACTGATCCACTGGCTTGACTGCGTAATCCACTCTGAGGTCTCCTTTTCAATAGTAGTCTTGATAACCTCCAGACGCTTCGCCAAAGATGCATAGTTGAATGTGCCATCCATCTTGTTGCCTCCAAACTCGAAAGGCGCCTTGTAAAAGGGCGTTCCGTCCTTGACAATGGCAGACTCTGTCTGGACAGTGTGCTGGTAGATATCGTAGTAGGCCAGGAAGAGGCGCTTTGACAAATCCGAAAATTCATCGCTTGCGGAAACACTCGACGAGTAGAGCGGCGTAAGCGGCTCATACAGAGCTGGGGTGGAGAGCGTTGGGGTTCCGGAGGAGTTGGGCGTGCCGACTGGTGTCACAAGTGTACTGCTGGACGACGTTGTATTTAAAGGCGATGAAGGTGAGGATGATGACGAAGGGGCTGACGCGTCCGTCAGCCCGTTATAATAGAGAGGTTGGTTGATTCCGAGAAACCTCTCAAGCCTGTCGCAGATTGAGATACGGATTGTCTCTACATAAGATGTAACAAAAAGCGAACCATGTATTAGATACATGCCAGTGGAAGGATCAGGAGACGCAGTATCATGCAAGGGCAGTGCACGCACCATGACGAATCTTTTGGTTATAAGGCTCAAGTTTGGTGAGGTCTTTCTCGAGATCATGTCCTGGTTCGTTGCGATACTGTAAGTAGAGAGGCAGAACGTCGTGAATGTGTATCAATATGGCTATGTCTAAAAGCTCTTATCTTTCGAGGAGAATTGGTAATATCATCACAGGAAAAGGACATACAGGCATATCGCTCATAAGTGACTGAATGCTTAACAAGATGCTTGTGATCCCATGCGCCGAAGACCCTATCATTGCGACAGAAATGGGCCAGTCAGTACTGGCTTGGGACGTTTATCTGGCGCCTTTGTACTTCAAACTCCTGCATTCATCCCTACATTGTTCTCCTGCATTGCCTCTCCACGTGCCAAGGATACTGAGGCATACTTTTCCACCTGCATAGATCTGAATAGAAAACCAGCAGCAATTAGAGGGTGTAATTCTGTAAGTACATTGATCATAAACAGCGACCGTAAAGGACATAGCTAATTGCTGGTAAACTTGTAAAGGGTTACGTTAGGGTTAAATCGTGTTCGACCGTGGTTGGTTGTCAAGGCGAGAACTACAAAACGTGGAGATAATATTCAAAAGACAAGGTTAATCGACCATTTCCACAATATCAGATATGTACAGCATAGCGATAAATTAGAGCCGCAGCATGCCTTTGGGTGGATTGGTCGGATAGTCCTTTGGAAACTGCAAGCTGAATTCGAATTGCCCCAAGCAATACCTAATAGTCCATAACAAACAATAGAGAGAGAACCTTGGTTGAATACCGCTCTGTGCACTGCTAGCTCATTTCCACATGATCAGTGCCAAGTAAGAATCTTGCTCATCCTGCTGTATAAAGTGATAACCAAGCCCCTGGAGCGGCTCCTCTTCACTTTCCCCTTCTCCTTGACGTTCGTCCATGGCTCTCGTGGTCGTTTGCATCCACCAATTGGTCATATAGATTGTCTTACGGTGTATCAGGGGGGCCGGTAATCATGGCCTTGATGTTCATAATGTTTGAATCATCTAAGCAAAGAAAAGGATGATAGGCAGAGAGAAAACAACGAAAGCCATTCAGTCTTTGGCAATAAGCGCGTACTGGGGGTCCTTCGAACGGCTTTGCCACCGACGTTGGAATGAGCCGTACCGTAATGGAGAAAAAGCTGATGATCAGGGTTCTTTGCGAACTCTGACAGCTCCTTTGTGATGCGTAGCGTCACCGCGTTGGACATGGCTACTGTGTCGGCACTGCTGTTTTGTTTTCGTTATTGCAGTGGTACTTTTTATTTTGTTTCCAATCTGCAGTTGCGATGAAGAAAGAGAGTAGGTTGTAAAAGAGGAGAGATGGGATGCGGGTCTGGTCAAGGGGTGCAGTCTTGCTTGACCACGGGACACAGCACGGTGGATTTGGGTGAGCGTCGAGGTGTAGACTGGGCTGTGTCTCTGCCGCAGCGACTAGCGTGTTGGGAAGAGTCGACCCGAGAGTGTGCTGAAGCAGCGGAGGCGCAGGCAGGAGAGGCGCAAACAAGGAGAGGGCGAGGGACGGGTGGGCTGAGGAAATAAGCGCGGGAAGGAGGGCGAAGGAGGCCTTCACTGCCGGGGACTCTCTACGTTCATTCGTGGGCAGTCACCACGTCCATGCCCCATCGACCAATTATCCCGCGTTCTGTGGCACCAAGACGCGTCCAGTCCGTTGAACACTATCCATGGCTGGTGCAGCACCTACATCCCACTAAGCAATTGGACCTATCCTCCTTTTCATGGTCCTCCCCCGCATACACACTCTCAAGAGTGCAGCATTGACTTCGTGGAGACTTTCCTTGGCGTGCAACATGACCTCGAAGGAGTCGGCGCGTAGATTTCAGTGGAACTCATACGGGACGCAATAAGACCGAAAAACATGGCGAAGTTGAGCTTCTCTCTTACACGCTATCCTGTCCATCCTCCAGCCCGTGTCACTAAGAAACACACTACTACAAACTTCATTCGCCAGAACAGAGGACATCGGCATCGCACTGCAACAATAAATCATGCCCTTTTTGTCTCAGTCACTCCTGAGCAACCTTTGCCCTCTTTTTTTCTCAGAGTCCTCTCATGATCATGCAGAACCTGTCGCGAGACCATGCCCTACCTTTCGGTGGTTATTACTCTCACTCAGCCATCCACAGCATTGGGTAAAACCTCTACCAATGTCATCGTAACAATGCAGTTGATGTTACACATTATCAGCTTGCATTGACGATTGTCAATAAACTGCCTAAATTGAGGGCTAAGTTGGGATAAGGACTCGAAATAGGCTACAGGCATATTGCCGACACGCAAATCAATGTCTGAGAGGCTATAGAAGCGACCTGCAGTCAGTACGTTTATGGCGTCTCAAGACATCTGTGGCTCTGTTCAATTGGGACAAATTCAACTTTGGTGATTTCCGCGACCGTTTATCGAGCCGTGATTGGTGATTTTGTATGCTGTTGTGTCCTCCAAGCATACATTGGACGAGCATGATTCCAAGAGCGGGCGCAGCGGACGAAATCATTACAGATTTGAAGGAGGTTCGAAGGCCTTTGAAAGCGACAAGATCACAAAGACGGCTTCGATTGTAGGCATTTATAGTATGGCAACAACGACGCCGTCCTCGATGATCCCAGAAGGTCGCATGTACTTTTTTGGATGCCCTTCAGGCCAGGGGTCCTAAACTTTTTGGCGAGTGATATACTTCACGCTCCTGCACAATCACAATAAACATCTGTCCGGGATACAGAAAGCAGATTCTGTTATCCTGCAAATGTTCAAGGTTCCTTGTCCGCTTCCGATACTGCAGCTGATGTTTAACACGCAAACGCTATAAACGATGAAGATCTTAGGCCAGAAGGTAAAGGGCGAGACAACCTCATCTCCTATTTTATTTCAGTTTTTATCGCGTTGGGCACACGGATCTCTTCGTCTCCCATCTTTTTTTTTCCCCCGCTTTGTCCCCGCACGATCTTCGGCCACTGCTGGACCCACCCCAGACCCACTTTTTACCCACGATGAGAGATCCTGTGCTGGGTCTACATTATTAGGGTTTACCAATCGGATCCGTCTGTACAGCGCCTCAGCATGAAGCCCCACTTTTTTTTAATTTTTTTTTGACATTTCCCTGGTAAACACACAAAGGTAGCAAACAAATTAAGCTAATATTATTCCTGAGCAGAAAAGTATTCGATATTGTTTGTAACAGATCCATGAGATGCTTATGTCCACTCCTGGCGGAGTGAACTGCATGAATAATGCTGCGGTTTGGCGCCATGCCATACTACTATCAGTTGGGTCCAGGCCAGCATTTTTTTTTTTTGTTTTTTTGTGTCCAGCTGTTTGGCGCTAGGAAACACCATGATTGTGCACCTTTGAGCTGCCTTTTTCACACACAAACAATTGCTCCAAGTAACAAATGCTCGCGCCGCGGGTATACCTGGTCAGCAACATGACCTCCGCATCCAGACCACGTCCTTTTTTTTTATATTTTACTTACTATCACTACAAGGAGCTTGAAGTATATCGTCGGTCCCGTATTAGATCCACTGACAATGAAAGACCCACTTTTTGCTTTGGCTGAGTGTCTACTATGTCTTGAACATACTCTTTTGACCTAACCCTTTTAGACTTTGAGTATTTAATATAAGTACCGCCGTTCTTCCCACCACACCCAGGTTTGTTTCCTCGTCTTCGATCTTTGTCTCCCCTTTCTTGTCCCCCTTCCCCGCCCTCCACAAGCGTCAACAATCCACCATCCTTCTTTACCATACTCTGTGTTAAAAGGCTCACTTTATATCGATGTCACAAGTACTTCCCACCTCACAGGAACAAGAAGGGCAGTCCACTGGCATCATGGGCTCACTCAAGGCCAATGCCAGGGACAGACTGCACTCCTTCAAGTCTGGATTCCGTCTTGGAGAACTGAGTGGATCTCTCGGCGATTTGGGTACACTCTTACCCATCATGTTATCTCTCTCCTTGACGGGTCAGGTTGATCTCAGTGCCAGTTTGATCTTTGGAGGACTCTGGAATATCATCACCGGCCTGACATTTAGGATGCCTATGTGTGTTCAGCCTATGAAATGTAAGTTTTCAATATCCTTGTCATATCAAGTCAACATGGCAAGAAATAAGACGGCATACTGACGGTCTGCCATGCCTCGCGTTCTTAGCCATCGCTGCCATCGCACTCACAAACCACATGTCGATCGGCTCCGTCATGAGCGCCGGTATGGGTGTCTCCGCTGTCGTGATGTTCCTTGGCCTGACCCGGACAATTTATCTCGTCCAAAAGTACACCCCCATGTCTGTCATCCGCGGTATCCAGCTCGGTACCGCCATCTCATTCGGAGGCAAGGCCGCAGATCTAGTGAAGCAGGCCAAGAGCTTTGGTGGCGAAAGCTGGACCTGGGACAACAATTACGAATGGGCCTGCTTTGCATTTATTGTGGTCTTTATCTTCTATTACCGCTCCAAGCGTATCCCCACGGCCATGATCCTCTTTGTTATTGGACTGATCATCGCGTTTATCAAGCTGTACACCAACCCCCCTCTCAATGTCGCCTACCCCAAGATCGGCGTATATACCATCCGCGTCACGGTTCCAACGTGGGAAGAGTTCAAGCATGGATTCGTTTCGGCCTCGCTTGGTCAGATCCCACTGACTTGCTTAAATTCCGTGATTGCCTTGGCTGCCCTTGCCCAGGACTTATTCCCAGAGCGTCCGACAGGAACACCTACGATCGCTGTCTCGGTCGGGATCATGAACTTGATCGGATGCTTCTTTGGGTCGATCCCATTCTGTCATGGTTCCGGAGGATTGGCGGCGCAATATCGATTTGGTGCCCGAACGGAGGTCTCGATCATTATTCTAGGCTTGCTCAAGATCTTTTTTGGGCTCTTCTTCGGCAGCTCGTTGTCGGGTTTGATTGCCAGATATCCAAGCGCGATCTTGGGTGTGATGTTGTTTGTCAGCGGTATCGAGTTGGGCGCCGTAGCCAGGACCGTGAACGACGGCGTTTTGAGCGACCAGAAGCGACACGCCAACTTTATCGTGATGATCACAACAGCTGGAATGCTGGTTGGGTTCAAGAACGATGGCATTGGCTTCTTGGGAGGACTGGTCGCGGCAATCTGCTTCTATATCGGATCGAAGTACATGGGTCGCATGGATGATGACGATACTAAGACCTTGACGGGAACTCCGTGCGACCAGGGCGTTATCAGCAAGGAGCAAAAGGAGCCGCTGCAGGGGCAGGACAGCTCATCAATTCGTAAATACCCTGTCAACGACGCTGAGATCGTGGAAGAGACTCGGCCTCACCATGGCCATTAAAAAACTCTGTCATTCACGCCTAAATAAAGTTTACTGTCTAAAAAAAAAATGCCTCTTTCAGCAGTCTCGTGGAGTAAACAATCTAATGAACCAGAAACTCATCTCTGCTTTCTTGCATCGCTTTCGCCCTGCTTCCCCTGTATTTCCTCTCATTTCACAACTTACACAGCAACATGAACGATATGGAGGTAAGAAGATGTCTTTCTTCTCTCGAGACTACAGAAGACATACGCATAGTTGTCCTCCCCCTCTGTGCTGCATCGCTTCCTTTCATCATCGGGTGCTGTGTTAGTCTCCAATGGTAACAGACTACTCGCAACGCAAGGTTTTATCCAGCTAACCAGCTAAAGCGCTTTGTAACCTGCACTATTAGATTGAAGATGTTCAGGTTGACCAGCCAAGGCAGTTAACCGATAGACAATTAGCCTCGTTGATCTCCCTATGGCGCCTCTCCCACTACAAGCAAGCGCCCTGGAGCACCTGGAGCATTCTCTACAGCCAACGCCGTCCCCGGAGATCAAGAGCTCCTATGCTTTGGTAATTGCTTTCTTCAGGTTCTCGATCATACTTGCTCTTCGGTCTCAGCTCTAGAGTATTATTAACATTAATAATTTTTTGCTCTCTTGTTTGCTGCAGCTTCGACACGCCTACTTACAAGTTGCTAAAACAGCAGCAGGAGGAGGACCTGCAGAAGAAACAGATGCACCAACATCATATCTGGAAGCATGTCCAGGACCGATTGACAGAGCAGAACGAAATTTTGGAGCAGGAGAAGGTCCAGAAAAGCGCACAGGGCAAGAAGTCTAAGAACCAGCAGAAGAGAGCATCAGGAGTAACGGTGTCGACAGACATGGACACCTCAGGATCCTCACCGGTCCTGTCACCGACCTCGTCTTCGTCTACAGTCACCTCGGACTCTGGATCCCCCAAAAACACGACACCCATAAAGCGGTCTATTACATGGAGGTTGCAGAACAATACCGTCAAGAGTACGTGAAAAGACACATTATGAATGATGCATCAGGCGACCACACTCGAGTGCATTCGTATTTTTCGTCCGTCGTCTTAGATTTATTTATTTTTTTTTCTCCTTTTTATCGTCATTTAGGATTCGACAAGACAAGCCCCATTACTTTGGTCTCGGTGCCTGCAGTCGACAAGCGTCCAGTGAAGAGCGCACTTAAAGTTAGGACATCGCAGACGATTCAAAAGACGACAGCGACCAAGACTACAACGACCACTACAACCACTACCACCAAAAGCAATACCAATACCAAGAATGCCTCAGCAGCCGGTCTTGCACGCAAGCATGCTGTCGATTTCTTTTAGAGAGAGCATGGGCATTGATGGAGAGTCGTTTATGCCCGCGCACACACTAGCATTTATTTTTTTTTAAATAAAAAAAAAAATCACAATCTCATCATACGAGAACTGCATTCCTTTGAACAGGACGAAGTAGGTAGTAGTAGTAGTAGTAGTAGTAGTAGTAGTAGTAGTAGTAGTAGTAGTAGTAGTAGTAGTAATACTGATGTTGGCGGTATTGAAAAAAGTTTCGTCCCCTGGGTTCATTATCCTTAACCATGATTTTAGTGGCGCTGATTCAGGCACCAGTTGACGGAAACCCAAAAAGAAAGTGTTGATCGGTGACTCTGTGCGTCCTGGCGCGTCGCGAGTGGGAGGACGCGTGCGGACAAAGAAAAAAACAAAACAAAAACGCGAGATCTGTGTTTACAGCAGTGAATGTATTGCCAGCAGAATAAACCCAAGGACTATCACAGGGATAGTCTACCTTTTTTTTTTTTTTTTTTTTTTTTTTTTCCTTACGTGCACGGTTTTTCAGCCTAAAAGGATGAGCAAACTTCTTTGAGGAAAATCGTAGATTGGGGTGGGGGGGTTTTAGGGAACCTCGACATGTGTTAGTGTCACAACGCCAGCTGCTCATGGTCTGTTTATTTTGTTTACCTCATTGCTGTGGCACAGGCAGGTCGGCTTGCTTATCCACGATGTCTTTGGGCAGTTTTTTTTTTTTTTTTTTTTGTTCGGGCATAAACAACAGGGGAAAATAAAAATGATCTCCGCTTCTGTCTGAACCCCTCATGTTTTCTTTTTCTTGTGACCCTGTGCACGCGCACAAATAGCAACCGACCGAAGGACCAAGAACCGAAGAAGAAGAGAAAAAACGCCAAGGCGCTGAGGACGGGGACGGGGACGGATGTGTCTTGCTGTGAGTGGTGTGTGTAAAGAACCAAGGTTTCGTTTCGAGTAGGAAAAACCATATTATCCGCAGAGCATATTCAGCATTGTCAACAGCCGCAATAGCATGTGGGATCGTCCTCTCCCCCCGCAGCTGATTACATACACAAGTATACTTTACCCCTACTTCCCAGCTCCCTCGTTCCCCTTACCTTGTCCTTTTTTAAATAAAAGGACAGGAAGAAATAGCTGCCATGGTGGTGGAGTGTTAGGCAGAGCAGCATGTATTTCGTCTCCGTTGTACGGCTACACATGTAGAGCATCGAGGGTTGCCATGCCGGAGCATTAATAATAGCGAGCCCCTGCTCTCTAGGTTTTTTTGGTCCTTTTTTTATGGTACCCTTTCTCACATAGTCTAGTTTGGATTCTCCTCCCCTTTTTCCGCTCGTTCGTTCCTCTTTCTGTGCAAACTTTCCTTGCAGACCGAAAAGCCAGCCTACTCAACAACTCAACGTGTACATAGACTATGTACTCACCCTGTGACACATAAAAAATAGAGGCTAGGAACAACATGTACCCTTGTTTTTGTTTTTATCGTTTCACAAAAATATGTATATTCGCCCAACGGCTCGTTACTGGCTGCCCTAAGCTGGAGTATTCAATTCTTTATTCTTTTGTGTGACTGATAGTGAGGACCCTTTGGCTTGTAAACAAAGGGTAAAAGAAAAAAGAGTGGAAGGTGCCAGAAAGTCCAAATCGAGGTGCATTGCTCGGTGTGCGCATGGTAACCGCGATTGAGTATCTATCCCCTAATATAAACCTCTTGGAACCGGAGGCACGGTCCTGGTATCCAATAAAAAGGTATACTACGCGCCGACCTTTTGATCGACTTTTTTTTTTTTTAGTGCGCGCTGAAAATAGAACCCTCAGGATGCCAGAAGACAGCCAAGGGCTCCAGAGAGAAGCAAAAAAAAAAAAAAAGCAAATATAGATGTGGATGGATAGTCAAGAAAGAGCCATGGTGGTTTCCACCTCCAGGTTCCTCTTTTTTCATTTCTCTTTTGGTTTGTATGCACGATTGGATTATTTTTCCTTGTCCGGTCTGTGGGCCCAATCTTTTTTTGGAGACAGAGAATGAGAGGTATGAACGGCATTGCTTTCTGAGCATCCTCTCAGCTTATAGATGCATAGATACCGGCTCATGAGCCTCTAGAAGCACTGATAGCCCGGTTGCTCTTTGACTACAGTAGAGCACCGATACACTGGCTGAATTGGCTGTTTCGTGACTAATGTGAGCGTTCTAACAACATTCCATACACACTCTCGTAGGTCTTTTTTGGCGCCAAAATATATTCATAGACTATGTGTACTTGTAAAGGGAAAAACCAATGAGAGAAAAGGAAGATGCTGGCATCTTTGTCTTTCATTTTTGACAACTGCTCTGCTGCATATATGCAAGATAACAGAAAAAAAAAGCGCAAATGAGAGTTACCAAGAGTACATATCAGGGTCATGGTGACAGAAAGAGAGGCCGAGATGGTAACTGTAGAGAACAAACGTTCGCAGATATCTCCCCAATGTGTGCATATGTATGTTTGTGATTGCGTGCCTTGACCAAGCAAGACGCGGAAACAGCGACAGTATTCATCACCTCGCTCGGGGACTCGGAAAAGCAAGACATCAACAAGACTCAAACTTAAATTTCTTGAACCAGGGGCTCATGATCGGAGACCGAAAATTTGGGCAAAGAGGTTTGCGGCACTACAACAAATCCGACTTTCAACGGCGGACTAAAATAAGTCAAATGCATTCGTTGCCGAAGATGGTATGGTGCAGAGTCATGCTAGGGCGCGCTACCGGTAGTGGGTTCAACTTTGCGCAGGGTTCTGTTGTAAATAATAAAGGATCACTGGTGCGAATTGACGAGACGCGTTGGTCTCAACTGTAAGTCCACATACGGTAGTCTATCTGGCCAAGGCCGAGAAAAAATAAAAAACATAGTCCTCATCAAACCTGATACACAAGCAACGCATTACCTAATATCGGTAAAAGTGGAAACACGACTGAGTCTTCGCCTCCAGGGGTTGGAAAGAGTATCACTGTGCTTAGGTGTACATCGCCTTTGCCACCAGCCAGGGGAGTGGCGAGCGATAGACCTGCGGCACGTCAAGAAAATTCTTATCTCAGTTAGAGTTAGCCCGACTTTTTTCTTTTTCTTTTTTGCACCATCCACAAAACATACACAACATTTCTAAACACGTCGTGTGCGTTAGACTATGTTTGGGGTACAGGCTAATGTGCAAGGCAGGACAGTGCCATGGAAGAAGGGCCGTAGCCCGAGCAACGATTAAGAGAAACCAGTGTCGATAACTGCCTGCATATAGAGAGACCAAGAATAGTCGTAACAAACATCAACAGTAGCGTAAGGCTAACCCTGGATCCAGAGACACGGATAGCAACATGGACAACATTAGTCATCTCTTGTGCATCCCTGTGTTGTTGTTTTGACCTCACAGGGAACGGACACAGATAGGTCATCCGACCAAAAGAAAAAAAATCTCAGGCCAGCAATGACACCAAAATGAGACCAGGGCTGCGCTTACACCACGGATGTAAGGGGGGAAGTCGCCTGTCTGGCCTCTCGGTTGCGCCATTCCCTTGTCTCTCGCGCACTGCAGCGTTGTATGTCATCATGTAATCTATCTCTCTACTTATTGAGTAAAGCAAAATTATTCTTTATTTAATAGGGAGGGGGGGGATTTTCGAAGAGGTCCCAGAGGACCTGATCGCGGCCACAATTCTTACCGAAAAAGAAAGGAGACGGTTTACTGGAGTTAGAAGCGGGATCCAAGGAGTCAGGAGCAGTGGACGAAATAACGTAGAGCACATTGGAACCAGAGAGATAGAGATGTGTTTGAATACGAAAAAAAATGGCGGAAAGGGGTTGAATGAATAGCAAGGGGGGATTTAAGCGAGGGGTCGAGGAGAGTGGACGCTACTGCCGGTTCTTGCTGACCTTCCGGTCATGTTGCTTTTTTGCGTGGTATACCTTCGCGCCTGTATGATCGTTGACATGGTAACTGTCGGTAGTAGACAGTGCCTTGCTGAGGAGACATGCTGTTGTTCTATACCTCTCCTCCCATACCGTTCGGGTGGGCCCCCTCTACCCCCTCCGCGATAACAGAGTTCAAGGTCAGTCGAGGGGGTGGATGGACCCAAGAGAGTTGCAGTGTGGATCGCAGATAGAACCCGCGAAAGTGCTGCAATAAGAAATTGGAAATTGCTGCTGTTTGGATTTTGAGTTAGTTGTTTGGATGCAGGTGAATAATAATAATATGCCATGCAACAACAAATAGGTGCTGCATGTTCGCTCTGCTCTCACCTATTTAAATTCAACTCAGTTCAGCTGGCAATCATATGGACTCGGAGAGAAAAGAAACAGAAACGAGAGCGCGCGCTATTCAATAGTGAGCTGACTGAGAGTGAATTGAGATTTGACTTGAGTTGAAGAAAATGAGTCGAGTCCATCCCATGGATGGGTTGATTTGAGTTGAGATGAGTTGAGCTGGGTGGAGGTGCCCATGCGATGGTGGACCATGGTCCTTGTTCTTCATTGCTGCATTGTTTAGGTACACAAAGAGGACCCACCAAAGAATACTCAAGAGCACATACTCTGCTAGACTAGGGAGTATAGACTACAGTACCACCGTATCGTACATGTACCCAGCTACAATAGTCTCCATCACCATAGACTACATCCCATCCACGCCATCCGCGCCTCCAGGGACAAAGGGCTAAGGCCTAAAAGTCCAAGGCCAGCCACCTGCTTCTCTTCATCTCGCGCCTATATCTTTGCACCCCCTTTCTCTCCTTCTCTCCTCTCCTTCTTCTTTTTTCTTTTTTCTCTCTTTCCTTCCTCTCTTTTAGCTTTTGACATCCTCCCGTTCTTCGATAACCATCACCCCATCCCCCACCCACACCCACACCTTCACACATCACACATCACAACCATGGCCGACACCACCGCCACCACCACCATCGCACCCACCGTCGAGGCTCCCGTCGCCAACCACGAGACCAAGGAGCAGATTGCTGCCCCTGCCGCAGAGACCGTCGCCGCCCCTGTCACTGAGGCCGCTGCCGAGCCAACCGTTGCGGCTGCTGTCGAGCCCACCACCACAGAGGCCGAGGCTGCCCCCGCTACCACTGAGGAGGCTGCCCCTATTGTTGTTGTCGAGGAGACCACCACCGAGGTTATCGCCACCCCCGCCACCGAGGATGCCCCTGCCCTCACCAACAAGGCTGACAAGAAGAAGTCATGGATCGCAAAATTGACCAGCAACATCAAGAAGTTGGCTGAGAAGAAGCCCAAGGCTGAGAAGGCTGCTATCCCTGAAAAGCACGCTGAGGTTGCTCCTGTCCCTGCCGAGGCCCCCGTTGTCACTGAGGCCGCCCCTGAGCCCGTCGCTGCCGTTGTCGAGGAGACCCCTGCTGCTGCCATCACTGAGGCCGCTGTCGAGACCCCTGCTGAGGTTCACACCGAGGTCGCCGAGACCCCTGCTCAGACTGAGGCTACCCCTGCTGCCGAGGCCCCAGTTGCACCTGCTGTGGAGGCCCCTGCTGCTGATATTGAGGAGGCAAAGCCCGCCGCCGAGGAGAAGCCTGCTGAGGAGAAGCCTGCTGAGAAGTCATCCCCTCTCTCTGCCAAGTTGAGCAAGCGCTTGTCGCTCGGATTCTTCAAGAGCAAGAAGGAGAAGAAGGAGGAGAAGGCTGCGGCTCCTGCCCCCGTTGCCGAGACCGCTGAGACCGCCGAGGCCACTGAGGTCACTGAGGCACCTACTGTTGCTGCTGCTGTTGAGCCCGAGGTTGCTGCTCCCCCTGCCCCTGCCAAGGACGAGACCCCAGCTGCTGTTGAGACCACCGAGGTCCCAGCCGAGAAGACCGTTGAGCAGACTGCCGTCGCTGTTGCTGCCCACTAAACGTCGCCCCAGTCGGACGTGACCTTGACTCCATGGGACTGATAGGGACCTGCTAATTATGGATGACTGAGACTAGGTAAGGATCTACGCCATCGCGTTTTGCCGCGTACCTGTAGCCGCTCTTTTGGTTCCCCTTTTCGTTTCCCCCCCTTGCACCTGGTTGGTTGCTGGTTAGCCGACTTGTTTATTTTTCGAATCATGGCGAGTCATTGTCACACGAAGTTGGATCGATGAGCATATGATTCTCTGCCGAACACGGGAACCTTACTTTGGCGTGGCATGGATCGTGCATTTTTTCCTTTGCCCCCCATGCTCTGCTCGAGTAACCCCGCTCTTGGCTACGGGATTGTTTGCATTGTTGTTGTTGTGCGACATGTCCAGCATATGCTCACTAGTCCCCAGCTCAACTTGCGGCAGCAAACAACAACTACAAGGACAACAGCACATTCTGCATAAGTGTGGTGCACACCACACCATCACACCACCCACCCACCATTCAATGCATAGTCAATCTGTCTATCTGTCTATCTTTCTATCTTTTCTATCCATCTAATCCACCATCGATAATGACATGGCCAGCCCGTCATATCATCTTTCTCGTGTGGACTACCACTACCACACACACACACACACACACACACACACCCCTCCATGCAATCCTTATCTCGCACATGGCAGTTCCCAGGCGACTCTAACAATGAACCCTCTCTTTCTCCCTAATTTAGCGTTAAAACGTCGTTCATGCTTCAAGGCCCCTTACCTCGCGTACCACGGCGTCTATGTCTTCTTGTTTTTATATCATCGCCATAACCATCGTCATCATTATCATAATCCTCCCACATCGATGTTCACACACACATGCGTGCCCTCAAAAAGCTGTAACTTATCATCACTAATATCCGGCCATCGTTTGAACAACAAAAAAATATTTGTTTTTCTAGTTCTGTTGTTCCTTTCTCATCTACTCTACTTAATACTCTTAATAGTCCCCAAAATAAAGGAATATCGAAAAAAAAAATACAAATAGTCTACCATAAGCAATTGACCCCCTTGCCCCATGTTGCTTTGTTTCAGGGCTGTTGGTCGTGTTTGTTGACAAGGTCACCGAGGAGCGCGATCGAATCGCGAACGGTTATTCGATTGTTCTCGGGGTCACAAGGGCAGGAGCATACGAACATAGCGGCGATAACAATGTTTCATGCAAAATGTTCTACGGAAGTACATCCTCGTTTCGCATAAAAAAACCACCAGAGGGTAGATATCGGTAATCATTCTCTTTTACCATTTGCGCCTGGTGAGTGATCGCGCATCATATCCAACTTCATGCGCGCGGAACAATTGAGCCGAAGGTGCAGAAAGGGTCGTTTTTTTTTTTTTTTAAAGAGTGAGATATGGCTCTGCCTGCTTTATTCACAGAGCTATGCGCGAACTGCCCAGCAGGAAAGAAAGCTGCGGTAGCTCGCAGTGGATGTGCACTCGGTTGCGGGCGAAGTCACCTATACACCCTTAAGTAAAGACCACCCAGCGGGAATAAATTAGACCACTGTCTTGTGCCTTTGGCAAACTCCTTTCAAAACTATTCAAAATGGTTCGTGACTGCAGGATGCCATCCGTCACTAATGACACACACACACATCCATATTCATGGACTGAAGCGATACGAGGAGCATACCATCCATCAGTCTATCGACCCGCTACTTCCCCATGAATTGAGGCATCAGGATTTGGAGAGAGACTTAGGGCAAGGGAGGGTGGAACTGGCTGGTTGACTTTGATGGTCCAAGGATGAGCATCACTTGGACGGATCGCGTTGTGCGCCTTTTCTGTGTCGATCATTCAGCAGAGTGAACCGGGAGTAGGAAAATTGTCAAAGAACAAATGCAAAAATAGCTATTATCAGCTCGCAACAGCTTTGTCTTGAAGGGCAGTCGGCGTTCGATCGATTGCTATTTCGAAAAAAACGTGCAGGGATCGATGTGCTTGGACAAGGGCTGAATCTGGTTTCCAACCGGCCAGCGTTGGACGAGACGGTTCACTGCTATGAACGCCGTTTGTAGCCTGGCCAAGGAGGAAGAACCTTTAGAGGACTGGGACAGGAGCATCATCACAAAGAAAGAAGCAGGCGATCAAGGGTAACAGGAGCCAGTGGAGATGAATGAAGGCATCCATGGATCCATCTCACCTTCGACGCAGTAACAGTTTCACGGCAGCTCATAACAACTATTAGACTTATCAGCAGCTGAAAGACAGGACACGTTTAACAATCTATCCGTCAGCTTGCGGCAGCACATCGATACTTACCAGCTTCTGCCGTTATTACGCCTTCTGTCCCTCCTCCTCTAGGCTGACGAACACCATGATGATGCTGCCCTCGATGTGAAGAAGAAGAGAACGTTCCGCAAGTTCTCTTACCGCGGAATCGACCTTGACAAGCTCTTGGACCTTTCCTCGGAGCAGTTGATGGACCTCGTCAACGCCCGCCCCCGCAGACGTTTCCAGCGTGGTCTCAAGCGCAAGCCCATGGGCTTGATCAAGAAGCTCCGTCAGGCCAAGAAGGACGCTCCCGCTATGGAGAAGCCCGCTGTCGTCAAGACCCACCTCCGTAACATGATCGTCGTCCCCGAGATGATCGGCTCTGTCGTCGGTGTGTACAACGGAAAGACCTTCAACCAGGTCGAGATCAAGCCTGAAATGATTGGACACTACCTCGGAGAGTTCTCCATCACCTACAAGCCCGTCAAGCACGGTCGTCCCGGTATTGGTGCTACTCACTCTTCCCGTTTCATTCCCCTCAAGTAAAACGGTTTTTTTTCTTTCAACACGCTTTACAATAAAAAAAAAAGAAGACCGCACACGAGGCATTTGTTTCCGGGATCAATATGTTGCAGAAATAAATTCTTTTTTCCTTTTTTTTTTTTGGCGTCTAAAACGATCCTTCCTTTGCACGATACGTTCGTTCGTGTTTGCTTCGGCGTTATGGTAGTAATCACCAATTGAAGGTTTTGAGAGGCCTCCGCCCAAATGCTTATTTTTTTTGGGACCCATTGCGCCAGCATTTTTTATGGCGCTGAACAAAAGAAATTGTGGAAGCAAATTCTGGTGCACAGCAATCTGTAAACTACAGTTCATAACGTCCCCACAACGCTTCAATTGATGATCCAAACAATGGTTTCCGTTGAAAAGAAAAAAAAAAAAAAAGTATTTTTTATTGAGTCAGGAAGCCAAAAAAAAAAAAAGCACGTCGAATGACAACTTCTTTTTTTCTTCTTTTATTTACTCCTGGACGGGCTGAGGCTTCTTGGCGAGGCCCTTGCGCTCGAGGATGGCCTTGCGGTCCTTGTCCAGGTAGAGCTTGGTGACGACGACCTTGGAAGGGTGGATGCCGACGGGGACGGAGGCACCGTTGGCCTTCTCGCGGTTGACGCGCTCGATGTGGATGACCCACTTGCGACGGTAGACCTGGACAACCTTGCCCTCACGGCCCTTGAACGAGCCACGGACGACCATGACCTCGTCATCCTTGCGGATGGGGATGGAGCGGGCCTAAAAAAACAATCGTAAAAGGAGACAGAGGTTAGATTATTGCAGACAAAACTTTTTTTGCGAGTTCCTGGGGGTCATGGTTCCCGTAGACGTTGCTCTTGTGGCTGTTGCTGTTGCTGGTGCTGATAGCACTCCTGCGACTCTGTCGAATGTTTCCATAACCCCCTCAAAGGGGTTGGATTAATGCTGGGCAATGAGAGTCGTTCAACCAGGGCAGGAGAGCGTCCAATGGCCGCTTTTGTGGTATGATATCTTGATATCTTCAATTGCTGTCTCTTTAAAGTTGATTGTCGCTATCCTCCTGCTGTTCTCAACACAGCCACTCTACTGTAGTTTCATGCGGCCCAATTGGAATATCCCAACCGTCTTACCGAGAAGCGATTCTCTCGGTACTGGATCAAAGGAGGGGCCGATAGGGGTGGTCCATGGTTTCTTTTTTTTTTTTTTTGTTCAACCCAACCGCAAACTTACGCTGTGCTTCTCCCGGAGTTCCTTGGAGAGGGAAGCGCTCATGATCTTGCGACGAAGATCAGAGGGAGCAGAAAAGTGGGCCTTTCTGCTCTTGCGGCGGGAAGAGCTGACATCTAACCGTGAGCGTCCAGGTAGATAGATAGAGGTCGTTAGTGTTGAGTCCAATTTCCGTTGGTTCAGTTTGTTCCTGGTGTGGGTCGCCTTTTTTTGAACAATAGTGGGTTGCTGAATCAGCGTAACGCCTGATGGTCTCGTTTCCTTTGCATCCTTGTCCTGCTCAAGAGTGCCAAACCCTCAGGTGTGCGATGTCAACTGCATGAGATCATTCCTGATCTCCGTTTTTTGAGTTGAAACCTGACGATGCCGAGTGGTGTAGGTAGCCCTGCAATCGATAATCCTGTAGCCCTTTTTGTATCAATTGACGCTGTTGTAATCAATGGATGGATAGATCGAGTCCTGTTGGGCGATGGGTGGATGTATTACCAACGGACTGCTTCATTTTGGAGAGATAATCGAAAGAGAGGAGGTTTCAACAGCGCGCCGCGGCAGTACTGCACAAAGTACGGGTTCAAAAATTGAGTTGGCCAATCACGTGTGGCTAGTAGTCTGGCTGGAAAAAAAAAAAAAAAAAAAAAAAAAAAAGAACGGGGACAGAGAAGAAAGTCGTAACGAGCGCGACACTTGTTTGCGTAGGAGCAATTGAAGGAGGGGCAAGATGATTGTTAGTGTGAGGGATGTTTCTTGCTTATTTGTTCCGCATGAAAGGTGACCGACGCGACCTTTCTTTTATTTGCCTTGCGTACATGATGCTGTCTATGTACCCTTTTTTTTTTTTTTTTTTGCTACTGAGCCGGGTATACTGAAAGCACTTTTCAATCAAAGCGAATAGTAGCCTAGTAATCTCCGTTATTTTTTTATATATATATAAAAAAAGGAGATTTGCTGTTGTTCTTTTTGCGCCGCTGCCTCTTTTAACAGAGAGACTAGGACGATGATCAAGGGGTGTTAGTACGGATATGGCTTTTACGAATGCAATTGATGCAGTGCATCCTTGGGCGCAGTATGGTGCCGATGGTCCGGACGTTGTTGAGCGACAGAGAGCGAGAGGTTGAGAGTAGGGAGGCTGGTGTGGTCCCGCAGGCGTGGGTTACCCAAGCTAGCGCGCGCTTTCATAATACGTCCATTTTCATGCATAGAAAAGCAAGTGTCCGGTCCAGTTGCACGCTGGGTTTCCTCTTTTGAACAGTCCCCTGTCCCCTGCGGTGTCCATGGCACGTTCACGTCCTCCCCCGCACCCACGCTGCATAAAGACCCCCCGCCTCATCCCTCTCATTCCTCTTTTTTTTCTTCTCCTTCCTCTGCTTCCCTTCAACCGCTCCTCTTTTTTCTTCCCTTCTCCTGACCCTCCCCAGCAGTCGAACAAGAAAAGAGTCAGCATCTTCCTCCCCTTCCTCTTCCCTCGCCTTCCCTGCTTAACCCTCTGCTCTCTCTTTATCTACCCAATGCCTCGAGACTCGTCCTCGCGCGAGCCCCTGCTCGGTCACCACAATGGTTCCAGTCAGAGCAACCGTGACGATTTGCAGTTCGCCTACACGCCCGATGACCTTGCCCCTCTGACGGACCCCACGAACCCCAAGCTCCCCCGCGACATGGGTGGCATCGACAAGATCTGTCAGGGGCTTCGCGTCAACCCTAAGGTCGGTCTGAACTCGGACGAGGCTGGCCCACAGTCGCTCGGCGAGTCAGATCAGCCCAAGTTCGCTGCCCGATCCAAGGCTTTTGGACACAACGTAAGTAACACATTTTTGTTTTAATGGGTGCACTGGTATTTTGTTCTTTCAAGAAAATTCCACGGGGTATGGAGCGGCTTATGGAGTTATGAGACACGGCCATTTGGGAAGACCAATTGATCAAAAGTTAGCAACCACCAGGCGAGGGCGAGGTGTGAAGTATAAGACCGCAATCAGTTGAAGGCGGTACGGTTGAACCAACGAATGTGTTTTTGGATGCTGAGGAGGGGCCATGACTTCAGAGTTACACGCCATTTTGGGAGGAGTACAGGAACCGCTTCGTTTGTTGGCTCAGTTCATTTTGTTGATGCGCGATGGCGGATAGGACCAAAAAAAAAAAAAAAAAAAAGAGTTGTGGTGTTTTGGACTTTTCCGTTTTCTGTACTCCCGTCAGCATTCTAGACATGCAGGCATACAAACATGACTCCTGTCGCGCTTCTTTCTCGCTGCGGGAGTAGAAAGCGGGGCTAGAACATGGGAACAGGACAGGCCAGGGCCACATCCATCTATCTCCATCAGGGTGGTCTTTTGATGGAAAAATTCATGCAGCGGCAGTGGCTGGACCGCACGGAAACATGCGAAATCTATTTGTCTATTTTCTGCTCTCTGCCGCTTTTAATACTAACGAACGCTATTTAATAATATGTCACCGATGGAACCTTCCGCAGATTCTGCCAACCGTCAAGAGTGCCTCCTTCTTCGAGTTGGTCGCGAAGGCCTACAATGACCGCACTCTGAGTAAGTTTCTTATTCTATTTTGCTATTCTTTATGCTCCTCCTTTCTATTGTCTTCCTGTCTGGCTGTCTTTGTATCGATTATCTACTCCAGTCCAGGTGCTGGCAGCAGTTGGTGCAATTGAAGGAGGGGCATTGATGGACTTGGCTTGAGGATGCTGAGGATTGATTACACGCATCTTGCTCGGTCTGTCCGCGGAAACCCAGACTAAAACCCCGCTTGAAAACAAACTAACCAAAGTCTTATTACTCTCAAACATGACGTTTCGCGTGCCGTCCTGCCCTATGCAATCTTATTCGTGTCTATGTGCCACCACTAGTCTTGCTGTCCATCGCCGCCATCGTCTCCCTCGGCGTCAGTATCTACGAGGACTATGGCCCGCACCACGACCCTGACGAGCCCCGTGTCGGCTGGATCGAGGGTGTCGCCATCTTGGCTGCCGTTGCCGCCGTCGTCTTCACCAATGCCATCAATGATTACCAGAAGGAACGCCAGTTCCGCAAGCTGAACGCCAAGAAGGACGATCGCTCTGTCAAGCTGCTTCGTGACGGTCGCGAGCAAGAGGTCAATATCAAGGAGGTCCAGGTCGGAGACGTCTTGTTGATGGAACCTGGTGATCTCCTCGCTGTCGATGGAATCATCCTCAAGAGCCATAACATCACCTGCGACGAGTCCTCGGCCACGGGAGAGTCCGATGCGCTGAAGAAGGATGCTGAGGAGAAATGCTATGTCATCTCGGGATCCAAGGTCCTCGATGGCTCTGGTGCTATGCTCGTTACTGCTGTCGGACCCAACTCGTTTTTCGGAAAGACCATGATGGCCATGCGCGAGGCCACCCCCGAGGAGACTCCCCTGCAGCAGAAGCTCGATCTCTTGGCAGAGTCGATTGCCAAGCTCGGTATGGCCGCTGCCATTGCCATGTTGATCACCTTGGTTGTCAAGTACTTTGTCCAGCACGCCATGTCGAACGGACCTATGCCCTCGGGTGGAGAGATCTTCTCTGACATGGTCCGCATTGTCATCCAGGCCATCACCATTGTCGTCGTTGCTGTTCCCGAGGGTCTGCCCATGGCTGTTACCCTGGCCCTTGCCTATGCCACCACTCAGATGCTGAAGGACAATAACCTGGTTCGCGTTCTCTCTGCCTGCGAGACCATGGGTAATGCCACTACTGTTTGCTCTGACAAGACCGGAACCCTGACACAGAACAGGATGACAGTTGTTGAGGGAACCCTCTCGCTCCTGTCTTTCACCAACATGGACGATGCCAAGAACTGGAAGTCGGAGGCCAAGCCCGAAGTTGTCCAGAACATCATCGATGGCATTGCTCTTAACTCGTCTGCTTTTGAGGACAAAGATGAAAAGGGCAATCTGGCCTTTGTTGGATCCAAGACCGAGTCTGCGCTTCTGGGCTTCATCAAGTTCTTGGGTGCCTCGTACAGTAACATTCGCTCCGATGTCAAGGTTGTCAAGGTGTATCCTTTCAGCTCTGCCAAGAAGTCCATGTCCTGCGTTATCGAGACCCGCGATGGCTCGGAGAAGTACCGTCTTTACGTCAAGGGAGCTTCGGAGATTGTTATCAGATCCTGCACCCACTACGTCGACTCCAACGGCGAGGTCAAGTCCCTCGATGACAACGCGCGCGCCAAGTTTGATCAAATCATCAGCGGATATGCTGACAAGGCCCTTCGTACCATTGCTCTTTCCTACCGTGATGTCTCCTCGAGCGAATTCAAGAAGTTCAACGATGAGGACGCCCCTAACACCAAGCTGGTCTGCCTTGGTGTCGTCGGTATCCAGGATCCTCTTCGCCCCGGTGTTGTCGAAAGTGTTCGTGATTTTGCTAAGGCTGGTGTTACCGTCCGCATGATCACTGGAGACAATATCCAGACTGCCCGCGCTATTGCCAAGAACGCTGGAATCTTGATCAAGGGAGGATTGGCCATGACCGGACCCGAGTTCAGAGTTCTTTCTAAGGAGGACCAGACCGAGGCTGTTAAACGTCTCCAGGTCTTGGCTCGCAGCAGCCCTACTGATAAGACCATTGTTGTCCGTCGCCTCCAGGAACTCGGTGAGGTCGTTGCTGTCACTGGTGATGGAACCAACGATGGTCCCGCTCTCAAGATGGCTGATGTCGGATTCTCGATGGGTATTACTGGAACGGAGGTCGCCAAGGAGGCTTCGGCCATTGTGTTGATGGACGACAACTTCAGCAGCATTCTCAAGGCTCTCATGTGGGGCCGTGCCGTCAACGACTCTGTCCGCAAGTTCTTGCAGTTCCAGCTCACTGTCAACATCACCGCCGTCATTCTTTCGTTCATCTCTGCCGTTGCCTCCGATGACAATCAGTCCGTTCTCTCTGCTGTCCAGTTGCTCTGGGTTAACTTGATCATGGATACCCTTGCTGCTCTTGCCCTTGCGACCGAACCACCAAGCCAGGATGTCTTGAAGCGCCAGCCCACCTCCAAGACCGCACCTCTGATCAACTTTAACATGTGGAAGATGATTCTCGGACAGGCTATCTTCCAGATCGGCATCAACCTGGCTCTTCTCCGCTTCGGCGCTCAGCTGTTCCATCTTCAGGAATCCGATGGCACCGTCACACCTGTGCAGTTGAGGACCCTCCGCACCATGATTTTCAACGCTTTCGTGTTCCTCCAAGTCTTCAACGAGCTCAACTGCCGCCGCATCGACGATTCGATCAACATTTTCAAGAACTTGCACCACGACAAGATCTTTATCCTCGTTCAGTTCATTGTCGTCGGTGGTCAGTTCGTCATTGTCCAGTTCGGTGGCCAGGCCTTCAAGACTGTTGCCTTGACTCCTAATCAATGGTTGATTACGGTCTTGGTTGGATCTCTTTCGCTCCCCGTGGGTCTCATCTTGCGCCTCTTGCCCTCGTATATCATCCCTGAGTCCGTGATCTCGCACGAGAGCGAAGAGCGCCAGCCCCTGGTCAGCCCCAGCAAGATGAGATGGGAGGGTGCCTCAAGCCATGTGGCTAGCCAGAGCAACTTCTTTGACGCCATCCGCAAGAACAAGCATCAACACAGCCATGGCGGCAACGGCGAGCACGCGGCGGCTTCGTTGTGGAAGAAGTACGGTTCGACCGGTCGCAGCGATAACAACTAAGGGCGACAGCACTTAGATTGCCGAATAGAGTGAAACTGGCGTGCTTGTCCCATCCTGCTGCGCTCAATGCACTTATACCATCACACACACATACACATACACACACACCCTCACACTCACTCACACACGCTCATACAACATATGCACCCACACAGCAAGCTGGCATTGGTATATTTTTATATCTCCTTGTACATAGGAACAGAAAAGAAAAAGGAAAAGAAAAGAGAGTGAGATGAAATAAACGACGAAAGATGTCATTTTTTGATGAACAATAGCAATTGACGGCGAAGCTGTAGTATCATGAACGTTTTGGAACACTTTATCTTATCTTTACTCATCATCCTCATCCTCATCCTCATCCTCCTTCTCGTTGTCATTGTCATTGTCATCGTCATTGTCATAATCGGGCAGCGTTTCCAGATAATACACCAGCTGGTTCGCGACCTGCTCCTTGGTTCCCCAACGCTCCTCGCCGACGATGAAATCCGGTCGTACAACTTTTGAGCGCATCAGCAACCTGTCACCTTGATCGATCCTGAAGTACAGTCCTTCGACTCTGTCCTCCTGTGTCGAAGACGACGATGCGTCTCTCCCCCGCATAAGCGCTGACCGACTCTGCAGCATATCCATGGTCCACTGCAAGACTTTATCGACGTCCCCAGACACATCCTCGGGGATCTGAATCGCAGGGTTGGGCGTCAGTTGGGTCTGAGCGATGGCCTTGCGGAAGAGTGCGCGAGAGACAAAGGTGCCGGTCTTGACGTCGTACAGATCAAAGGGCACGAACCATGACCGAAGAGCGGTGTACTGAACAGAGTGCTTAGCGTAGAGCCATTCGCCATAAAGCACATAGGGCGCCAATCCGTCCTGGAGGACTTTATCTTCATCCACGTATTCGTCCTCATCCTCGTCTTCGTCCGTCCAGTGCTCGTCCTCGCCGTCGTCTGTGAGAACCTTGTTCTCGTCCTCACTCTCCGCGTCCGGCTGCATTTCGCCCTCCTTTTGATGATCCCCTGCTGTTCCGGCGGCTGTCTCGCCACCTTTTCGAGTCTCATACCTCCATCGTCCTTCACACAGGTATAAGATATCCTCCCGATGGTTCTCCAGCCATCCTGTCAGCTTCTTGAACTGCCAATGATCATCCGGATGGACGAAATGGTTCCTGTTCTGGACTCTGATCTTCGGGGGCGGGCCCGACCCCGTTACCCCGGCGAATCCATGTACAGTCTTGAAATGCAGCACGCTGAACCCAATATTCGCGCCGTCCATCTTTTCCTCGACCGTCAAGACCTGGTGTGCTTTTGGAGCAAACACTCGATCGAGCGCTGAGGGCGGGAGTAAAAGGTCCGATCGACTAATCGCTGCACTCCTTCCGACGGGCGGTGAAGTCGACAGTTCTGAAACCCCTGAATCCTTCGCGCACCCACTGGGTTCGGTTTCGAGTACACGGTCATGGCCTTGTTCGCGGCTCTGATGGATCGTCAGCGGATCAAATAAATGGGGCGTCCTAGGGAACTTTTGAAGCGGGCGGTCGTAATTCGTGAGGGGTGTTGCAAACGAAACACCGCGGGGTGAAGTGAGCCCCTGTGTCGCAGAGTCACTGGTGGAGGCTGTGCTGGTGTCGATCGCGGCATCCGATGAACCCATCCATGCTCCCTTCACGGGCTTTTTAACCGCTGGTCGATGCCCCGTCAAAGAGGCGAACTGTAGTGCCCGGGAGATCGATAGGTCGTTGAATGCCACTGGTTGCACGGGTGTGGGTGCGTATTTTGCGGCGTCTGTATGGATCTCCTTTTCGTCAGCATCGTCATCGTCGTCCTCGCCCTCTATCGAATCTTCGCCATCCTCGTTGTCGCGCTCCTCTTCCTCCTCTTCTTCTCCTTCATCCTCCTCATCCTCCTCAACGAGGCTCTCCATGCCTCCGGAGGATCCCAACTTTGAGTGCGTAGGCGAACCGGGCTCATTTCCTTGCTCTCCGCAGGCAGTCTGACCGTTGCTGCCCATATTCTTCCTTTGCAACACCCTTGCTGGGATGAATGCTGGTCGTGCTTTGATGGACGTCGCCGTATCAACTCCTGTATTCGGTGCTCTCTTGACTGAGGATGAGGACGTCGGTACCTCTTTTGCAAACTTTCTCATAGTTTCCAAAAGCTGGTCGATACCCTCATCATCCCCGACTTCGATCAAGGTCTTGCACCAGCTCCCTTCCTTGCTCAGGTTAGGGAACTCGAACCCCTTCGCAAAGCTCCTCACTACCTTGGATCCCATTCCTGGCGTCACCGTCGGATGACCCTCTCTCGAATCCACACGCTCGATGCATTGTTCCACGCCTCTGGAGAACCAGATCATGACAGCGTCCTCAGGCTGGAACGCAACCTCGTACCATTCCTTGCGCTCTGCCGCCGTAGGGTTACACCGGTCCAGAAAAATTGTCATCGGCAACGCCTTCTTAGGACCACGGGCCGCGAGCGACTGCTGCTGATGCCTCATACTCTGTGCCAAAAGGCGCTCACAGACCGCCCGAGACCCAAGTTCATCCTGTGAGATGCGGACGAAATGTTCCGGGAACTCCTGTAACAGAGTCATGACCAGATGACTCTTGCCGCTTCCAGGAAGCCCCGCCAGGATGACCAACTTTGGTGCGGAGATGAGCGGCGAACCAGAGATGCTGAAGGACGGTCGCTCTTTTGAGTCCTTGCCGTTGCCGCCCTTGTTCTTTTTGGATTTCTGTCCGCGTTGGAGTTGTCGGGCTCGCATATTATGCTGAACAACAAGGTGATGTTGATGATGTTGTGATCCCGGGATCTTGATGATCTTGTCCGCTGGTGGTGGCACAAAGACACGCGGCGCTTCCTGGGGCATCTTTTTTGCTCCCTTCTTGCCCTTCTTCCCAGATTTGCGACCCCTTGAAAACTCATCCTCTGAAATGTCCTCGGCTTCGTCCTGTATCGCCAGAGGAGGAGGCGCCGGCGGTGGTGTTGGTTTCACCTTTGGTGTAGAATCCTTTTTCGCTTCTTTCTTGACCTTGGGACGATCTTCACTTCCCGGCGCTGCTCCAGCCTCGGTCGGCAATATTACTCTTTCCACCGCTTCCTTGTCCCTGGACGACCGTTTTGAGTCGGGTTGAGAGGATTGCTTCCAAGTCCAGTTGCCATATGCCTTGATGGCCTTTTCCTGCTCGACGGACTCTATGCTTCCTGGCCGGATCTCTCTCAAATATGCTATGGCGTCAGCCGCACTCATCATTCTCTGATACCGGTTCAGACATTCGTTCCTCCTGACCGCACGGAATAACCCGTCCTCTGTTTGGATCTCCTGCTGCTCCTCTTCATTATCTCCGTCCTCTTCAAAGTTCTCGTCGCTTTCGCCTTGAGGTTTTGAAGAGCCGCTGCATAAGGTTGGCAAGGTGGACGCTATCGAACCTTGATCCCCAAATCCTTTACGGAATTGCTCCAGATCCAATGGATGCACATTGCGGTTCCGTATACACTCTATGCAGTAGCCCTGTCCTTCATGTCCGTTCAGTCCGAACCGTATCAAATGGGCCGCAAGTACGATTCCAGCTCTGCCCTTGCCGCCTCCACAATGGACTAGTGTCGCTCTCTGATGTGGGAACCGAGATTGTTTGTGAACAGCGTCGTCGCCGTCACTTTTATCGTGCACCTGATCGTCCGACAGTTCCTCGTTCCCGATCCTAGCACACCAGCCCATCATCACCTCAAAGACTTCCGGAAATCCAGGTGCCTTTCGGTTCTCAATCGGCACGAAGGCGTTCCTAATCCTCTTAGGCGCCGGCGCCGCCCCTTCTTGACGTTTTTGATGATGGAACCAACCTGCGGAGAGTGGGGACTCTTTAATGAGGGTGATGACGAGTCGAAACCCTGCCTGTTCGAACGCATCGATATCTTGCTCGTTCCTGGGGATCGAACTTCCTGCAACCGTACAGGAGCTTGTATTGAGGAATGAAAAGAACCTGGGAAGATTGTGCGGGGTCCGTTTATGAGGTAATGTAGCCTGCCAGGGCACTGTGGCAGAATTGCCCATGATCGTGGATTGTTGAACCTGGAGTTGATGTTGGTCAACAGATGATGCTGATGGGGCCTGAGAATCGAGTGAAGATCCATGTGATGCACTCACTCTCTTGGCGATAGAGGAGGCCGTTGCGAGGACGACGGCTAGCATGGCATGATAGGTCTGCTTTTGAACATCCGTTAAAGAGATGTAGTATCGTTGCGGCGGTCCCAAGGACGTGAGAGTGTCCTGACCAGAGGGCAAGATGTCCATCCGCACGTTGATGTGGCGTGCAAGGTAGCAGAGAGCCGTGAGGACATAGTTATGAATCGGCGAAATAGTCTCTGCATCCACGAATACGCTCGAATCTGGCGACTTTTTTACTTCAGTTGCTGTTGTCGCAGGAAAGACGAGATCGATTGGTTCTTCAGCCTGGACGTCGAGTCCTAGCTCCTGTTCCAGGTCCAATGCGCTGATCAAGATTGTTAATGAGTCCTCTTCCTCTTCAATCTTGGTACCGGGGGAGGTTGAGGAGGTGATATGGTCCAATCCTGCGGACCAGAAGAGAGCACACGATTCGAAGAAATCTGCATCCCTGAACGCTGCTGCGGCTCTGGAGAGTGTCAAATCCAATGGCAGTTGTGCCTCAAGGCCACTGCAGCTGGCATTGGTGTCCTCCATGGTTGGCTTTTGTCTGTATGTTTGATGAAGTTTTGGAATAAAGCAGTAGCAATCGATGCAATTGAAGGGCACTATTTGAGGCGACAGCGAAAAGATAGTGAATATCGCCGAGTGATCCAATACAGTACTCTTCGTCTTCCGGAGCCAGTGAATATTCATACCGGGGTCTCTTGACAAAAATAACAATAGACAAGGCTGTTTTGTTCCAAGATGAGAATGTGCGATCTGAAGGCGAATCCAGATGGTGGCCAGGACAGGACGTGAGCCTTGATTTCGAATCGATGAACAAGAAAGGGAGAGAGTGAGAAAAAAAAGAGAGATGAGTGATTATCCCACGCAAAAATCTTTATTTATTTGGAAACGCGTCGCGTTCAGGAACACAACCAGCCTGCTGCTCCAAGAAGTAACTTGGGTCCATTGCTCGGATGCAGTGCAGGCACTCCACCGTATCGCGGATGGGAGCAGATGTCCTATCCCTTATAGTATAAGCGATTCCGTTGTCGGAAACAAAAAGTCCAGGGTCGTCCGCATCAGGGTCCGCCAGTAGCCCTCCGCAACCAACGTTCGCAACCCCTAATATTCGTTCAAGTGCTTAGCAACCAGGATATATTAGGGCTACACTCCAGGACAATGATTTCGTCATTAGTGGCCAGCCCTAAGGCCAGGGCCTCCAGCCCAGCCAGTCTGTGGATCTGCATCATCAAAATATCTGCGAAAGCGATACACTCGCTGTGTGCCAGTAGTTCCTGTCAATCCCGCATACATATCAGAAGTGTGTTCCTAGTTAGGGTAAACTTGCCCACAGATGGAGGCATGTCTGTTCTAGTTCTTGGACACTGCGTAGACGTGGGTGCGTGTAGCCGGGATACTCGCTCAGCTCCAGTCACGCCTCTGTGCGTGTTTCGCCGTCTTTACCCAAGGAGAGCCAGTATTCAATTTCCTCCAGTCGGGACCACTTCTTCGCCAAAAAGTCCAACTTGGCCCGCGTTATGGTCTGCTAGCATTCGTGCACAATCAACTTGGCAATCGCAGGCCTCTCAGTCGCTCTGCAGCCTCACCGCTAGGTCCAGGACCCAACGCAATATCCTTGTCGCTGCCCATGGGTCGGATGAGCAGAGTCTCTAGCCCTGAGCAGAAATTCGTAACAGACGAAATGGCTCCAGACAAAAGACTCGAGCACAGGGCCTCAACTTGCTGCTGAGCCGGATACATGTCAAGATGACGCTTTTAGAAAGGTAGGGCTGACGAGGAAGATAACCTAGACCGATAAGTAAGGGGAAGACTGCTTGGTTGAGGCCATGAAGGTGGGCAGGGTGCAGAAGAGGGCGGCCGGAAAGACTACAGGAAATTGGCGTGAACGCGTCTTTTAGAGTATTTGCTTTGCCCCTCCTATTACCCCACATGGCGTGTGCGCATAAAGCCTGCGGAACATCGCTGTTTCTTTCCACACTCATTCCTTCATCATCCAAAGAAGAGATGAATCCACCCGCTCTTCCGACATCCCTCTCTCTCTCCCTCTCAAACTTCCCTGTCGGCATCGGCCTCATCGCCGCGGCCCACCTCGATCTTTGTCGGCGTAATCTCTCATGGACAGCCGAGGAGACCCAACTGTGCGTGTTCCATCGGACCCTTGCGAGGCTGGAGAACACGGCCCATGTCCTCTCCAACCTGAACACCCTTACGGAGTTGACCAGCCTGGTCAACTCTTTCTTAATGCAGTTCCCAGAGTATCAGGCACTCGGGCGCCGATATGAACGCAGGAGAGGACCAAAACCACACAGGGACAGCAAGGACAAGCGAGTGGTTCACACCACCAAGCACAGCATCAAAAAAGAGCACAATCAAAATGGAAGCAAGGCCAACGAGAACGTGACAAAGAATGCGGAGGGCAAGGACGTGGCGACAATTCCATCGGACAAGGAAGACGCAAGTCTGGAAGATCATGCAGTCGTGGCCGAGGATGATGGACATGCAGAGAGCTCGACAGCAGGATCAAAGCGCCATAGGTCGATGCGCCATCCCCGGCATCCGTTGGAGACTCGTTTCGGGCGCAAGAAAACAATATTGGTCGAAACCACTGCCGGTAAGAATCAACTCTTTCCGTAGATTAAATAAAGCCTTTCTAGATAGATACCTTCGAGATCATCGTATTAACTTTTTGTATGATTTTAATACACTTTTTGTTTGTTTGTCTATAGCGAATCTTGAGCAATGGTCAAACACTTACAAGGCGCTACGGCAATCACAGGAAGCGAGCATGGAGGAACTCGTCAGTCGGGTGCGCAAGATAGACCCTCATCTCATGAATCTGCAGAACAGTTCTGCGTTTTCATTTTTGTAAGTATTAACAGCACTCCTCTTCCGTATTATCGCCGTCCAGGGATGAGAGCTATCGTATCTTATTTATCCGTGTATAACCTCTTACCTCCCCCCGTAGCTTGAGCGGCATCACAATTCTCCGCTACGCCATCACCACCGAACGATTCATGTCATTCATTACGAAATATACCTGGCCACTTCTGAAACTTGGATCATGGTTCAAATGGAGCTCAATATCGCCCCCGAGATCCTCCTACATCCCATGGGGTCTCGCTCCGCCCAGCGGAGGGCATCTATCAGAGCAGTCAATCGAGTCACTGGCATCCAATGCAGGCACAGGAGCGAACCTACCGGTGGCCTTTGCATTCCTCCCTTTGATTCCGACTTTGTTCATTTCAGGAATCCATCTCTTGGCGTCCGTAAAAGCGCAATGGGTGTCTTATCAGATTCATAGTTATTACCGTCAGCAGGCAAAGTATGCGAAACGCCTGAGCGTCGTGATAACTTTTATGATAATTCGAGAGAGGAGGCTGTTGTGGTTGGCACAGAAGATCAGGTCGTTTGACGAAGAGCGTGAAAAGGCACTGCGAGAGCAGGACTTTGAGGACGTGGAGGGTACTGATAATGATGACGAAGGTGATGGTCAAAACACTACTCAGGCGAGTGTCGATCGCATTCCACGCGAAGGAAATACTGTAGCAGGAACAGCACTAGCTGGAAGAGTGAGCTGTTTGGACGCAGATCAACAGGCCCAAGGAAGCCAGCACGAACAGTCATCAGAAGCAAAGACGATCCAGCTCACGTTCGGGCCTGATCTCGGGTCCATGGATCTGCGGCGGTTCTTGAACGACTCTGCTGAGAGGAGGAAGATTCTGCGACTGGAATTTGAAGGGATGCGCGATGAACTGCTGTTCTTTCGGGAATCCCTGCTGCCCTCTCACCTCTAAATGATGACATGGATAAAGAATTCATAACGATTGCATTGTCTGTAGGATATTCACACATTATCGCAATAAAGAAACACGCCCTGGGCGTATGAACATAGTGTTGGTCCGTTAACCGGCCTTTATTTATGACATTATCGTACGGGAGAAACAGGGCTGGAAAGGAACGTCTAGATAACTTGAGTAGTTCAGGAGCGCAGGCTGAGACCTTGCATGAGACTGTTTGTATTGGTTGCCGACGGCACAGCATTGGGAGACATGGGAGGTGAGTACAGGCCCAAGGAAGGATGAGCGCGCTGCGAACTTGGAGAGCTGACATAGTGTTGGTGAAGCTGCTTTGCTGTGGCCGAAGGTGGAGGAGTAAAGATCTGCTGGAGATTCAGCGTGTTGCGCTTCTTTGTGGAGGACGAGGTAGGCGACAGCATTGTCTTTGGTGAGATTATTGCAGGCTTGGTGAGAGTGTGCGAAGTGGGTGCTGTGTCTGCTGACGGGGTTAGGACCTGCTGAGGTTGAGCAGGTAACGAAGTATCGATGGACAGCTTGGCCACCAGGTCGCTCTTGGTATCACTCGTCTTGGTCTTGACAGCATCTTCTTCTGACTTCACCACAGGAGTCGCTGTAATTTCGAGGGGCACGCCTGACGCACTCGCCGCGGCCTTATCCTTCAAATGCCTCCACCAACCGACCGTCGAGACCACATTCCCGGCCGCCTGGAATTTCCTCCTGAGCGTCTTGACACCCATCTTGATCTCCTCAATCTCACCACTTCCGATGCTCTTGTAGTTGCCGCGTCGAGGCTGCGCACCATTGACGAGAAGAAGGTTCGAGAGACCAGGTTTGCCCTGGAGACGGAGGAGGTTGTCTTCAATGGCATACATGCGGTGGGCTTTTGCCTGGAAGGTGTTGTGGAGGTCTTGTGTCTCGGAAAAGAGGTGCTGTGTGGCCTGGGTGAGGGCATTGAGGCGGGAAGAGATGTGTTCAAGGCGGGATTCGATCATGGCTTCAAAGGCCATCTCTTCTGCGGTAAGACCAGACATTGTGGGGTAGAAAAATGAAGGAGCGACACAGGAATGGTGAAAGGAGAAGTGAGAAATGTAAGATGAGGAGCGTTGAAGCAGATACAATTGCAAGAGGAAGGAGAGGTAGGGGAAGTCGGTTGGTATTTATGACAACAGAATAAGAAAGAAGTGGTAGAAATGACCAGCAACTCTTAAGCAACAGGGAGCTGTGTTTAGTTGGAAAGATCACACTGTCATTTGGTCCCCTGTCGTACCTGTCGTACACACAGTTGCAGCGTAACCCGTGAAGGGGGAAGCGGGGGGAGGATTAGGTCAGGCAGACAGATGGTCATGGCACAAAATATAATAGGGGTTGCAGAGGGAGATGTGCCCTCAGGAACGGGCGTACAGTACATGTAAACAGCTGCATAAAAAAGGGGTGGTCGTGGTGGTGCCAACCTTGCATGTACTTTTTTAAGCAGCACAAAATAGGAGGCGATGTTGTGCTAGTGACGACAAGAATGACAGTGTGTGTAATGAGATCGGCAGTTCGTTGAGCTGGTCGTCAATGGGCACGAGCGTGTATCTGGAAGTGGCTCCAACGGTTTCGGGCGAGACGCGTTCAAGCACGTCCCGTGCCAACGCGCAACTTTTGCCACCAATCTCGCACCAACCTTAAATACTCTTATTTTTGTGAATTTGACGCCACCAAAACCACATCAAACGGGCTGCAGCACAGGGCAAACCCTTCCCACACAGCCAGTATTTAACCTCCCCCCATGAGCGGTGCAATCTCAATCCTGCATTCGCTCCTCACTTCCACAACACCACTCCGACTCGCCTGCTCGACTTACTTTCGGATCAACCACCATAGAGTAGCGCATTCCTTTTCTACAGCCATGACATCAAGACCCTCCTCAGCCGATCCAAGAAGTTCCTCCTCTACACCCAAGTGGACAACCTGGAGAGAACGGCCTAGCAATAAACTGAGCAGTAGAGCCGGCAGCAGCAGCAGCAGCAGAAATGGGACTTCTGTTTACTATAATGAGGCTACAAAGACCTTTTACCCATCGAACCCAATCCGCCCTATCACCCCATCCTACGAGACGAAGGCGCGCGAGGATCCCGTCACCTTGGCTACACCGCAAAAGCTCCTCGTTATCTTGGATTTAAACGGCACTTTGTTCTATCGAAACAAGAGAAACAATCGTGCGGTCACCTCTCGTCCGTACCTAGCTCCTTTCTTGGACTTCTTGTTCGAACACTGTCGAGTCATGGTGTGGTCCAGCGCACAGCCTCACAGCGTCGAGGCTATGCTAAGCTTTGGTTTCGGAAACCGTATTTCGAATCTCGACCGTGTGTGGAATCGAGACCACTTTCGCTTGCCTCCCTCGGACTATGAAAGGAAAGTGCTCACCATCAAGGACCTGGAATATGTCTGGGAGGGTATCGCAGAGGAAAAGAAAAAGAAAGACGCCGCCGCTCATGCTCACAGCAAGTACCAGGTGGAATTCGATCAGACCAACACCGTCCTGCTTGATGACTCCACAGCTAAGATACAATTGCAACCGTACAACGGCGTGGCTCTCAGGGACTTTGACCAGGGTCTCGCGATGGCAGGGACGGATGACGAATTGCTTCGTGTGAGGCGCTATCTTGAGAAATTAATTTACCAGGCGAACGTGAGCGCCTATATGCGCCTTCATCCGTACAGCTCTGATGCCCCTCTTGACAACGGTAACAATTATGAATGTGAATTTATGGTAATGAGCCTCTCTGGTCGTAACTTGCTGGGATTGCTGCTAATGACTTTATTGTTTCATTTTGTGCTCGTCTCAGATGCAGCCAAGGAAGCCTCGAATACAAAACCATCAAAGGCTGGAGATGCGCTAGCGGATGAATTGGACGATCTCGCTCTTCGTCTGGAAAAGAGCACGGTCTAATCCCAGCAGCGCACGGTGCACAATATGTCGAACAAACCCATCACTCATGAAAGTTGCCAGAATAAATGCATTACGAATTATTGAAAAAAGAACTGTATGTTTAATCCAATTTCCTCATGGAACTATGGATGGTACTATCGACGACTCCATGGGCTCCAAAATATCCTTTTCGACTTTGTTGATCAATCCATTGGCACTCTCCTTCAGAACATCGACCGCATTAAGCCATGTCTCCAGTTCCTTTTCCTCTCCATAGACCACGTTCTTGAACGGAACCTGAGAGGACGATATCCCCGCTTTTGTCAAGTAATGGAACTGCCGTCGCAATCCTGATTGAATCTCGTTCACCAGCGTTGCATATCCTGCCGCAAACGTTTCAAACTTCTTTGCTCTTTCGTCCGCGTACGATCTGACCATTGCTTGGCGTGCTTCTGGTGATAGTGAGCTGTTAGACAACAACTGTTTCCCTGTCTCTTCATTCTCATCCTCATCTGTGTCTCCACTCAGGATCTGAATCGCTTGGCCAGCAGTCTCCAGCAGTTGGACAATGCGCTATTGAACGATTATAAAGACAATCGTTCATATTAACGACCATTGGAGTAAATCGCGTTTAGAGCTGTTGCAGAGAATTTGATCCGCAGGGTTTGAATCCAAACAAAGACATTAGAGCAGGTCATTTATTTACCCTTTCAAGTCCACGCAACTCAAGAATCCTGGTGGCGCTCGCTTGGCTGTCATCCTTGGATAATGATGGCTCACCATCTATATCGAGCGCGCTTCCATCTGCATGGATGTAGTCCTTGTATGGCTGGTATATGTATCCGTCATTTACAGCCTTTAGTGACCTTGACTTTTTTCGAGCCAGGCTGGGTTGCGACGACGCGGACGGTGGTGTTACTGATGCTGATTGCGACTCTGTGGATTGGAACGATGCAGAAAACGGTGCCGCTTGAAAGCTGCCAGGTGGGCTGGCCATGTCTGTGTCCTCCATGGCGTCGTGAATGCGATTGCCGATCCCTTGCTTTGCTGCTTTCCTGCTTGCTCTGAGAAGGGATGAACGATCGTGCAGGATAGTTTCAGCCACTTGGGGAGGGGGGGGGGAAAGGAAGTGCGCGCGCTCTTTTTCTTTCAGACGAGTCACATTTTGATGGGCGCACTTCGCCCAAATCATTCTTCTTTTTTTCGCTTTACTCTTTCTCACACTCATATTCAACTCCCTCCCACGTCCAACACCCACCAGCGTCCAATCCCACAACGAAAATACTAGTAGCTTTATCCTGCTAAAGCATTCACTTCTCCCAACTATGAAGTCTTCACTTCTTCTCGTAGGACTCTTGTCCTTGGCTGTTGCCTCGCGAGCAGAGCTCACACGGTAAGGGACATCATCAATCATTCCGTGATATGTGCAAGTGTGCTTCAGTCCAGATACAAATGTTCATGCTCTTGGTACTCTGCTTGCCGCATACCTTTAACATGGTCTGACTTCATATTACTACGACGACTTAGCATCAACCTCAAGAAGGCTGATCTCACCCCTGCACAACAGATGCAGGCCTATGCCGAGGCTGGCTCATACATGGCCCAGAAGTACTTTGGATCGTCGAACCGCAAGATCAAGATCGATCAGGCCACCCAAGTCCTGGGGTTCGATGCAGAGGGCAAGCCTTCGTATGGAGTTCCTCTCTCCAACTATATGAATGCACAGGTAAAGAGCAACACACGTTTTGTGCGGGTAACAGTTGTTTCTTGGCGCAGAAAAAAAAGGAGAGTGAAACGGTTTATTGGCAAATGTTCCACAATGCCCGCGTTCGATACAACAAAAAAAGAAAAAGTAGGCGGCGATCATCGTAAAAGTGACGGTGCCCCAAAATGTCTTTGATTCCACAAGGGACTGCAGACAGAAGGAAATAACAGAAAACGACGTTCCCTGGCCTATATATATGCCAGCCATGCCGAACCTGTTTTGGGTGAGCGCTTTGCGACATGGTCCATCTAACACAGCGGATTTCCACGTCTTGCTAGTACTACGGCGATGTCAGCATCGGTACACCTCCTCAGACCTTCTCCGTAGTGTTCGACACGGGTTCCTCCAACTTCTGGGTTCCCTCTACGCACTGCAACTCCATTGCCTGTTTCCTTCACCGCCGGTTCGATTCTGAAAAATCATCGACGTTCCGCCCCAACGGCACCGAGTTCGCGATCCAGTATGGCAGTGGATCTCTTGAGGGCATTATCAGCAATGACCATCTCGAGGTCGGTGGCCTCGTGGTCAAGCGCCAGGACTTTGGAGAGTCTGTCAAGGAGCCTGGCCTCGCGTTTGCATTTGGCAAGTTTGACGGCATCTTTGGTTTGGGCTATGACACTATCTCGGTCCTGGGCGTTGTGCCGCCATTCTACAACATGGTTGATCGAAAGTTGATCGATGAGCCCGTCTTTGGGTTCTACCTTGGCCATGCCGACGACACCCTGGGTGGCCAGATGACGCTCGGGGGTGTGGACTCGAACCACTTTAAGGGAGATCTGCAGTGGCATAATGTCCGTCGCAAGGGATACTGGGAGATTGATCTGTCCAAGATCAGGCTGGGCACGGAGGAAGTCGAGATGAATGCCGGCGCGGTCATTGATACGGGAAGCTCGCTGATCGTTCTTCAGACCACGATGGCGGATATGATTAACAGGGAGATCGGCGCCAAGAAGAACTATGCGGGTCAGTATACGATCGATTGTGCCGAGGTGCCGAACCTGCCAGAGTTCTCGTTCTATTTCGGCAAGACCGAGTACAAGTTGAAGGGATCAGATTATATCCTCAACGCTGGAGGATCGTGCATCAGCGGCTTCATGGGCATGGATTTCCCTGAGTCCCTTGGCGACCTTTGGATTGTTGGCGACGTGTTCTTGCGAAAGTACTACAGTGTCTACGATCTCGGCAAGGACCGCGTAGGTTTCGCGCTTTCTAAGTAGAGTGCTAGCTGCTGCTGCTTTCCTGTTTCTTCATATCTGTACATACACTCAGTGAATTCATCTAAGCGTTGCAGTCCGCTTCATTAATTAATAAAAGATTGGGGGCGTTGAAGTGCAATGTAATACATGTGGAAACCCACGCGAACTGTCGTGCAGGAAACTCAAATGTGCCAGATCACGAAAGACCTGCGACATAGTGATCCACACTACGTATTATTCCTCTTCCTCCTCCCACAACGCCGAACTGATCTCTACATCATCCGTTTCAAGCATGCGTGCATCATGGCCCTCAGGGACAGGAAGGAGATCTCTCCAAAGACTCGCTCATTCAAACCGATCGTGCAGGACTCCACTCCATCACCAACGTTGTCTTGATCAGTCTACGGGCGCCGACTTTGGTGCCAATACAGGACCGTCGATTCAACACTCGTCATCGAACGCTAGGAGGATGCGAAAAGGACGACCAGCCAGCTCGCTACTACTAAGACACGGTGCTCTTCTGGACCATCATCCACTTTGCCTGGCTCCTGTTCGTTGCAACAGTATCATCCAGCTATCCTCTTCCCCCAAGGGGTCGTCATCGTCTTGCTTCCTGTCGCCCATCTTCTCTCCTCAAAACCTCACCGGGGGGATTCGACCGCTCGCCAGGACCATACACCACTCATCTCGATCTTTGGCATCCTCCTCGACCTCTGGCGCCTCTCCAGAAGGCGGCGCTCCCGATCCTTACCCATATTCGTATACCAATTCAGAAGCCCTTGACTTCAAGCGGTGCAAGAACCCGACACAGCTCGAGAAAAGCATCGAATCCTATCTTAAGAGCCATCCCGAGCCGACAGAGCGCGCATTGGTTGCGATGCTGGCAGCATGCGCGGATCTGTCCAGGGCTACAGCGTCGCCAATCGATCACAATCATGGACACCATACAAAACAGAAGCACTCGCCGCGCAAAGGGCATCAAATTTACGAATCAGACACTAACGATCTGGGGTCAAATCTTTTACAGACCATTCTTCAGTCGTCCATGTTCACAGCGGACGAGGTCTACAGGAAAGCTCGCTTCATCTATGAGGACATCGCGACGGGATTGTACCTCAACGCAGGAAGGTCCGACACAGTGCGGCAGCCCAGGGTTCTTTCTCTTCCAGTCACAAATGCGTTCTTGAATGTCTGCGCGATAACAGGACATTTCGACGAGGCATCCTCAGTCTTGAACGACATGATGCATAGCGCTCAAGGTGGTGTCAAACCGGATCTTGCTACATATCGATATGTGCTGAGAGCTGCAAGTGCGGCTCGACGACAGCTGCAGAGACGTTCTGCGGACACCACAGAACTGGATACCAGAGTCGATGAGTTGATTCAGCGCGCTACAGAAGCCTTGAGCAGGCAGTCGAGAGTGGCATTTTGGATTAAGATGGGACTTGGTGGACTTGTCGGGGCCACTGTGGGAAAGTTCACGATGCTGGGTGTCATGGCACTGCCTTATTCGGGAAGCCTACAAGGAATCACTGGTCCTGCAACTGAGGCGCACCCTGTGGTCTTGGACCCATCTTTACCTGTCGACGGGATTGTTCAGTTTCTGGCGAGTCAGGAGGTCGCCATGGGGGTGGGACTCGCTGCGGGGCTTTTGACTGCAGGATATTTTATCCGCGGAAGCACTCGGCATCCTGTGGCTCATGCAGTACTGGGCTCAGCCCCTGGAGAATCCACTGGGGGCTCTAGATCTGCGGTACGACAGCAACATCAGCGCCACCACCATCATCCACAGATCCTTCCTCGTGCGAGGATTGCTGGCCTCTACTTTCCTGATCTGGCGACGACGGACAAAAAGGAGATTCGCGACTATCTAAGAAGGAGCATGGGTTCATAATGAGTGACAAATAAAGCTGGTGTGGTTGCTTCAAACTGGACCAAGATATCCACTGTTGCGCCTGCTTCGCAAAAGATGATGACGAAGAATAGCGTCTCTTTAGATCCAAAAGGCTAGGAGTGGGCCTTCGATCTGACATCACCTTTGATATGTTTGTATATGGATGCACGGTTACTGTGCTTTAAAACGTCCAGAAATACCGAATTTGGTCAACATCTCCTCCGCCATCCCGGTGGTGCTGCCGTAGCGGCGATCAAGACGTTGATTGCTCACAATGAACGTCCATTTAATTTGTGATACTAATACCTCGTCTGTGTACTTCCGGCTTATTCTTCTAATTTACCTTACTCTCTACCTCTTTTCATTTCTCCTCCTATTCCTATACCATACTCTTGCGGTTTCCCATTCTTGGGTCACCGAACGGTGTCGATTTAAAACCTTCACGCCGGACAGAAGACATCCATAAACACCATCTTTAATCTCACGCATGTGTACCGATCTTGACGAGACTCTCTGCTTGTACTCTTTTCTCTTACTCCAGCTAACCTGGTCACCTAAGACGCTAGAGTCATTTATGTCTCAGCCCAAATTCCACACACTTCCTTCCATTATAAGTATTACTCGTAGATCGACTCTTTCCCGTTAGTCCTGTCCACATACGCGCATGCCATACCCATTCACGCTGTCGAAGACACAATCGCTCGACTTTAGAAAGAAATAATTAGGGACAATGGCATTGTTAAATACCATCTGGTTTCATTTATTACCACCGGCGTACTCTAACAGCTTAGTACTGCAAGCTCGACGACCACTGTTCACTCACACAACGGTTATGTGTATTCAGGGGATGATACGAGTGATGAAGACATGGATGAAGAACCTCTCAACAAGCTGCGATCAAACACGCGACATTCATGTGAGTCGGCTGCAAATGACATCTAATGCATAATGTCAAAGCACCCCATTAACTTTTTTTGTTACTGGTATTGTTGTTGCTATTGATATGTGTGTTGGACAAACACGTACTCTAAAGATGATGGCTGCAGCGACTGGAACTCAATCAAGAGAACACTTGGCCCTCCTCACCTTAACACTGGCTGCGATAGCGCCCCCTTTGGCCATCCGCAACATTCAGGCCACGCACTCCTCACCTCAGTCGACTCTCAAGTTCCGCCTCACAGCTTAAGAGACCACTTCCGCATCTACCGCTATCCCGAAAAGACTCCGCGCTCTCCCTCCACGGTAGAGATCGATCACGCACTCAAACTTGGCTCCTTGAGCACGCTGGGGCCCGGAATTCCGATGATACCGACCCCGCAAACACGGGTGGATTGTTTGAGTATTCGCCAGCGGAAGAGAAGCGACTGGTCTGGAAGATCGATTGGTGGACCTTATCGAGCTTGGGGATGCTTTATGGTGTTTCGACACTCGGTAAGCTTTCTTCCTGTGTGACTGGAACGAATCGTTTTGGGTCTGTGCGCACAAAGACGCGTTTTGTGGTTTAACCTTCCGTAGATCGTGCTAATCTGCTGAATGCGAAATTGTTCGCGTTTGAAAGTGCGTTGGATGTGACACCGGAGCAGTGTACGTGGGTGATGGCGATCTTCCATGTGGGGGTGCGGTCTGGCGGAGGGTGACTTCGAACTTGGTATTGCTCTACTTGACCCCAAAGGTCTGGCTACTAGCCCCGATGTTTATTTGGTAAGCCAGTCGTTTTCCCTCTTTTATATTACTTCTCGCTCTATATAAACGTTAACTAAACCGTATCACTAGGGACTGCACCACGTTTGGGTTAGCCTAGACAAAGGACCTGCACCTCCTCTCCGTGGGTCGATTCTTCTTCGGTGTCGCGGAACCAGCGCTCGTCCCCGGTGTCCTAATCTACATCTCTATGTTTTTTATAAGCGATCCGAGCAGACCTTCCGGATGGCGATACTTCAAGCTTTCATCTCGTGCGGGATAGGAAATTTGGATGGGAAACTGGATCTTCAGAGTTGGCAATGGACTTTTGTTGTGGAGAGTTTGGTGACGGTTCTGTCGGCGGGGTATGGTGTGGTTCCTGTTGACCAAGTCTCCAGAATCTGCACCGTGGTCGAACAAGCGGGAGACGTCAATTGCGATTTTGTAGGATTAGGAACGATACAAAGGTCAAGGTGATGAAGCATATCTCGAGACAAAATAACGTTGTGGCGATCAAGGATCGGAATGTGTATTTGTTTATGGCGATTAACTTGCTCGTCGCCATTACTAGTAATGCGCTTGTCGTGGCCTTTGTCAGTGCCTTGTGTGGCCCTTGCTCATTATTTTTACGAAATACTAAGACGTTCCGCATATATCCTTTGGCCTCCTCTGCGGAGCAGCCGTCTCTCAAGCAGGCATCAATTCTCGTGCATGGATGGGGCTCACAAAGCCCTCAAGGACGGCACTCAATCACTAGACGCCATGCTTCCACCTGTGGACATGGCGCTGCCCGTCAGAGAGGTACGATATTGATGGTCTTGGAGGCCCCGACGATGATCGGGTATGACTTGGAGCTCTTGACGCTGAACGCGGCCATTTGATCAGTGTCTTCTGCATGATGATTGTCATCGCTTTAGCCCTGCTGCGTTTCCTATTGAAGCGCAAGAACAACTGTCGTAATTACTCTGTCAGCTTTAGGATGAACTCGCTCAAATACTTTTTGAAAGCGGAGCTTCGAGACCTCAATGATAAGCATCCAAACTTTCGCTATACCTTTTGAAATAAATAATAAATTCTGGCGGTATCGCGACACGTCAAGTCGAGGGGGTTTTCTGCCCGGAATAATCTGTTTGACAACCTGGGCTGTCAGTCATATTTAACACTCCCTGCAGGAAATCGATGTAAAACACTTGATGCATTCGCCGAGGGTAAAGGCATCATGGAGCATAAGAAACAGACCTCTTTACGAAGCAGGCGCTGTGTAAACATCGGATGGGTTGTCTTATCTGCCCTTGACGTGTACTTTGAGAAGGAATATATTCTTTATTTAAGAACTTCGTGTGTTGCGACCGAGACGCTTCTGAGTCTCAACAATGCTCCTGATACGCGTCTGCCTCGGTCTGTTCTTGGCTTTCATCTCAACAGGATTCATAATTTTAAAAGTCCCTCCCTTTGACGATGACTTTAGAAATTGTTTCATTCACCAGTTCGAACTACTTCAGCTTTGAGTTGACTACATACAAAAGCTCCTTCATAAAAAAAATATATCCCTCAGAGTCCACGACAAAAAGTAATGCCACCGTAAACAGAATACAACCCTTTTTGGCGAGAGTTTGATGTCTATTTTGTACGTGAAACAGTCCAGCCGTCGATTTTTTAATGGCATTGTCTATGCTGGGACAGCCAACCGTAGAAATTTATTAAATTGGGGCAGATACTTTCCCCGTATCGAAACCGACCATGCCAAGGTCAAAGATCTCAAAATCCTCGGGGTAGTTGCCCTTAGTGAGCTTCTTCTGAGAGGCAACGACGATACGGTAGTAGCGAAAATTGCTCGCCGCAACACCGGACATAAGAGGAAGTTGGATAGGGGCCAAGGTCGTGTCCTCGGCAGGAAGGACCAGTCCGTCCCAAGTGTACTGATTAACGTCCAACTGACCAGTGGTGCTATCGACGTTCTTGTTTCTGCCGGCGGCACCAAAGGCAGGGCCGCCATCCTTGGAGGTCATAAATCCGACAAAACCGCCTGTTTGATCATAGATGCGGATGGTGGCATCGGGAGAGTGCGAACCAAGGCGGGTCAAGACAACGGGCTTGGTGTAATTAAAGTTGATGACCGAGAACGGCGGCGTGGTACTGGTCAACTCGCCGGTGGTTACGTTGAGATATCTCAACATGGGGAAGCCGAGACTGGTATCCTGGATTGGCACGTTGCGGATATCGCCTTTGACACCAGTGTATGGAATATGAACAGCAACACCACCCATGGAGGGGGTAGCAACGATGAAACCAGAGTACAAGGGCCATTCAGCAGCCTTGCCGTTCTTGGGCTCTGTGAACTTCAAGGTGACCTTGACAGACTCACCAGGGTTGAGCGTAACGGTGCATGGGTCGAACTTGACGGTGGCATAGTCAGCCTCAATGATGGGAGTAGCGAGTGGGAAGGAGTTGTTGGCGTTGTACGAGTTCAAGGCATCAGCGGGGACGTGCGTGAAAGTATAGGTCGCAGCGTCAAAGCCAGTATTCTTGATCTGGATCTTGACCCGCCTTTGGAAGTTGACAGTATCGAGGAGATCAATGTGGTCGGGCCAGAGCTCGACCGGGGTTACGGTAGCTGTGTTGACGTTGATCAAACCAGCACCTTGCTTGGCAGCAGAGGCAAAGGTTTCGGAATTGTAGTTCTTGGAGATCGTGGCAGTGTTCTTGAAGGCCTTGCGAATCCTATCACCATGGGACTTGACCTTCTTAACTTCCATGTACAAAGCATGGGCACCAGCAACGTAGGCTGAGGCCATGGACGTGCCAGAGAGAACAGCATAACCACCCTGAGCGAGAGGGTAGGTCGAGAGGATGTTGCTACCAGGAGCAGCAACATCGGGCTTGGAGCGGAGATCACCGTCCAATCCGAAAGAAGAGAAGGACGAGGGTGATCCCCAGCTACCAATGGGGAAGGGTCGCTGGTCATTGGACCAGGTCACAACGGCCTCAGGTTGGGCTAACCAACCTAAGAGCAGCTGTTCACCAGTAAAAGGCTCGACCGACGCCATGGGCAGGTTGGGGACACCTTCCAAAGAGTCGATACCAGGACCGCTGGATTGGATGATAATACCAGCAGCGCCTTTGGTAGCAGCCAGAGCACCACGTTTATCAGACTTGCAGCGGGTGGTGTCGCCAAGAACCAAGACGATCTTGCCCCTAACATCGACACCGTTGTAGAGAGACTTGTCGCATCCGTCGCTCAATGCACCGTTGGAGAGCAAGGGAACGATGGTGGCAGAGGCGGGCAGATTAATGGCCTCGCCGTAGGCGTCAGAGAATTTATAGGGGAAGACATAGTACATTTGGGTGAAGTAGTAGAACGATTCGGATTGACTGTCGAACGACGCGACCGAGGTAGCATGGTCGCCGAGACCAGTGCCAGAGACCATCCAGGCGCCATCAGAACCATCGTTACCAGCAGGGCCCGTCAAAGCTTTGCCGCGGATGAGCAACTTCTCAGCAAGCACAGATATGGGGTTGGTCTTGTAGGAGGAGCCGCCGGCGATAGACATGTTGATGACCTAAATGTTCAAGAATACCGTATTGACCAAAGTAGATGAGTGGCCATTCTTCTTTTCCTCATCCCACATGTCTGTGTGATTGTAATTAATAGCTCCATCACTTACATCCATGCCGTCGTTGAAGGCCATCTCCATGGCGGCAAGGATAACATCTTCGCCAGCTTGGCCCTTGCATCCAAAGATACGGTAGGCGCCCAAAACAGCCTCGGGGGCGACACCGACAAAGGGCACTGGAGGTTCAGGTGAGGTCATGATGTGCCGGGCATCTCCACCAATGATACCAGCGACGTGAGTACCGTGTCCTTGGCAGTCCATGGGATCACTGTCGGGGTTGGGAGTGTTGGATCCAGTGTAGTCATCACCGACAAAGTCCCAACCATATCTGACACGGCATTTCTTGTTATTGAGAGCGAAGCATCCAGCAGCAGCATTGCCACAAGCGAATGCAGGGTGCTTATAGTCGATACCTGTATCGATGATACCGATCTTGACGCCCTTTCCAGTAAACTGGTGCCTGCCGCCGTGCAAGGTATTAACACCAGTCATGAGGTGACTCGAGGTCGCAGAGTCATAATCAGTATCCGTGCTGGGGCTCTCGACTTTGGGCATGTCGTAGAGCGAGATGTGCCAGACATTCTTGACTCCAGGAATCATGGAGAGAGCGCGGCCATCATGCTGGGAATCGACAGTGATGGCGGCTCCGTTGAAGACGTTGTACTCGTTGCGGACCTTGTAGTTGACCTTGTGGGACTTGAGGGCGTCATGAGCATCCGAGTGCTTGATGCCATCGTGGTATTCGATAATGAAGCCGTTGTTGATGATGTTAGTCTTGCCAGGATTGAGAGAGTGGAACTTGCCGGCTGAGACAAGGGTGGCCGCAGCAAGGGCGGAGAGGATGGCGGCGATCTTCATAGTGAGAGATAGGGACGAGTGTCTGTAGAAGACTGTGAGGGGTAATTAGCGAGGTGGGAGAGGGGAGGGGAGGGGAGGGGAGGGGAGGAGTTTAGAAGGATGACGCGGTAGCGAAAGGGCTACGGTATGATGTAGGGTGGTGAGGTCGAAGATGGCTAAAGAAGGAGTCGGTTTCCAGGAGATGGCAGCAGATATAAATACCATCCTGCCTATCGTCCGCTCCAGCTGGTTCCTGTGTGGGTAGGATATTAATGGCAAGAATGGCCGCTGTTTCTCCGCGGATGTCCGTTCAAAGTCGACTGGACCGCGTGCTGAAATGCACACATTCGCCAGGTGCCATTGATGTGTACCCTCGTACTTGTGGGGTTTGTTACCGGGAAGGATTGTCCTCTAAATAGATGGATACATTTGCCTCATTGGTCTCGGGGACCATAGATACTTGTTTGTCAGCCCAGCTGTATTTTAACCTCCTCTGCCGTCTGTCTTTAGGTCCTGTTCATGTTATTCTCCCAATATAGGACCTGTCGATGGCCTAGGTTTCCCAAATTTGGTCTGCACAGGTGCGTAGGCGCTGTCTAGAACGAGATCTTCTTAAATGTAAGGTTGATGAAAATAAACCCCCCGGTTCTAGACCTACCAAACAAGTGGGAGGAGCCCATGTTCTTTTTTGCAAAATTAATAGCCCAGAATTCTTACATTTTGACTCTCGACTCTTATTGGTTACTATTCTGAATGGTTGTATAAGGATCGACAAGGTGGCGCTAAGAAAAGAGAGGCTTTCCTGACTCTTATTAACCTTAATCCATAAAAATTAAGAGGCGGTCTTATCGTCCCAGTATGCTGGATACCATTATTTTGCACCAGATGATATTTGCCTTCATCCGCAGACCTGTGATCTCTTTGGTGCAAACGATGGTGTCCGGAGAGAGCCGATCTAGGGAGAAAGGAGGACTTTATTCGTGTGAATGCTGCTATCTAGTTCTACGTGTAGATAGGGTTTATATACTGGCTGGATCGATGCCAACAGTGTTCTGGAATGTTGTAGGAAATGGGCGAAGCACCGAAGACATCACAGCGTACTGAACCGAGCATAAACCTTTTGCATTTGAGGAGCTATTTGGTACTTTCTTTGATGGGCTAATCAGAGGTGACTTTGAAGGGCTTCTATGGCGTGGTGATGGTTCTAGTAGCCCTCGAGCGCATCGCCATCTTGCGTCTGGTCCTGAAATTCATCCTCAACGATAAGCGGATCGTCCAACTTGCAGAGGCAGTCGGCGTATTCCGTTGGTATGTTTCTCCAGCTTGTGGCCCATGCATCCTCAAGATCGAAGTAGAATGGGCGAAATGTCTTTAGTAACCTTCTTCTACTGATCCTCGTCCGTACTGCCGAATCCAGATTCGTTTCGTTTGGTGTCGGCAATTTCGAACTGGGCCTTCATCTTCGCGATCTTGCTCTTGATCTGCGTCGAGTAGATTTGGATGTTGGGAAAGCGATTGTTGATATCCTTTGCAAGACTTTCATAGATCCTGATCTTCGGTGTTTGTCGAACTGCGCTGTCCCTATCACCCTGGAATGGGAGGTAGACCTAAGGATCCTGAAGCTGGGTCGCAATCCATGCTGTTTCATGGGTGGAGAGCAAACGACCTGCCCTGTTGCTGGCTACAGGGCGTTGAGGGCCTCGAGAACGAGATGACTGACTTACTGGCCGCGGTCCGACTAAGTTTTGTCTCTTAGACCTTTGGGGGTCTGACGGCGCAGATGACATCTCTTTGCGCTTACTGGACAGTTGCAAAGACGAAGATGAGGGCTGACAAGAGCCGGTTAACTGGTATGATGGATGGCCGCTTGCACTAGCAGGGTGAAACTTGGGAGACGTTTGTTGGGTCGCTCTAATGTGCAGGGAGACTGACATTGCCAAAGTCAAAGATGCCATGCCTGGCGTGGTTGTGGGTGAGATGTACTGAGCGCGGGTCAGGAGTGGCAACTTGGGAGTGGGGGGCGTGAATTGTTTAGATGCTTGGTGCTGGTAGTATTGCTGCGGTTGGTATTGAGATTTGTGCTGGCGCTGTTGCTAGTGCTGATGCTGGTGCCGTTGTGGTTGTTGGGGTGCGAGAGGCTGTTGCAGCTGTCGTAGCTGTTGTTGAATGAAAGGGGTAGTCGCTCGAAAGAATTCGTCGGAGGACAACGGTATCCTGCCTGGCTCTGCGCGCTCGGGACGTACTTGCAGAGTACCCTCTGCTTGCGGAGGAGGACTGACACTTGGAATACCATTGTGCTGAACTGGCGAAGGAATTTCGGGTATAAAGGAGTCCATGATGAATGAGGAGGAAGGAAGGAAGGAAGGAAGGAGCGAAAAAAAGAGTGTGAAGTGTTCTCATGGCCGGGGGTAGTGGAGGGGCGACGAGGGTCGAGATTCGCTTCTTGGTTGCACAACAATCAGCTTGAGAAACAGCAAAAAGCCGTTCTTTCAGACCCAATTCTGATTCTTCAGGTTACGCGAAGCAGGTCGAATTCGTCGCTTAATCAGGAATCGGAAGTGAGTCGATACAGTGAGCTGAAATTAAAGAGACATGCGAAACTTGCACAAACCGTTTGGTGAACCAGCACGGACCTCTCGGCAATGCAGCATAGACACAATCATCATACATGCTGGCTCACATAGCAGGGTCTTCTGGTCTCTGTCCATTCTCAATAAAACTCTTCGTGCCATCTTTTTCCACACAACACACGCAATTCTGCGCTTCAGACGTATTTTGCAACGGCCAGTCAGAACGAATGTGACAACAATTTCCCTTTGACGACGATGTCGAGATGATTATTATGTTGAGGACCACCAATGAAAGGCTCATGGACGAACACTTAATGGCCAGCGAGGACAAAGACGGGGATGACAAACCTGATTGTTAAGTCGCAGTGCAATGGTTGGCACTGGAGAGATGAGAGGAATGGTGAGTCGGTGAAGTGTTAACAAGCAATGTGAACCAGCACGTGCGCTGATTGTGCCTATGCTGCTTTGCCAAGAAATCCGTGCTGCTTCTACAAAAGGTTTGTGCTGGTTCACCAACCGGTTTATGGCCCTTTTGCAAGCGGTTTGTGCCTGTTTTGCATGCTCCTTTTTTCAGCTCAGTTCTCTGGATCCATGTTGATTCTCACAAATTTCAAGAAAGGAGGGGTTATTAGCCTTAAGCACATCTTTACGGCTAAGAACACCATGTCTATTAGATCTAATGTAGCAACAAGCAAGGGGCACAGCTAGTTTTTTTTTCCGCTGGAAACCCTGCGAGTCGCACAATAAATTGGTGCATGTGATTAACATCGAGATCAAGGATAACTACGAGGAAGCCATGGTCGGTGGACGGATGGTTTTAAATCTCGCCAAGGATATTGAGCAAAGCAAGGATCTTGATCACGAAGTTCAGCCGATCCTGGATAGCTTTCAACAGCGCTATCCGAGTACATCTGTCATGCATTCCGTCTCGTTTTTCTGATGCACTCGTCTTTTTCTCCCCTGTACATTTTTTTCCTTCTAAAATTAATAAAGCTCATCAGATATCACAGCGAACAAGAGTTAATGGATGTTGTTAGATATGCAGCTCTTGAACAATGGTTTTATGATTTGGTATACATTGCTGTTATACTAGTTTCTGATCTAGATAAATAAAGAGTTTAGTTGCCTTTGTACCCGCGAGCGGGGAAAGGGAGAGCCATCAGGAATGAATTACGGAGGTTGAGATGATAGTGACAATGGCAATGAAGATCGGAAAGGTGAAAAAGGGTAAGAGAAGAAGAAAAAAGATTGCATTTAATTAATGGGCCTATAGAGCCCGAGTATGCCAAGGTCAAAGATCTCGAAATCCTCGGGGTAGTTGCCCTTAGTGAGCTTCTTCTGAGAGGCAACGACGATACGGTAGTAGCGAGCATTGCCCGCCGCAACATCGGACATAGGAGGAAGTTGGATAGGGGCCAAGGTCGTGTCCTCTGCAGGGAGGACCAGTCCGTCCCAAGTATACTGATTAACGTCCAACTGACCAGTGGTGCTATCGACGTTCTTGTTTCTGCCGGCGGCACCAAAGGCAGGGCCGCCATCCTTGGAGGTCATAAATCCGACAAAACCGCCTGTTTCATTAAAGATGCGGATGGTGGCATCGGGAGAGTGCGAACCAAGGCGGGTCAAGACAACGGGCTTGGCGTACTTCAAGTTGTATAACGTGCCCGGCCTGGTATTGTTCAAATGGCCGGTGGTCACGTTGAACCGCTTCAACATGGGGAAGCCGAGACTGGTATCCTGGATTGGCACGTTGCGGATATCGCCTTTGACACCAGTGTATGGAATATGAACAGCAACACCACCCATGGAGGGGGTAGCAACGATGAAACCAGAGTACAAGGGCCATTCAGCAGCCTTGCCGTTCTTGGGCTCTGTGAACTTCAAGGTGACCTTGACAGACTCACCAGGGTTGAGCGTAACGGTGCATGGGTCGAACTTGACGGTGGCATAGTCAGCCTCAATGATGGGAGTAGCGAGTGGGAAGGAGTTGTTGGCGTTGTACGAGTTCAAGGCATCAGCGGGGACGTGCGTGAAAGTATAGGTCGCAGCGTCAAAGCCAGTATTCTTGATCTGGATCTTGACCCGCCTTTGGAAGTTGACAGTATCGAGGAGATCAATATGGTCGGGCCAGAGCTCGACCGGGGTTAGGGTAGCTTTATAGACGTTGATCAAACCAGCACCTTGCTTGGCAGCAGAGGCAAAGGTTTCGGAATTGTAGTTCTTGGAGATCGTGGCAGTGTTCTTGAAGGCCTTGCGAATCCTATCACCATGGGACTTGACCTTCTTAACTTCCATGTACAAAGCATGGGCACCAGCAACGTAGGCTGAGGCCATGGACGTGCCAGAGAGAACAGCATAACCACCCTGAGCGAGAGGGTAGGTCGAGAGGATGTTGCTACCAGGAGCAGCAACATCGGGCTTGGAGCGGAGATCACCGTCCAATCCGAAGGAAGAGAAGGACGAGGGTGATCCCCATTTATCAATGGAGAAGGATCCCTGGTCATTGGACCAGGTCACAACGGCCCAAGGGTCGGCTAACCAACCTAAGAGCAGCTGTTCACCAGTAAAAGGCTCGACCGACGCCATGGGCAGGTTGGGGACACCTTCCAAAGAGTCGATACCAGGACCGCTGGATTGGATGATCATACCAGCAGCGCCTTTGGTAGCAGCCAGAGCACCACGTTTATCAGACTTGCAGCGGGTGGTGTCGCCAAGAACCAAGACGATCTTGCCCCTAACATCGACACCGTTGTAGAGAGACTTGTCGCATCCGTCGCTCAATGCACCGTTGGAGAGCAAGGGAACGATGGTGGCGGAGGCGGGCAGATTAATGGCCTTGCCGTAGGCGTCAGAGAATTTATAGGGGAAGACACCGTATACTTGGGTGAAGTAGTAGAACGATTTGGATTGACTGTCGAACGACGCGACCGAGGTAGCATGGTCGCCGAGACCAGTGCCAGAGACCATCCAGGCGCCATCAGAACCATCGTTACCAGCAGGGCCCGTCAAAGCTTTGCCGCGGATGAGCAACTTCTCAGCAAGCACAGATATGGGGTTGGTCTTGTAGGAGGAGCCGCCGGCGATAGACATGTTGATGACCTAAATGTTCAAGAATACCGTATTGACCAAAGTAGATGAGTGGCCATTCTTCTTTTCCTCATCCCACATGTCTGTGTGATTGTAATTAATAGCTCCATCACTTACATCCATGCCGTCGTTGAAGGCCATCTCCATGGCGGCAAGGATAACATCTTCGCCAGCTTGGCCCTTGCATCCAAAGATACGGTAGGCGCCCAAAACAGCCTCGGGGGCGACACCGACAAAGGGCACTGGAGGTTCAGGTGAGGTCATGATGTGCCGGGCATCTCCACCAATGATACCAGCGACGTGAGTACCGTGTCCTTGGCAGTCCATGGGATCACTGTCGGGGTTGGGAGTGTTGGATCCAGTGTAGTCATCACCGACAAAGTCCCAACCATATCTGACACGGCATTTCTTGTTATTGAGAGCGAAGCATCCAGCAGCAGCATTGCCACAAGCGAATGCAGGGTGCTTATAGTCGATACCTGTATCGATGATACCGATCTTGACGCCCTTTCCAGTAAACTGGTGCCTGCCGCCGTGCAAGGTATTAACACCAGTCATGAGGTGACTCGAGGTCGCAGAGTCATAATCAGTATCCGTGCTGGGGCTCTCGACTTTGGGCATGTCGTAGAGCGAGATGTGCCAGACATTCTTGACTCCAGGAATCATGGAGAGAGCGCGGCCATCATGCTGGGAATCGACAGTGATGGCGGCTCCGTTGAAGACGTTGTACTCGTTGCGGACCTTGTAGTTGACCTTGTGGGACTTGAGGGCGTCATGAGCATCCGAGTGCTTGATGCCATCGTGGTATTCGATAATGAAGCCGTTGTTGATGATGTTAGTCTTGCCAGGATTGAGAGAGTGGAACTTGCCGGCTGAGACAAGGGTGGCCGCAGCAAGGGCGGAGAGGATGGCGGCGATCTTCATAGTGAGAGATAGGGACGAGTGTCTGTAGAAGACTGTGAGGGGTAATTAGCGAGGTGGGAGAGGGGAGGGGAGGGGAGGGGAGGGGAGGAGTTTAGAAGGATGACGCGGTAGCGAAAGGGCTACGGTATGATGTAGGGTGGTGAGGTCGAAGATGGCTAAAGAAGGAGTCGGTTTCCAGGAGATGGCAGCAGATATAAATACCATCCTGCCTATCGTCCGCTCCAGCTGGTTCCTGTGTGGGTAGGATATTAATGGCAAGAATGGCCGCTGTTTCTCCGCGGATGTCCGTTCAAAGTCGACTGGACCGCGTGCTGAAATGCACACATTCGCCAGGTGCCATTGATGTGTACCCTCGTACTTGTGGGGTTTGTTACCGGGAAGGATTGTCCTCTAAATAGATGGATACATTTGCCTCATTGGTCTCGGGGACCATAGATACTTGTTTGTCAGCCCAGCTGTATTTTAACCTCCTCTGCCGTCTGTCTTTAGGTCCTGTTCATGTTATTCTCCCAATATAGGACCTGTCGATGGCCTAGGTTTCCCAAATTTGGTCTGCACAGGTGCGTAGGCGCTGTCTAGAACGAGATCTTCTTAAATGTAAGGTTGATGAAAATAAACCCCCCGGTTCTAGACCTACCAAACAAGTGGGAGGAGCCCATGTTCTTTTTTGCAAAATTAATAGCCCAGAATTCTTACATTTTGACTCTCGACTCTTATTGGTTACTATTCTGAATGGTTGTATAAGGATCGACAAG